GAAGTGTTAACGAAAGAGGAATGGCTAATATTATGGGATCATATCTTGTCCAATCATCCATCATTTTTACTTTCATTAGTTGTCGCATATCTTACGTGTTCGCGTCGTGCTCTGCTGCATTGTAATGAGAAAGAAGATTTCAAGGTAATGTACTAATTTAGTAAAACTGACATACTGTATTAATTATGACTGTTATATGAATACGCTACATATTGAGATTATAGTTGACATATGAAATTCTACTTCAGAGGATAATGTAAGATGTAATTTCTATTAATGATAAAAACTTTATTCTTTGTGGTGCATTAATTTAATTTAATAATTAATAGTTTAAGATGGTAAGATAAACGATTACTTAATGTGATCGTATGATACTGTATATGCAGTTTTGTATTCATGTAGTAGATATAAATACAGTATTAAACACTACATATATGTTATCGAAATATATTGATCGAAATTTACCTTAACGTATTTATTTACAATTAGCCATAATTTTTGAACGCAAGTCATCATAATTAACTGAAGAGAATAATAATACTCATTTATATGATTGTACTTCCTATAAATAATAAATGAGTTCATCAATGAACACTAATTGATGGATTGGTTATGCGATTTAGTTTTATTTCCACCATCGTAATGCCGTGAATATTAAATCCATAATCGAAGAAGCTTATCAAATACATAGTACTACACCCAAAAATCTTCATCCCAAGTATAAACTACAGGGCTTCGAGCCAATAACAAGTGGACAATATCCAATATTTAATAAATATCCTAAATTTATTATTAACTATCAAGTGAGTGACCGCTTTAAAATTTTATCAGACCTACGAAAAATTATTTACTCTATATTTTAAGATTAAGCTCCTTTATATATTATACTTGAAAGGCCAAGGAACGTGACAGAATATTGTGTGAGGAAATGGAGTATCTTAAGCAGAGGTATGTTTCTATAAACTATCCAACAACATCTAGACTTCTTTTATTTTGTTCCATAGTTATAATTCATTATAAATGTAAAATACTGCTATAGACAAATCGCTCTAGAGCTACAAAAGGAAACTGAGCAAAAAATACTTGAAGAAAATGCATGGCGTCGTAATCAACAATTACTATCAGAAGCAGAAACGCAGCGGCGAATGATGATAAAAACTGAAGAAGATAAGCTACTAAATCAGAAATCAAGGTCATTTATGTATTATGTAGCTTTTATTACTATCAATTATATGTTATTGATATCATATTTGATTTGGGTTTCATATTAATTTTATACATAATTTATTCATAGACTACAAGCAATGAAGCGAGAACTTGTAATGAAAGAATTACAATTGCTAGATGCTGCTAGACGTAACGTTCTTCACGATGACAAAGTACAAAAAGAAAACGAAGTTAAAAGATTAGATGAAGAATTGGAGAGAATAGTAAATAACTGAATATTTATTAACACCTCATATCGCAACAATTACGGTGTGGAAACAAATATCGTATATGAATTCAAAATAATGATTCCCAATTATTTTCATTTATTAATTAGTCCAAACGAAGAGAAGAAGAAACAAGAAGTGCACTAGCGGAGATGGAATTAAAAGCATTAGAGCTGCGTGTACAAAAAGAAATGTTTACACAGGTAGAGCCATTTTTACATTGTTCTATATATCAATATTAGAATATTGATGATAGTAATGCTAGCACTTACATGTTGAAATAGTATTTGCACTGAAAAATGTATTTATACAGATGATAGTATACAGTATGTATCATTGATAATGCTACTACTAATACCTAGCTATTGTATGTATTGACATATAACGGCAATTAAAATTTTACTTCGTTTTGATAACAGGAATTGGCACGTGAACAATCGAAAAATGTCTTACATTCTAAAGCTGATTTAGATGCTAGAAGAAATCAAGTAGAAATTAAAGACTATCTCGTTGAAAGAGAACGGCAGAAGATCGAAAATGACTTAAATGAGAGACGAAAGGTCTGTATTCTTGAACTTAAGAGATTAAAACTACTGATAACTATTTTAGTAACACTTGCAATCACCATCGAATAGATAATGCTATATTCTTCTTTTATGTTCATTCATTTTTATTTGCATCTTTTTACATTGTCAACCACAGACTAACTTAGAAAAACTCGCCAAGGCACAGCAGAAAGCTAATAGCTTTAAAAACCAATATGAACTAAATTACAGAAATAGAATACATGACCTAGAACAAGAAATGCAACATTTAACGGTGGCTATAATTTCTGTTTATGTCATACTGTTCTGATATGAGTGAATCTGTCTCAAATCAATAAGTAACATCAAAAATATGAACTTATAGCTTTCTCACCAAGCAAAACTAAATAAAGTTGAAGATGATGAGGTGGAAGCAATTATGAAAATGATTGAAAAGGATTCGGTAAATGTTAACACGAATGTGTAGATTTTTTGATAGTTGCTTCTTGCACGATATAGTAAATCTTTCCAGAAATCATAATAGGAGCTTTTATGATTGATGATGGCAGCAGCCTAAAACACTTCATAGACCTTAATTTATATTATTTTTTATGTATGAGTATTTGATAGCATTTATTTACATATTTAAGTATTGCGTAGCACTATTTACCTATACATTATTCATATACCGGTATACCTTAGAAATATGCTTCTAGATGACCTTTCGCAAGTTAGAATATACTAATTTTGTAACTGTATAGCTATTTATACAGTTAGCAGGGTGTTATTGTATTCTATGCTAACCATCTCCAAATGATCTTAGAAAAACACCACTGAGAAGTATCAAGAAGAGTTACTAAAATTGAATAAACCATTGGAAGCTAAAATTTTACGAAAATATAGTGAGTTACATACCACCGTTTGCTATAGATATAATGGAAATACACTTTACATTGTTAATGTTATGTATCACATAATTTATCCTACGCCTTTTTATATATTTATTATATATATATATATATAAATGTATGACTGTTGTACTTAAATCATGTAGAAGAAGATAACGATAAAGAAAGAGAAGAAGTAACTAACGTAGGGAATGTACGTCATTCCGTTAATCCACTAATTGCAACTACTGATGAAAGATTTTTGATAAGTCGAGGTGGTTCAGACTTGCCCACTGAGCGTAAGTACTTTGTACTGTGTGGCTTTAGGATCTGTTTTCAAAGCTAATAGCGTATCATGATCGAATTAAATATATTTTACTTTAATTTTACAAGTTAGCTTTAAGATGAGCATGCTAACCTCGGTATATTTTATTATTTTAAGATCATGTTATACCAGATTTTGAGCAAAGAAAAAAATTTGAAAGGCAAGAAGTAGCTTTACTATCTGATGTAAACAAGCTAAGGAGTAAAATTGCTGCCTCAAATCGACAATTTTCAAAAGAATCTGATGATAGTGGTTCGAGATAAATCCATAGATTTAAATTTCTTCTTTGACTCGAATAAAAAGTGTCGAAATATATCTACATACAACTTATTTGATCGAAAACCTTAGTTCTATAAACCCAATTCATGTCCCTCTCGTTGTAACAAAGATGCCTTGCTCATAACTATGAATATAATAAATTCAATTAACGATTTAGATAAATTAATGAAAGATAAGATTTCAATATATATTAGGGTACTTTTATTGGATTGTGCCACTACTGTATTTAATTCATCATTTGTCGGTAGCTTAAGCACTATAAACAGTCAGCTAAGTATAAAAAATTTTTCAGATTTTCACCGTACGTATGGAGAAAACGAATGATCTCATCATGAACTTTATTAATGCAGTATTTTCCTTTTATAACTGTTGTAACAGTCACCTTTTTTAACGATATTTCTATATACAAGTAAATTATTGCACCATACTCGAAAATGTTTTATTTATCAATATTTTCTCTGCAATTGTAATAAGAAAATGACGATATTATCCTAGATAAGCTATTATGCATTATACATTTAGTAGTTGTTACAACTAAGTGTTTATAGCTTGCTTTATGATTTGACTTATCCAAGAATAGGAAAATTGTAAACATGTCATGATAGCAAACTATGAAACAGGTAATACGACAATACATAGAGTATTATCTTGCATCGATATTGAGATACTATTGTATTCTGTATAAATTTTATCTATCTAGTAAAAGTGTGCTAGCACTCAATATCAAGCTGAATAAACATGAAACATACTGTACTCGTATGCAGTAGTTCTACTATTGCAGTTATTCTTCTAATTATACGTTCTTGCAATCATGCACTTCTATATTGCTTATCTATAATTATAATATGCTGTAATTGTGGTTAAATCTAATGACAAATAATCTGCATCTTTCTCCTTTCGAAAGACTTACGAGTCCAGAAGAATTCCCAATGTATTTTTTTGCAAGTCCAAGATTTTTATCTTAAACTACAGTGCAGTTCTATTTAGTTTAGAACTTTTCTTTTCCACATAGTATTATGCATTTATCAAGGCTACTTTGCTAATAATGATCCCAATAACATAATATGTACAACGCGACGTGACATCTAAAATACTAGCAGATTAATCAGATTTATAGTATTGTAAATAAAGTCACCCTTTTTAAGCTACAGTTAAGCCTCGATTACAAATCTTACATACCATCTCGCTCTATTACTAATAACGAACATACTTGTACATGATTATCTATTGAAAAAATAAATTTAAATACGTTTTACATAAATATTAGTCCCTGTCTCCATATGGTTCATTCGTATTTTACATGATAAAGAGATTGTGTCATCTACTTGTGATAGAAAGTTATCATTTTCAATCTATATTTATCCATGTATAGGATTTGTAACGTTCTTCATGCAATTGCATGAAAATGAAAAAACTTATTTACAGAGATGGCATAATGAATCTGTTTCTCTCATAATATGATTTATGTAGCTATATGCTGTAATACGATTATACTACAAAATTTCGGCCAAGCAAATTCTATTCCAGGTAATAAAGTTATAATTTAAACCAAAAACATATCGTAAAGTACTACTAGCAGCAGAAAGAGTTTTAGACTCAACTTCTCAAAATTCCAACGTTTAAATTGTTTCAATATACGTGTACATATTTAAATTATGTTTCTTTTATTTATTTATTCCTTCTTCTACTTTCCATACGGGTATATAATACTTATGTGAAATAGGAGTAATTTATAAAATTTTTATGTATTTAATTATTTATGCATTTTCTTAACGATTCATAGTGTAGGTTCATGAAATCGGTTTAGTTATTAAGTCAAATTTTAAATCTTTTTCCCATTTTTATTATGTAGGTATGTATACGCAATTACGCATACTAAGTAATTGATGGTCAATCGTCTGTTAATCTTACACACTACTCTTATTTCCTACTACGGATGGCAACGTCATTTGACTGTTCTGTCCAAGTAAACATAACCAACAGATCCTTGTTAACTAAAGTATCCATATAAAGGATAGATTTATTATGGTCAGCTCATTAAAATTCACTTTAGCTTTTCATGAAGCTATGACATGAAGAAACTACAGTAGCTAGCTTTGTAATACTTCAAGTGTCGATTAAAATCTCTATCTAATCACTATGGGAAGCTACCCTTGTCTTCTAGCCAATACCAAATTTCAGATCGAAAATGCTGACAAAATGAGATAGATATTGTTTACTGCTCTAGCCTCTAGCCTGGGTTGTGATTTATATATATATATGCAGTACTAGTCCGTCTTGCCAACCTGCATATCCAAATGTGTATTCAAAATATAATTTATTTACACATATTACCCCATAAGGTCCGATGTTTGCAACTTGCTATACTGTAAGCTGTTAGTGAGCCTGTTAGCGTAGACAGTATACACAGTTTTGTAGACGTATCTGAACTCTAGGCGTTGCATACTCGCATACTATCAATCGTATTTATCACAGACAGCATACTCAATGCCATTGCTACAGAATGATGCAAAAAAAATGTCCATTGGTAGACTTTTGTATCGTGTCGAATGTCATCAATCACTGCTACTAACGATATTCTACTCATTCCAATGCAGCCTTTGCTTCAGCAATGGTATCGAAAAACTAGCTAGTTCCCTCTCGTTTTGATGACCATCTCTACTGGGGTGCTGTCTCTATTCTCTACAGTAGTTGATACCCATAATTCAGATCGAAGATGGAAGATAAAGTTAGAAAAATGCTATGCAGCAGCCATTGCTCACCGTTTAGGGTTAACATCCTTCCTACCTTCTATACTCTGGTACAAGGTCACGAGATGGACCAGACGTCCAGGCGTCCACAACGCTACAGTACAGTACTCTGAAGTTGTGAACAAATCAGCGTAGAAAGTACTGTAAAAGCAGGCCTAGTTAGGACCTCAATGATCGGGATGGAAGGATGGATATCTGCCAATTTGGGGCCCCGCTCACCATTTTGCGGTAGCCATCTCCGATGGATGGATTCAATATTATGGTTTTACCATCGAATTATCGTGAATTATTCTACAATTTAATATTTATAATCTAGAATTAGTGGTCACTTGTGAGGTAAGATGATAGATCAGCAAATTTAGGTGTTGTTATTCACTACAACACATAGTACAGTACAGTACACAAACCAATTGAGTCGTTATCGATAAAGCGCATGAACTTTCCAGCCTATCCATTTAAATTACTTAAAGCGTTGAAATTTTGTACTACTTGGCCTGATGATAACCATAATATCGTGAATGAGCTAACTGTAGAGAAAGACAGAGTTGAGTTATAGACTCGAATACTGCAATTACTATGCTGTGAAATTATTTATCGCTAGTTAACAGAAAACGATCATCTTTATAACCTTATTCTCCTGAAAGAATGGGAGGTAAAAGAATAGTTTAGTTTAATTAATCAATCAATTAATATAAGTAAATGTACTGGTAAATTAGTTCAATCTTGATAGAAGTGCTATTCTCCTGTCTAGTCACAACCTATGATATTAAATACACTCTAATAAATAATAAAATAGAACATAGGAAAATGTTACAGCTGTCAGCCTAAACGAGGTATACTAAATTGGTTCGTACTGGATGCATATAGACTAAATAATAATCCTTAATTAATTATGATATTTTATGATTCAATTCGTTACAGCACAATGCCACAAAGTAAAAATTCGTGCTGCTAGAACTTGAAGTACGCTTATACTAGTACTTTACTATAATCTTCTCTACCCATAATTCATCATTCGTAACTTCACGAATATAATAATACAATTTCAAAGGCCAAAGTATTCATTTACCTGATTTTCTACTCTAGTTCATTCGTGATCCTTACCAAGTTAGTTTAAAAGTAGAATATTTTTATTCAAATAAAACGCAAGATTTTGTTACTAATGCAATAATTAACTAAGGCATACATCACGCCGTTCAATGATCCTTTGCGTAGCTTAATATTGAATACATTGCTTTCCTCAATGATATAAATTTATTTTTCTAACCGTTTGTATTCAAAGTTTGCACAAGTTTTCAATACTGTGAATACTGATGTTGTTGCTTAGTGATATATTGAATAATAGCAATTATTGTCGATTACTATAGCGCTTTCTTCATTTTTATGTTTCAATATTTTGACTGATATCTTACTTTATCTAGCCTTTCGCTTGTTAGTAAGCCCAAAATTCAAAAGATGGGATTTGGATTCTCCAAGGTTAGTAGATACGTAGCCTTCAATATAATCTGACAGCCACCATATATTTTTAATTTTAATTTCTAAATCAGGTATATACTTGCGATTTGTGAAATAGATGAGTAGGCCATTTCTGAGCACCATCATTATATTCATATCTGCAATTAAAAATTTTGCCAATAACAGAGATACTTTCCTTATTTTGTGCATTGAAAGTGATCTAAATTTATTTAATATAGTTTGCAGTATTTGTTGTACATTCTCAACTTTGATTTTTAGCCGGTATCTACTTACATATTTTTAAATTAACATTGATGAATTCTGAGCACTATTATCAACATGTCATCAAGACCCCATTTTCAGTGAGAATTTCGGCATTGACGTAGGAAGATTCCTTCCTATCTTCCATTTTAAATATCATGCAATTTTCATTATCTACCGCCGGATGCATTCTCTTTATTTGTACTTACTGTGCATCAGAGTGAACAATGATGAAACAGTTTACATAGCTATGTAATGGTGCAAAATAGATATTAATACTCCATGCTACTTGTACCGCTAATATTAATGCATGGAATATTGCGAGATATAATCGATCATACTACAGTATTTTAAATGATCATAGCTATCTCACAAATATCAAAAGAAACCTTACTTATCTTCAAGCAATCTAAATTTTTACGCGTAACTTAAACACCTTCCGTTCTCGAAAAAATTAAATATAACCGAAAACACAATTGTGATTAAGTACCCTCTCGAATTGTTGCAGCGCTGTACTCTTTAAAAATGAAATTGAGTATTTTAAAAAAATCTATTTCTAGTATGCTACAGTATTGGGTCTTAGAAATTTTAAATTCTTGGCTTTTTACCTAATTTATGAAACTATATCAGAACTATATATCCAAGAAACAATTCCGAATTTTATTCCTTGTTAATTATTTTGCCTTAAAGATGACCACCTAACTACATCGCTACTTTACTATTTCTTGCTGTTCGTATACTACAGTACTCTAGAAATTTTATTCATTGTTCCAAATGTCATGAGGTAATAAGGTACCAATAATTTTTGTAGATTGCAGTTAATGCTGTATTTTATTTTCAGATACTTCCGGGTCTATACATAGGAAAACTTGCTGGTAATGATGTAATAATGATAGAAAAGAAGCTGATCAATATCTAGTTAATTTCAAATTGTATTTTATTATATGGATCGGCACATAAGTCAAGATGATGATAAACTATAGTTTAATATATGAATCCCTAAATTTGAAATTAAATAATATGTCATTACCTTCGTTTCCAGTAATAAAATTTATAGTAAATTTACCATTAGGAAGACTTTATCACACGTATTCGTAACATTTAGTTTATGTGTTACTGACCCAATCGGTTAGAATTCAATAGTGTATGTGCTACATAAGGATTTATAAATTAATATACGTAGAAGAGACGATTGTGCTATAGATATGGTAGATGGAGGTTTACAGAATAGTAAAAGTATCATATCTCAATATGATAATGATATATCTTACGTGTAGATCCAAATAAATTTAGGTTATAACAAAGTAACTCTCTTCATTATAGATGAACAGAGTAAGAGAAGGTTGAAATTTAATGGCATCACACATATATTGTCCATTTATGAGCTAGCCAAACCAACTCATAAGGTGATTAAGTGATACTATTTCATAGTCTATGTAAGCCATTTATTCATCTATTTCAGCTTATTAAGGTGTAAAAGGGTATTGCATGAAATGACGATAATAACAGTTTTAATTTGATTGTTGCTGTGGCAATTGCCTAGCATTACTTAGTCTCGCTAGCAAATAGACCTCAAGGCACTATCGATCTATTAGTAATATCGTTATCTGACTAAATGCACGTTTATGTTATGCTATGCAATTTTAGAATAAAGCTAAATTATATTTCTAATTTACTGGTATACGAATGATCCTTTTAGGAATACAAGTATAAGTGTATTCGTATACCTGATCATGAACATCAAGATATGTGAGTAATAAAAGTAAACTATCTCTATCCAGATGATTCAAATTTAATTGCTCAAACAATGGCGAAGCTTTATTGATATTCTTGTAGCCTATTTTGGATATTACTTACATATTATAAATTGTTTAATATGAAAGATCTCAATTCTTCAAAGAATGCATCGAATTTATACATGAATGCCGGTATGACGAAAACCTAATATTAACGTGCCAAGCGTATTTTTTATTTTAAGTTGTCAATTTTGAATTATCAGAATTGTATCGATTATAAAAATTCCTGAATTAACTCGCTATTTACGTATGTTGTCTATAGGATACACAATGGATCTGTTTTAGTTCATTGGTAAGTAATAAACTAGCATGTAACGATATTCTACAACATTTTCGTATTGGTATCTGGAAAGTGAACAAGCAAAAATCATTGCTTTATAGCGTCTGTGGAGTTTCTCGTTCCGTCACCGTTGTTGCAGCTTATTTAATGGCTATTAGTAATATGTCCTGGAGACAGTCACTAAATGCAGTTAAAGCTTCTCGAACACAGGCCAACCCGAATTCAGGATTTCGCCGTCAATTGATGAAGTTTGAAGAGCGCCAGCTAGCGGAGGTACAAGCTTAGCAAACTTGCTGTAGCTATGCCATGAGAGCTTTATGTACATTACATAGATGCGTATCACCGACTTCTTTCCATGCCTATGAGATATAAGATATTGTAAATGCATCCTTAAAACTTTTCAATCACTTAACATTAACTGGATGCACTATGATGTAATACTTACTTCATATCTTTGCTAATATAGCTAAGAAAAGAATTAAAAGAGAAATACCCTGAATATAATCCATCTTATGACGATGGATATCTTGAAGAATTATTACGAAAAATGTCATCTTCATCTCCGATATTGATGTAGAATTGATATAATTTACAAATTACGTTTTAAACCTATATTTTTGTTTCTTTTCTATTATCCAAAGTATTTTATCGTTTTGACTAGGTTTCGTCTGAGTTGAAATAGTTCATAATTTAATCTGGCATTCCCAGCAATGGGATATCCTAAAAATCAATATTTTAGTAGACAAATAAGTGAAATATATCGCCTAAATCATTTTTACAGTAATAGATACAAAAGAACTTTAATCTTATTAAATAATTGGTTGCTTGTAATAGCTGGCAGAAATACTATAATTGCGGTGATCTGAGAAACATCTTAATGATCTTATTAACCATGCCGTCTACGCTCAAAATTTTTTATATCAATTACTAAATTAATTTTCACCTTTTGTTTGTTATCAAAAGGTAATAATGCAGAAAATAATAGTACTGTATATGTTACTAAGCACAGTGATAAAGTGATAAAATTTAGTTGATAAAAATTAGCTTTTTTCTACTTCTGCCAATTCAGTAGTATTTGAGGGCATTACTATTGCTATGTATTAATTCTAGTATTATATTTTATCGCTAGTTTTAGTGGTAGATAATCTTATATATTCACATGCAAAATCTATCAGTTCACTTAATGTGATCAATTATTCATATTACAGTAGAAGGATTCTACAAATAATTAAATAGCAGAGACACCGTAGTCATGGTCGCATTGTTATTATGTATGATTTAGGTATCTTTAATTCTACGTAAAGCGTAAGATTCCGTGTCCAGTTACCTTAGGAAGGAAACATACGTTCAGATCCTTATATTCCATAGCATTTTAGAATAGAAATATCGCTTAATTCCATACAAATATCTTTAATGGGATTTAGATTTAAATGGTAAAAGTAATTCTATTTTGTGTCACATACAAGATTTCGCATCAATAAATATATAGTCTGTGCGTATAGTGCGTATGAACTACCGATTCAATTGGATGAAGACCTTTTTTTAGTAGATTTGCCTCTATTATTAGCCATATTTTGGCTGAGTGTCACTATAAACATTACGACAAGTTTAGAGACCAGCCTAAAATAAGATACAAAGCAATGGATGCTATTGGATAAGGACTTTTTACTCACCGGAGTCTGTTGGTAGTAGACAAATTTATACGAGTATGCGGTCTAATTGTGCCGTCGATATTTATTGATCGTAGATCTAGCTTACTAATTATAATTGCCAATGCTGTGGCTGATCAATTGTACTTCTCAATCTTAAGGATAAGTTTGATAGGTGGCCTAAGATCGTTTCTGATACATACTCTACTCAAAAAAGGCAGAGTGCTATTTAATGCAAGTCTTTATAGCATCGAAACATCTTTTATCCAGTACTTCATTCCATCTTATACCTGCTATTAGTAGCCTGTATCGATTGCTACAACATCAGAAAGGTTCAGACCTTTCTTCAATTGAAAATTCGAAAAAAACAGTAGTATTGGTCTATATTGACACACTGAAAGTAGACTGTTCATTCAATACAGAAAAGCTCTCATCTAATTAATTAATGAGCCACTCAATGCAAATCTTTGTAGCATCGAAACATGCCTTATCCGGTATTTCATTCCATCTTATACCTGATATTGATAGCCTATATCTATTACTACAACATCAGAAAGGCTCCCTCCTTACTTCAAGGGCTACTCAATGCAAGTCTTTATTGCATCGGAACACGCTTTATCCGGCACTTTATTCCATCTTCTACCTGCTATTGGTAGTCTATATCTATTACTACAAGATCAGAAAGGCTTGGGCCTTGTCTTTAAACTGGAAGCCTTCAAAATAACAGTAGTATTGGTCTGATTTTATAGGCAGTTTCTAATTAATTATCAACTGAAGGCAGACTGCTAATCCAATACAAAAACGTCCTCTCTCCTTGTTTAATTAACGTGCTACTCCATGCAGTTCATTATACTGTGGCATCAAAAGATGCCCTATCCAGTACTTTATTTCATCTTATATCCAATATTAGTAGCCTATATCTATAACTATAACATCAGAAAGGCTTGGGCCTTGTCTTCAAGCTAAAATTGGAAAAAAAAGACTTCTATTAAGTGGATTTATATGCAGTTTATTGATTGAAAGCAGACTGCTAATTTAGCAAAGCTCTCCCTTCTGATTTCATTTCCTTTGACTGAGTTTGCGTAATGATAGTCTATCCACCCACCGTCCAGTTTACTATTCGATATTGAAGATTTCAATTTGGCATAGAAAACTGGGTGGACTACAGTTGCTAAAACTGTATTGGAGTAGAGAGACTCAGAATTGGAGCTATAACTATCCTATACCCCCAAAATTAACTTTCGATTTAATATTGAACGTAGAAATACTGTAAGATATCGATCTAACAACGCTGCTATCTACTTCACTTCTCATGATGGGTCTAGGAATGTGTAAGGTAAGATGAACGCTATTCTAAATCTACTTTTCAAGTAGTTACAATAACTACTTTGATGGGCAAATTCTGTTCTAGCACTATAGGAGAGTTCAAGGAAGCCAATAGCAATGACTGTTGATTTTAATATTGTACACGATCATTTTTATTTTACTTTGACATGGAAATAAAACTACACCTCTAGATCGTAATTTCTTACACCATTACACATGATGAGAGATAATTCTGTTATATCCCATCAATCATATTCAATCGACAAATCAATCTAATTTAATACAGTAATTGATTATAAGCGGTTCTCATCGATATACTATACGTACTGCATAAATTAAAGCGTTATAGCACATTTCTGTCTTGTGCGCTACTAAAAAGACTCTAAATTGATGCAACGATGATAGGGTTATTCAACACCGAGTACATGATTTTTCTTTCAGGTATCTTTGATTCTAGAGTTTTATAAAGCTTCTTTCTTCAGTAGTTTCTGCTTTTACACCCATGACTCGATTGTACAGTAACTGAATACTTTAACAGCAGTAGTTGGAATTGATTTAGAATCAAAATTTCAAATGACAAAAGCAGATTACGGTAATGAAATAGTTAGATTATACAAATTTGCATAGGATAGAAAAAAGCCTTCATATACACTCATACAGTAGTAGACTATTTATAAACAATTATGATGTCTAAAGTTAGGTTTCTTCTACACCGTTTATGACCTATTCGGAAATGTCAGCAAGTTACTTTCGAGTACAATCTATACAACATCGAAAGATGACGAAATGACTACGTCGTCTAGGCAATTTAAATAGTGGATAAAATCATATATCACATATACTATCACCAATATATTATACGTATATCATTCATCCAATTCTAGATAGAGTGATGTATAATACTAGATTCACAACATCAGTTAAAGTATATCACTCTTTTTCAATGCTTAATGATAATTATGATTGATAAGTAGACTACCCTATTTGCTACATGCACGCAATTAATGAAGTCTGAATGTGACTTTTACTGTATCTATTTGATTACTTTTTCTATTTTTACAAACGCGATAATATGCTAGTACAAAGATATAAAAATATTCTAGTTGACTTTCATCATTTTAATCAATCTTTTTATATTGCCACTTAAACTTTTAATCTGGTCATCTTATCGCATCATAGGCGTATAAATTGAATATAACGCTAAGCCTGCCTAGACCAGTACGCTAAAATAGTAAATTTATTATAGTCTATTTCAAGAGTTGGCCACATTAAAATCATGCCATCGAAATTAAACCCTTTATCATTAGGCTAATCATTCTTTTCTATATCTAATGTCTATTACCGTGGCCTATAGAATCAATTCATCCCAATTAGTTGCACGATATTTATTTCTACCTACTACCAGTTGAAAACAGTGTGTTAGTAAGCTTGGTGAGAAACTGCGATATACCGTAGTATAATATTACACGGTAAGACTATGTCTTGCAATAATTTATACCCCAATTTGATAAGTAAACGTGATTTTATAGCTTACGAAAAAAAAATCCATGTCCGGAATACGCCCGTATTTCACTTGGATAACAGATAGTTATCCATCAATCAGTATCGTTTAACTCGTTCACAATTGCTCATCTATTTGCTTACCGTACACATTGAATGGTAATATTTGGTTACTAAAAGCCATTTTCTATTTTTCTATTTCTGTTTTGCTATAGATTTTGCCAGGTCTCTATGTTGGCAGCTATCGAGGTATGAATTAGCAACCGTCATGACAAACTAATCATTTTTACGCAATAACAGATTACTGACTATGTCCATCGAGTTTCCTTTGCAAAAATACTCAAAATATATTCTACGTTATAGATTAAATGAATAGTTGATGTTGATCGTATAATATACTCTACTAGTAATTATTAACAAGAATAACTACGAGTATATATATACATATCAAAGGGGTATAAAAATTAAATTTCAGTTTCGAGATAGTTATAACATCAATTCTTGTACGATTATTTTACTTTGGTAAATCAGCTTTGGACGACGGATATCAGCGTAGAAATAAGATATTAAGGTCTAATCTAATGTAAATTGCGTATTTTTGACTCAATAGTTATCATTGCATAGATATAAATAATATGTAAGGATAGCTTTCGCAATAGAAGAACGAGTAAAGGCTATACAATTAACTTTCACCAATTTACATGATAATAATACTTTATTCCAGGCTTTTACAGTTTGCTATAATGTTGATTTTAAAAGACTATTTCAATATACCATATTTCTTCATTCAATTATAAATCATCATTCACCGATACAAGGGTATAATTAGTGAAAATTTATTTGGAGGTTGTACTCACTGATAAACTTCTTACCATTTAACCTTTATCAGATGTACACGATAATAATCAGTTAAAGAAAAATGGTATCACTCATATTTTGGCCGTACACGATAACTCAAGGCCTTTACATGATGTAAGTTGCCTAGTTAACCTTATAGGGCATCATACGTAAGTATTTGTAAGATCTATATAGCTAACAGTATCCGAAAGTATCCTTTTAACTTACTAGAGACTTTAGGAAGGATACCGACAATAGAGGATACATTTTTATTACGGTACCTCATTTCAGTTTGTTCAATTTAGTTAGTAAATTTTAGTCATAGGTTTACCACAGCAGATAATTCTTTGCTATAGCACAAAATTTTAAATTCTTTCTCGTTAAAAAAATTACGTAAAGCCTTATTTAAGTAGATTAATTAAAAATTTTTAATGGTAAACTTGATAGAAAATAACCTAATTAAAATATGAGACGAAAGAAATAAGCGATTAAAGTTATAATTCGTGGCGAATGATAGAGTTAGTAAAATAATACAAAGTAGAATTTTTACTAGTTAAAATTTTCTTCTATAATATTTTTAACGTTATTAGTACATCACATTATGGTCATATACAAATTACAGTAGTCTTAAAATAAAACAAAATATTCGTATAGGCATTTTCATGCGTCTATTATTAAACTTCTGCTGATCGTTTGATTGAAATTAATTATAGCATATGGTCTACAAATGCATAGAATGCATGGATACGCCTCAACAAGATATGTAAGCGCTACAGTAAATGTGAAAACTAGGAACTATTGATTAAAATTGATAACCATGTCTTCAACTTCTGAATTTGTATTGATGCTTGCTATCTGATTACTTTATAGTTAAAATATTTTAGAAAGCTTCCTAATTTTAGTAAAAATATGCGTATTCTTTTTTCTTTGATTTGATAATAAATAACTACCTTGCATCGAAATTAATATCAAATATATTTACGTCAATTTTATTTTCATCCCTTTTAATCTTTATGTCTAAATAATATCTGCATTGTAGATCGCAACATTTCCGAGAATGCATTAATTTTATCCATCGGAGCAGGTACGTACTCGCGAAGATTATTTCTACTGTAGTCTCTATGTTGCTAATAACACTGAATAATTTGAGACATTCAATTCTGTCCTCTTACCTTAATTTTTAGAATCAATGATGGATCAGTCTTAGTTCACTGGTAAGGCTACATGCTTGTAAATTAATACCTATTCTACTATCATATGTTAGTATTAGCTACTTTTATATATCATTACGATATTGGATTAGGTAATTAATTGGTCTAAATGAATTTTACCTTTGATTTACTAACGATATATAATCTATAGAAGCGTTATAGGTGATTAAAAATGTTGTTATCGATGTACTAGTATATATTAAAAAGTTGTCTTATTTACGATTATATCTAGTCTGGCTGGAGTATCACGATCAGTGACGATCGTACTTGCATATTTAATAACAGTCACTGATATGAAATGGGAAGACGCTTTAAAAGCTGTTAGAGCATCTCGTACGCAAGCAAATCCTAACTTGGGATTTCGAAGGCAATTACAGATATACACAGAAACTATGCTAGCAGAGGTAATTATAATGCCTTATTTACAGAAATTATACTCCGTGATACAGCGTGTATATAATATAGTTCTAATGTACGGAATAATCTAATCATAAATTTATTAGACTAAAAAAGAACTTCGCGAAAGTTATCCTGACTACGAACCCACAAACGACAGTAAAGAACTAGATATACTCTTAGAAAAGGGTAAAAACATGAAGCAATACATGGATGATGACGATCGAGTATTCACCTTTCCTATTGATGCATATAAGAATGATTAGAAAATACTCCAAGTTCCGCATCGTGATTTTCTGCTAGATTTAGATTACGTGCATTTACATACATAATTATAGAATGTCATTTTGACAATAACTAAGTTCGGTTATGAGTTAGTTTTAATCCTGGTAAACCTGTTATATCATCTTTTTAAAACTAACTTAATGTAATGATCGTTGCAATTGTGTTAATTAATTATTAAATATATAAGTTTGCACTTTTGTTAGAATAATCATTATTTCTAGTAAAAATGTTAGAAGAAAGTATTCATCATTGACGAATAATAGCAATGCAGGAATGTCAATGATTCGAACCGAGTAGCTATCGTATTTAATGACATTTATGGCGATAGATGTACTGCACAAGATCCTTTAAAGATTGATGTTGTTGTCACTTTTTTTTATCTATGTGATAAAAGACATCGATTTACAGACAGTCCTATAGTACCTTTTAACTCGGCCAATTATGATTAGCAAATAGCAAACTCTGTTTCATTATACCATTTATAATTTTCTAGTTACGTTGAAATCTTTCCATTATAGTTTCTTTTTATATTATACTATCGACATTATTTAAGGATAATTTTACGGTTCGTAGGAATTTTTAAGAAATATTTCTGTATAAAGTATAACCTCGGTGAATTTCATAAGGAAGTTAGATTATGTCGTTAAGAGACATAACATCGAAGTGTTATACTGTATATTGAGAGGATGTGATAATGCGATACTTTTGCTTAAATTGTGTATGATAGTCCATACGGATGATAATGTTAATATTATTTCTCGTATTTAGCTTGGCATTTATCAAGCGATATGTTAGCTATGTTATTTTGATCCTGGTGATCTGCTGTAAAATTTATGATGTAAAAATGTCACTTGGATATATCACTGTTGGACTGTTATACTCTAACTAAGACTTTTAGCGTTCAATATAGGAAAGCTATGATGGATTCCAAAATAAAATTAGCCCTATTATATAAAATTTTATTGACACATCATCAAATACAAAGTCAATTGTTTGAAACAGATTTATTTCTAATCGTTTTGCTCGCATCTTTCCGATTATCGAAAAAGGCATAACTTTTAAATTTGATGATAGTAAAAAATCTCAATTTGTAATTTTCAAGCCGTTATCCGATGATTTACATGTCATAATTATAATTATTAATAATACATTGTCACCAATGATATGTCAGTAGGTACCATCTGAAACGTATACATCTAACTCATCAATTGATAACCGATTCATAGATATAATCGAATTATAATATAATGGTTTCTAGTTACAGCGAGTGAGATCAAAGATAGAAGCATTCGAGAAATTAAAATAAAATGTCGGTTTCATATTTGGTTTTATGTTGATTACCATAGTTGCATGCACTTCTTGACCAATAGATGGCATAGAGAAGGCAAAAGCGCTAAAAGCAACTTCTAGTTAAGGTTTACCATAACGTTACTGAAAATCATTAGCGGATCGAAGAAAAGCTCATACATTATTTAAAGAATAGTCAAGGCTTCTTCTGATTTGGTAATGTTTCGATAATCAATTTAGGGTGGTGATAAACATGTCCAAGTGCAACCTACAACAAGATGTACCCTGTTATTAGAAACTATATGATAATTTATACGCTTATACTCTACGAAAAATATAACATATACATATATGTAGGTTTCAAACGTACTAATACAAAAACTCACAAACGGGGTAACAAAGTTAAAATGTAAATTGACAGTCATTTAATGGATGATTAATAATGAATGACGAGAAGTGAGGTATGAATAGCGACACTAGCTGGACAAAGTTAAGTGTAAAATACTCGATTAAGCACTATCATACAGACGTATATCAATGTCATGCAGCAATTCATCGCATCATGTAAAATCATATAAAAAATCTGTTAAGGCCGCGTACGTATTCAAGATTTTATTTGATGGGACAATTGTAAAGAATTGGTATTCCTGAACATTTGCTTTGCACCATCATTTATTTACGATTTATTTCAGTACAATTTTTTGAATGTGTTATTACTAGAAGAGAAAGTATCGTATATACCCTTACTGTACAATACAGGGAGCTTCAGATTTTTTATTGATATGCCGTACTATACCTGCCGCTTGATTATTTCTAGGTTATGGTTTGCTTTAGATATTAATTGATTAATTACATCAGGATCCGTAACAGTTTTGTTCTCCTTAAATGCATCTTTTATTCTTCTTAACGCATAAGCCCTAAAAATAATGCAGATTGTTACATACGCGTATTAGCCTCCATAAATAAAGTCAATATATTATCGATAAAGCATGGAGAAATCAGGTGTACATTATCTATAAAGTAAAGATATATATGCCATGTAATATACTGTATGTAGTATAGTATGGATTCAATAATACGCGTACACTAGCTTTCAAAATTTTTGTCCTTGTCACTGTTAAATTATCACAAAATTACAACAGTACTATACGTGTGTTATAAGAAAGAGTTTAGACCGCACTATTGTAACGTTGCATCACAACCTTATGTCTATCATAATAGATCTCTCTTTTACGAATGACAAATAGCTACAGAAGGAAAATTTGGTAGTTTATTACCTTCAGTATGTGAAACTTTTACTACATAACAGAATCACATTACCATAGTGCACTACTGATTCTTTTAGGCCTCTTATTACATAACTTGAACTAATGTAGTAAAATTGAAGGTCTCGCTAGACCTGAGAAAGGTAGTACCTGAGACTTTCTCTACATACGCAATTTATACTTTTAGACTGGTCATTTAAGTGATTATACAGTAGCTATAGAAATGAGAATGGATGTCTTTGCTGTTTCCAATATCCGAAATTTTTCACATTATACAGTACAGTACGTTTATTGTAGAGGACGTACTATAACACTATAGCTCGAGTTGTAGTTATTGCAGTATTATGAAAGTGAAATTGGATCATTTAGTTATCTCCAACATCAGAGAATCCTATACGTTCTCGTACAATGGGTATACGATAACTCTGTAGTTATGGTGAGTATAGGATTTTTAATTTTAACAATAATTAATCAAAGGGAAATTCAGATTAATTAACCTTTCTACAATTGAAGTCAGCAAGTGATGCTGACACAGCATGATTGCAAGAATAAGAATTCCGTTGAATGAATCAGTATGGTAAACAGTGTCCGTCTATTACATCAGCGCAATATGCAATGAGGGATTTTGCAATAGCAAATATGATCAGTAGAGCTACCGTATTGACTAAAATATGCTTGTATAAAACCTACTACTGTAATAGGATATTTTTTCATGGAATGTCAGTTCTCGACTATAATCAAGCTAAATCAGGGCTTGATTACACGAAACTACTCACACGGCTATAGGTGTGATAAATGATATGTCGTATCTAATATAATCACTAGAGTTACTCTAATGACTTGGATGTATATAAAATGCTTCTAATTTGACATTCTTAGGGATCGCATCTTTGTCATTACTCTTGACAATCGTCAAGCTAAATTTAGGATTTGATTAGGTGGAGCTGCTCCATTACAGCACATCATTTAGCTACACTTTTACTTATAGCTGCAATAATCGACTTGAACCTAATCCGTAGAGTTAGGTTATATACTTCGATGTATAAAGGCTTATCATCATTGGACATTTTAAGTAGTTTTTCCGATATAACTTTTGTCTATAGCGAGATCTATCCAAGGCTTGATTCCATGAAGCGGTTCTGTAGGTCATAAATCTACCTACTGTATAGTTGCATAATCGATTTGTAACGTGTAACATATTCAGTAAAAGTTCCGCTATCTACTTAGACGTATAAAAGCTTGTCATCATTGGATATTTTGAGTAGTATTTCTGTTGTAACTCTTGTCTATAACAAAACCGATCCCAGCCTTGATTATTAGAACTTTTCAACACAACATGCCATGCATGCATTCGTCACGTTAGCGGCACATTACCTATAGCTGTAAATAGGAAATTGACTTCCAGCTTTCATCATTTGTCTATATAACTTCAAAACTTGTGATGCAGTTGAATTTGACATATCTGATCTCAAAAACTGGCTGATTTTATCGATATAAACGACAATCGGAAGCTTAACAGTTAGGATATCCAATAATTCTCCAGCTCGCAAAGCGCAAATTTGATTCTTGAAGCTGTTGCGTACCGGGTAACCAGATGTAATGCCCATGAATTTTTTTTGGAGTATACTGTATAATATACTACTGCATGTGAAGTACAAATGGTGTTAACGATGAATAAGTGGGTAGAGCTGGCTAGAGTCAGCGCGGCCATGGTATTTCCTGACTATAGAAGTTACTACGCCTGCCAACCGTCCGACGTCCAGCTTCTGTATAGGCGGGTCTTCCCTACATCATTGCTAGGCTACCAAATCTTCCTCCATATGAACGTATCCTGTCTTGAGGTCCCCTTTACCTGCATAAAAAGCTAACTAAAACTGATAGAATTTCAATCCCATTTTCAATTTACAAAGCTTACAGCTTCATAGTTGTAAATCAAGGGGAATTTTCAAGCAATGAAATTCTATACCAGAAATGTTTTGAAACTTCTCTCCGTGATTGATGAGACCTTCCTATTCAGTCAATTTCTGTTACGTAACATTGGAGGCTTTTGTGGAAAAAGGACAAGTTTCACTTTACCTATATAATTCAAGATGCAATCGCAATTTTGATGAAAAGCAACCATTTTTAAACGAGTTTGCAACGATGCATATCGCGTGAGCATCATCTGTGCCAATGCATTCTACTCTACTCTATGCATTACTAATATGCAGTAACATACCTCGAGGCCCTGACAGATACCGTACAAGTTTTATTTAAAAGCAACCATTTTTCAACGAGCATCATCTATGCCAATGCATTCTACTCTACTCTATGCACTACTAATATGCAGTAACATACCTCGAGGTCCTGACAGTTACCGTACAAGTTTTATTTAAAAGCAACCATTTTTCAACGAGCTTGCTCTACTCTATGCACTACTAATATGCAGTAACATACCTCGAGGTCCTGACAGTTACCGTACAAGTTTTATTTAAAAGCAACCATTTTTAAACGAGCTTGCAACGATGCATATCGCGTGAGCATCATCTGTGCCAATGCATTCTACTCTACTCTATGCACTACTAATATGCAGTAACATACCTCGAGGTCCTGACAGATACCGTACAAGTTTTATTTAAAAGCAACCATTTTCAACGAGCATCATCTATGCCAATGCATTCTACTCTACTCTATGCACTACTAATATGCAGTAATATACCTCGAGGTCCTGACAGATACCGTACAAGTTTTATTTAAAAGCAATCGTTTTTAAACGAGCTTGCAACGACCGTGAGCATCACCTGTGCCAACGCATTCTACTCTACTCTATGCACTACTAATATGCAGTAACATACCTCGAGGTCCTGACAGTTACCGTACTAGTTTTATTTAACTTAATGGAGGTTCCACTCGCTCTCTATGGATCGTCAGCGCAGCTTCATTTATGTATTTGTAGAAAAATTAAGCTTTCTCGTGTAAGGGAATCGGGAGAAAAATTCGGAAATTGCTTTGGATAGTTTGCTGGCACAGTAGGATAAGTGATTACTCTTGTGAGCAATGTCAGAATTATGGGTGTACTTCAGAAGCTAGGGTGTTACAGTACGCAGCAGTTGCGGATGATAGTATACTTTACGTATATAACTTTTTTTTGATCTAGGTTGTTATGTCTAGACATAGTACGCCACTTATCATTTCATGTTCAATCACTTATTAAACACGAAAGTGAGAATCGAAATAATGTAATTTCATGTTATCCAAGTATACTGCCTCAAGCAGTACTAAATTTAAAAAATTTTAATTTTATATGAAACGCTCAAAAGTATGAATTAGTCAAATTCAGCTAATTACAATAAATTATTGTCCATCTTAGTTGACTATTCCATCAATTGCTAGCTAATTCGTGAAATTTCCTGCTAAATTAACACAAAATGCTGACGTGATGAAAGTAGTTGGCGATAGGTGTGGATCCAGAGCACAAAAGTGAGCAAAATGCATTCATCAGAATGCGATTTGCAAAATTGCTCGTATGTATGAATTGTATTATTCAATTATTATTAATGATTGATTACACTACGAGTATATACGCGTAGTTAGGATCTACAGCATCACTTTTACGCGCAGTACTCTCATGTGAGTTGTGCCTATGCATTCGAATCCGGAAGGTTTGGATACACAAGGAATCTAAAGCAGTTTATGATAATAATAATGGAAAATCTTTATTCACGTCTACTGCCTCATAGAACTATCATTGTACAACTTCTTCCGACGCTTTAACAGATTTTTTTTTAATCACCTTGAAAGGTATAGGCTTATTAACAAAAAACTGAGCAATATATTTCAAACACTTTTCATTAATATCGATTTCTCCATTGTAACTACTGAAAAGATCCATTGTATCAGAAGCCCAGGCCATATTTACAAGGCCTTTTTCAATGTTGTTTGTCTTTAAAGTATTCAATTGATAACACATAAAAGTAAATTGCTGACCATTAGTTATAATAGTTTGACAACATAAAGGATGCTTTAAGCTTTGACCTAGTTTACCATCCTTATTCTGTGCATGTGCAGCCAACTGTGCAAAAGACGATATAATTCCTCGAGCTATCGTTTGTTCACTTTTATAACTTTTTCTATCAATAATTATCTGTGTGTGAATATAAGGCAATGGATTACCAATTTTATAACCGGGAAAGCTATCAAGATGAACATGCCTCTTGAATAAGCCTAGATCGCCAACAGGTAAATATTTAGCGGGTCGAAGTTGTTCTATCTTGGGTTCAGCAAATTTGCCTAGTGGAAATTTGCATCTTAAAACATACGTTGGACGATCTTCAATTTGAAACATTTCAAAATCACGCGTCCAATAAGCAGCGATTGTCGGCCGATAGGCTAACGAAGCCTTACTCATGTAGGGATGCTCGTCCAGTGGATTAATTGACCAAAAAATTCTCATGATATCTTGTAGTAAACCCTGAGCGAAAGGTTCAGCTTTGGAGCGATGATTGGATTCTATTTGAAATAGCTTAGCTTGTAGTATTGATTTATGTAAATAAGATGATAATCGTTTGAGGGTTGCTTCAGTTACGCTTTCATCATAAACTTCAGGCATTCCTTCTTGTAATACAGATTTGGTTAGCCATAGGTATTTTGAATCGCATTGAATCGCTTGCGTTCGAGGAGGGACCATGAATGCATGCTTGATCGTCTTGAGCGAAACCAATGGAAAAAGACGGTCTCTATTTTTCCCCTTAAATTGACGAGCAACAACTTGCTTTATTGCTTTCATAATTTTATTCTACTGCTATTGGAATTGCTTGTTAACTTAAATCTGCATCAATGATAGCATCCAAAGTTTCATCTTGTAATGTTAACTTGAATGAATTTTCGGCGATCAGCCAGCTCGATCTCCAATTTGGAGGTACTGGTACTGATGCAGCTGGACGGGATCACATATGTGAGAACTGGCCCAATGCAAGCTAAACTTGGACGGCATCGTTTCATCCACTACAGTACTACTTGCATAGCGCAGTGTATGCGTTGTAGCATAGTCATCCTGAATACAAGTGATACAGTACGGTACAGTACAGTACCGTACAGTGTACAGTATACTGTCGATATCATACTACTGTACACTGTACACTGTAGGCAGCATACTACTGTACTGTACTGTACCGTGTACAGGCTGCGGTACAGTACAGTAGAAGCAAATTGAAGTCGGGCCTTTGCGATGAAGACCGATGCAATTCGCCAGACTGACCAAGAAAGGCAACCCTTGCAGTTTAGTTGGAATTTGGATGGCATGCATGTCCGGTGGTAGGAAGAATTAGAATAGCTCTACGATTGAACGACAGACTACTGGATTCATCGATCATTTACAACCTCAATAACTTATAGTTTTAACTAAAGGTACTTTTAAGGGTACTTGATAATATCCTTGAAAACTCCTACTTGAAGGTTCAAAACTGTGTCATCATCTCCAGAAATCAAAATTATTCCTTGATCGTTGAAGATGGCTGTATGTGTTGCTGTTATTGCAAGAGATGTAAGTGCACGAACGAAACACCTTGCATTCAAATGATAACCGTTATACATTGTTGTGTAGATTACAATAATGTAGTAGTGAATGGATACTATCGGTCCATAGTTTAGCAACACTATACGAGTAATACATCCTACCATGATACAAGACGTGTATGCAAAGCAATATTGCAAACCTGTATCGGGAAGCTTTCTACATATTTTAAACCGCACTACGTTAGAGTAACTTCAACTCTGATTTTAATCCATTTGTCCATGTTCTATTATAGTAATTGTTGTTTTATTTCGTTTAATGACAGAACTACCCTTTGTATATACGAACAGCCGAGCCCGATCACGAGCTGAAATTCCATTATATAGCTCATACATCACTAGATGTGATTGAGGAAAAATGTACGGTATCATACCTTACTGTAGCTATGACCGACGTCATGCACTCGGTAGAATAAATGTCACAGGTAAACCTGATCTTACTATACTTTGCTATATATCTTAATTAGTGGCAACGTTAACCAAAACAACTAGCGATATGCGTGAACTATATCTGGGAATACTTTATCCAACGGAAGATTACAAAGTGTATCCTTCTACAAATTAAACTACCTATTCCTTTTAATAACGTAAATGGTGATGCTGTTATCAGTTCAAGTGTTAAATAACTTCTGATCATGATTACGGTAGAGCTCCATGTATGAAATTGCTGTACGTGTATTCTTCCTTAAACTATCTCAAGTTACGGATATGTTACCAATACCAAAATAAAATTTGTGGTGGTTGTCGACGCTTCTGGAATTAATTATCGAGATACTGAAATGAGGGCGGTAAGTTCAATTCGATACTATTCGTGCTAGGCAGATGATTTTCACTATAAATATTTATGTACATGTTAGTTTGTAAACTGTTTTTTCTGTAAAATTAATTTCTAGATATTTCGCAAACTACATCACGCATATTCCGATGTTATATCAAATCCTTTTTATACTCCAGAAACCACCATAACATCGCCGTAAGTATCAAAAGCTGACAGACAATTCTAGCGTATTGAACATTGACGTAGATATTATTGGTGATAATCACCAACTATAATACCTAAAGAACTGTAGCACTCTGCACAATCTTAATGGTAGCTATTAGTAATATCTAGTAGGAAATCTTTAGTAATAAATTTTTTGTATGTTGATTTTTTGATAGAAATTTCGATAAAGCAGTACGAAATATAATGGTAAAAGTAGATGCATAGCCCGTACGAACGTCGTCATGGGTGAATCCAACGCTTAACGAAATTGAGCGCATTACTGCTACATTAACACCAGAAGTAACGCTGTCCACTATCATGGGATATACACGTACAGAAGCTGCACACTGTCCCATAGATGAATTCATCCTAAAACAGCCTTTCTGTATTATAGGTGTGTAGCAGAGAAACCTTCGCCGAGTTAATCAATCAATTAGCCGTAATTAAACCATATATCTAACTGTATATTTCTTTCTTGCGACAACTATCCTACCACATTCATAGACACATGCGTTATATCTTTCTTCATTTTTTTGTATCTTATCAATTTCTGGATATGAATATCATAATTAAAGTGATTGCAAAGATTCCTTTATTGAGATATTTTCTCTGGCTGTGAGATGACTTTTGAAATGTAACCTATTCTATTAATTATTTCCATTTTAGTAGAGAAATAGTTCAGTCTTAGTGCTGTAAAGCAGTACTACACTGTATTATATTTTTTATTTTTATACAGGTTATTAGTAATGACGTCAACAAACATTTACAGAATATAAAAGTCATATCGCAGTAATGATAACTTGATACTATGTTTAGGCACCAATCAGCTCCATACGTACATTGTTAATGCTACCAGATCATGTACGAATACTCGTATGTACAAAATTAATTAAGTTAAGCCTCGCAAAATAGTTTGCAAGAAGTAACTTTACAAAGTTTTTATCATAACGGTAAATTCTTACATATAAGGTAAAATCGTGTAAGCGTGTACCTTTGGCAAGCTGCAGTTGCACAGATAACGCTCCACTTGAGTGAGTGAATAGTAATTTCACAATAGACAAAAATCTATAGATTTTAATGACCGTAAATTTTCTCCAGAACATAGCAATTCAAATCTAAAGCAGAAAATGATGTTGTTATCAAATTCTTATCGTGAATCTTCCAGATAATATGAAGACTTTCATTCATTCGGAAGCAATAGCGTACAACATAGAACTAGAACATGACTCTAAGCGTCATTAAGTAGCCAATACATAAAAGAAACATTATTTTGAGATCAAATGCTATAAAAGCCACGGAAAGAGTTTCCATTTCGAATATATGTAGTATATATAACAAATGATATAGGGAAGTTAGATGCGTACATTTATCTTGGATGTACGCTAGTATGGCTTTCAATACGGCCTGTATACATTTCTTCTAAACCTATAAAATATCGATGAAAGCTTAAGTTATTGGCACGTCCTAGAAAAGTACTACAAAGAAGATGAGATTGTATACAGTAGGCGCTGCATTGCTACAGTACCTGCTACGCCTTCTGGGTCCACCTACACCACCATGCCGAAATGGTCGTCGTCCGCGGCGAAATCCTCTGTCTGTGGAACTAACACCAGGGCGATTAGTTCGTTTAGGTGATACCTATCAATGAATAATTGATATTAAGTTATTGAGTACGTCCCAAGATCAAGAAGAGTATGCCAATTTATTTATCATATCGATTTTAACTCAAACCTTTATTTGCCTTCCACGGAATAATGAATCATCTAAAGCCATTGCAGTTTTCACCGATTCTTTATCGGAGAATTCAATGTAAGCAAATCTACAGTAAATATAAACGTTGTGTATTGTTATACAACACTTATCCTGTGGTATTTAATTAAGTAAGGTTAATTGCAGGCGATCATGCATGACCAAGTGAACGTCCAAGGGTATGAAAGCAGTGCAATTTTTCAGCTTATCAGGTTGCAAATGTTAGCTGAAAATACCCTAGTTCAGTTAAAATTCTCTACAAATTTATTTATTTTTGGTGTATATTATGCAATGTTTACAGCTTCAACATTGAGTTTAGCAAATTGATAAGAGAACTCCTCCGAATGGAAATGAGTTTACTTTTAATTACCCTTTGGGATGACCACTGAATTTATCACATAAGATCGTGACTCTGTTTACTGATCCACAACCATGAAAATGTTGTTCTAACTCTTCTGCAGTTGCTGCATAGTCAACCTATATTATTGGAGAATTTACATTGGAAATGAGGATATGAAATTGCTAATTTTCAGGCTGAAGAAATCTATACAATAAGGAAAGAAATAGTTCAAGTTCGATTACGCGTACATTTCCGACATATACTGAACGTGCATCCGCTTCAGCCCTATCCTCCGTTGTTCCTTAAATTAATTTGAAAAATTTAAAATTCTACCATTATTATATGGTAAATTGATTTCATCTTGGAGGCTAACGTGTTGTTACCATAATGAGTAGACAGGACTAATACGCGGCGGTATACTTGTAATAAGTTTCAATAGCCAACCTTCTTACCTGCTGATCCTAAAACACTTTTTTCGACCTCATTTTGCATTTCTTTCAACTTTTCAGCTTCTTCTTCCATTTCTTTTACGCGAGCTTTTATGGCTTGCAATTCCTACAAAACAGATCAACGTCATGCATAACTCATTTTGCAACTAATCTGACAGATTGTTTTCAATTTGATATTGATCATGGAATGAGTGCCAAGACAAGTACGATCAACTGAAGGCAAGCATTCTACGTACTTTGTAGTCTGTAGTGCAGTATTACTAATGGAAGATTGTCGACAGCCTGTATCAACCATCATAATTCATTGTTATGAGCAAAATAAAAAGAAGGAATTTCTCCTTGACTGAAGTATTCAGGAGTGCTTGTCGTCAGCGCACACCTTTGTAATGACAGTGCACTTGAGCAATGACCAACTACTGATGGACATAACGCAATACTGTACTGTACTATCTATCTTGGATACTATTCTACAAGAATACTTGTATATCCGATGCGAAGATGAAAATAAAAAGGTGACCTACTGGATCATCAGCTTCATTATCGCCAGTTAAAAGACTATCGGTAGCCATAGCACTTTCCTCTTTGGTATCATTGGTTGAATTGCCATCCATAAAGAATGATACCTCACCTTCGCCGCCATTTAAATCTGACTCTAATTCAGCCATCTTTTGATTACTATTTGATACAATCGTATAATATCAATGTCTTAAATAAGAGGGCAAATCAAGGCTTCAAGTATTTGAAAATGGGATTTCACTGCTTATCTGTTAAGATAAATTATAGATCTCTCAAGATTCCTCCAGATACAAAGTAGTCTAGGATAAATAAATGGCAACGAAGGCTAAGCTTTTACAGCATCATTTCCCACTTACGATAGAGCTGCTGATTGTAGTACGTTTTGCAACGTAGTGACACAATACCGACCGTTCCGGTACAGTACTGTAACGTCAACGTTGACCGCGTCACCGTACGCTTTGGGTATCGCCAGTGGCATCATACGGTGTTGCTACTACAATACACTCGAGTACAATGCTACAGTACTATACTGTAGTTAGCAGCACGGTGAGGCAAAGCCCGCCACGGGCTGCAGCTCCTCTTTTCATTTTACCTGCAGTCCTGTCCAAGATTATTATTTTATTTTCCATACCGTATGATCACAGGACTGGGCTGTGTACCAACCTGTATGATGGTTACGTCCAGCAATATTACTGGAAGCACTGTAAGCAACTTGGTAATTGTCACTATCCCTTTGTGACACCGTCAGAGTGCAATGGACATTGTACAGTACAGTGCTGTACAGTACTGTACTGTACACTCTTTTAAAACATCACGTCGCCACCTTGAGTTTTGCACGGTAGTGTCATGAGTTTTGCATGCTGACTACAGTAAGCACTTTTCTACAGTGTACAGTGTACAGTGTGCACCAGCGTACAGTAGACGTGTAGTACTGAGTTTTGCACGATAGTGTCATGAGTTTTGCATGATCACTACAGTACGAACTTTTCTACAGTGCACACTCGACAGTGTACAGTACACGTCCAGTGCGTCCGTCCGGTGCAGTACGGTACAGTATAGTACGGTCCAGTTACGAACTTTTCTACAGTGTACTGTACAGTGTGCACTAGCATACACTACGTCCGTCCGGTGTCATGACTGTAACGGTACGCATGCGCAGTATAGGATGAGGAAATCAATTCATTAAACTTAACTTCAACTTGTCTTGTATCATGGCGACAGCGATAATGTAACGTAAAAAAAGGTACAAGCAAAATATCATAAAAAAGGGATCGACTAGTTGTATATACAACAAGTGTCTTCTCTGATTTATTCATAATAATAATAATCAATATTCCCCCTAGACGCGTAATCATCTTACATCTCGTCTCGGATTGCTAATTGCAGACTATATCCACTCAAGTTTGTAGACTACTACTGTACAGTGTTGAAGAATAATGAATAATAGGATTGCAGTTTGCAAGCCTGTTGTACACTTCATCAAGTGATTGTACAGTAGTAGAATGGACTAGAGAAGAAAATGAAAGAAAACTTCTTCGTCTTTCGTAGTTGAGCAATTTCTCATCGTTGCACAGCAGGCACAACAAACGCGCTACTGCCTAATACGTAACTATGGCACCATAGACTATACTAGATAGATTAAGGCCATCAACATCGATAGAATAAGATATTTCAACAGTAAACAGTGTACTATATACTGTACTTTACCTGGTATGAGTGCCTGGTATCAGTCGTCGATGACATACGTCGTACAGTAGTTTACAGTTGCCGCTGGACGCTGCCGTAAAAGCAATCATTAATTGGTGTGGAATAGCCGGACGGAGCTAGAAGCAAAAAATCATCTTGAGTTTCTTGAATATTCTGCAGCATGTATGCATATAACTTCATTTGTAGGAGAAGTTTAACATTATCACCTTGCAGAGTGTTAAGCCGGTTTTTAGTCAATAGTTCCACCACGGTTAATTATACAATCAATACTTGCAAGTTATTATCCAAACGCCAAGCAACTCTCCTTACTAAACAGGCATCTTGTCCAAAATCGATCAATACGACAACGATGTCCAACCGCCTGATTGCTCGTAATCTATCTTCAAAATCGACAAATGGCGATACAAATACAACGAATGGAGCTGTAAATCAAACTAATATATCTACTTTACAACGTCTACGAGTGGTTTTTCGAGATTATGGTACCTGTGCTATCATCTTTCATATAGCAGTCAGTTTGCTATCAGTAGGTTGTTGGTATATGGTCGTAGAGAGGTAAGCTAAACATAGGTACAAACCAATAGCTACTGTACTAGAGCGTTTCCAAACATCCATTGCACCCACTATCATCAGATCAGCAGTGTATTTTTATAAAGTAAAGCCAATAGCCTCAGTTCTGCAAGCAAAGAAAGACGTTCGAGGACTACTTAACATTATTAGACAGCCAGTACCGCATCGATGAATGCTGCGTATGACAATATGAGGAGGCAATGATGGCTAGCGATAGATATACTGTACAGCATAGAGGACACTTCCACTTTTTCAAGCCACTTTCATCACTGTAGAAATAAAATTGATTTCTGTTAGTGAAGTAAACTTGTAGCAGAAAGTAAGCTATATCTGAGGTTATTTACCAAGGCCTCTTGAGTCAAGATATCATCCCATACGATCATTGCGGTTATGTCAACTGTAGCGACACTGCAATGTCGTAGTAGATCTTGATGTAGTACTCTACTCTACTGTACGCTGATTAGCAAAACTGCAAAACTCTCAATATCCCTTCAACATCACGAAATATTTTAACTTGTGGCCTTTTCATAATTTTATTCTTATTAGTGGTATAGACATCAAGACTTGGATGCAAAAAATTGGCTTTAGTGAAAAATTTCTTCAATCGGTATTTACCACCAGTGCTGGAACATTTATTGTTGCATATGCAATCCATAAAACAACAGCAATTCCAAGAGCTATGTTAACAATATCTGTAACACCGCTGATTGTCCGCCACCTTAGACGCATCGGATGGATGAGAAAACCTGTTGTTGCTGCATCTGCAAGCCCCAAAGTTTCTAAACCCTAACTGACTATAGTCGCAGTTGTAATAATCACTACTATAAATTTTTCTCTTTAGCTGTTGTAAACTGAAATCATAACATCCAAAATGCTATTCTAAATCATGTTAACAATTGCTGTAGAAATGACCTTCTTTCAAAATTTCCTTTGCGACTACCTGTGAAATAGCATTATTCATTTCTCTGTGATATATGGGTAAGCTTATTGAGATATACTATAAGGGTCTACTGTTAACGTGCCATAGTGTTAGCCTATTTTTTAAGATTGTTTCAAGCAACTAGTGACTAGAAAATAAATTAAACTCCATATCGTTGCACTAGAACATTATAAACATACTTTCGCGAATACAAATTTAATTATCGTATGAAATTCACAAGTCAAATATGATGATACATGCGAATATGAAAAAAATGAAACGTTTTCTGTTAGATCGCTAGCAATCGCAAATTAAATGTTATTATTGTGATAGATTCTTAAAGATGTTGATATATTACAGATGATACAGTAGCTATATAACTAACTATACAGTCTAATTGCACAACTCAATAGTCATTTATTCCAGAGCATTTACCTCAAGCCATCGGTGTAGACCTGACATCGGTGTACTCTATGTTACTGTATAATATATCGCTATTACTGTATGTACAGTACTGTATGCGATTTATTAAAATGGCATCAAGAAAATAAAAAATACTACGTATCATATGAAGTTGGCATTACTAAACTTTTAACTATAGACAACGTTGTTTATCTGTATGGAACATTAAAAAAATTAAAGTGGATATCAGATAAAGGAATTATTGTTGGAACGCACTTACTGGGATCAAAGAGGATGCACTAAATACTGGTAATTCCATTATAATGAAAGACATGATGAATTTACTGGAAACAATCGACTACACAGTATTACTTACCGTTTTGTAGGACTAACACTTAAAAAATGCATATTGTTACGGCTTGCTGTTAATATATTATATTAGCCAAAGCGCTACAAAAGAATTAATATATGCACAAACTAAATAATACTCCACTTAAGATTAGTCTCAAATTCTAAAATAGAGACTAGAATTACTCTCTTACTGTACTTGCAGTAATAGTCAAGATATGCTAGTAGTAATTTGTGCTGTTGTTATTATACCAGTATAATTACAATAAATGCAATTTCGTAATTACCCTTTTCCAAAGCATGATTTGAAGCAATTTTAGATGCTCTCGCATAGAATGATAATACTGTAGTACCCTCAAAAATTTATATATTCTGTATTTTATTTATATTACGAAATTAAATTCGATCTAACACAGTTATCACAATATACATAGCTTAATGTAGTAATAAATCTCAAAAATCTTCATATTTACGTTATTGTTAGCAGAGAAATGAAATGCACTCAGTATCAGGACCAAAATCTGTAACTTTAAAACCTTCATTTTAGGCCTTAAGTACAAATACCTACAATGGTTAATATAATTAAAGATTACATAGTACGGTGCTGTACAGTTCTCATTTCTAATATGTTGTACAACTTTAAAGCAAAACTACAAGTTGCTTATAATATATTAATTTTAAAAGTAATTATAAATCAATTCTAATTTTGATAACCAACTTTCTTAGGTTTCATAGTTTAAATGAAGGTACTGCAATTGCTGCTAAAAGAATATTATGGAAATAATATAAAATTACAAGATTTATTACCGAAAACTTTAATTAACAAGATTCATCACCGTAAATAGGCAATGCAAAATCTGACTGTAATAGTACTAGTAGTAGATATCTTTATAACACAAACCTGTGTTATATACATTACATTACATTTGAAACATTTAAAGCCCTGAAAGGAGGATCCAAAACATACTCGTCATGCAAAAACATCTTACATAATTTAATTTTTTGCATCATTTTGAACATGTTTTACGATCCAGGGGTGTGACATTACGCCATCAAGTGATAATCTTTCAGAGGGTTTACGACATAGAAGCTAAATGATAAAATCATATTTGAAAATCTGTTACATGATTCGAAATTATGCTTAAAGTACAACGATAAAAAGAGTCATTAATATCTTATTCATGATCACCTTTCTGATTAAATCCATAGCCTCAGGACTCAGTTTGTTCTCTGGAAACTTTAAATCAACCTAAAAGTATAATCAAACATTAATTAACTGTAAATATATTATATTTTCATTACTTTTAGGACGTAAACACTGAGTTAATAAGTCACAGCATAAGAACCTTGATAATTCTTTTATAAGTATCTTCATGAGTTTTAGTCTCGAATGGTGGGCAACCAACAAGAAATTCATAGCATAATATGCCCAAGCTCCATAAATCAACCTAATGACATTAAAGCAAAAATAAGTTCAAATTGCAGTACTGACTTTTTGGAAGATTTACTTGATTAAAAATTGATTCTTTACTTAATACAATCTTATAAACAATACATGGCTTATCTCCATGCTAATTCTGATTTATATCATCAAGGTAATCGTTTTATTTGTATATTGGCGTACCTTATCGTCGTGTTCATCACCGATGATCATTTCAGGAGGTAGGTAATCCAGCGTTCCACATAGTGTAGTTCGCCTAAGTTGGATAGATTGAGCATTAGTACATTTCTAAGGTAAATTTAAAGTCTTTAAGCTACAAATTTAATATCATAGTACCTTGATGATGGAGCATGAACAGACCAACCGAAATCAGCAATCTTAAGATCACCCTATAAATTAAATTAATTATCAAAGTGTCACAGTAAGCCTAAGCTATCAATCGGATAGTTGCAAAATACTAACAAAATCTTTTTATAAAATATTTTCAGGATGGTAACAACTTATGTAATATCTTACATGAAGTAATACAAATAAAGTACAGATTAAAAATGTCGATTACGAACCTTTATACCGAGTAATAAGTTTTCAGGCTTTATATCTCTGTGAATGACCTTTTTTGTGTGACAGTACCTCAATGCATCGGAGAGTTGTGCAATAAACTAGAAAAATTTATTTAAAACAATGATGTTATAAATGCATTAGCACAAAAGTTTATTATATGAACAGTCAACAAACTTTAGCAGCTCTTGGTTCATCAAATACTTTCTGCCGTTGCAATTCTTTGTACAGTTCTCCACCTGGTGCAAACTCAAGTATAAGGTACACACGGCTCGTATCGTAAAAATACCCATACAATCGTAGAATATTAGGATGGCTATTAAAAATTAAACGATATTGATATATTAAACATTAATTATCCGCATACGCTGCAACAATTTCAAATATGAGAACTGCATCAAATTTAAAACTCGTATATTTGTATGAGTATCAAGTTATTCAATTCAATATTAAGAAATATGCATACCGCAAATGAGATTGAATTTCAATCTCGCGTCTTAGCTGGTGCTCAACATTTGCCTTTTGTAGTTGAGATTTAAATAGAACCTGTTAATAGCATTGGTATAATTGGAAAGGTTTTTTAAAATCTCAATTGATACTAGATGTAAGTCAATTGTAATCGTATTTATAATTCTTTTCTCTTAACAATTGATAAAATTTGATCTTCTATTTTAATAATTTTCCCTTATAATTATACTAAATTTATAGTTTACCTTTAACGCAACAATGTATTTACTCTGTTTTTCTCTTGCTAAGTACACGCTACCAAATTTCCCTATCAAAAATTTTTCTGTCATTATAATTTGTACAATCATGTAGGAATTTTTGGGTTGCACCCTTATTATTTTTATACGCAAATGTTGATTAGTTTAACAACAAACCTTTGCCTAATGGTCTGCCAATATCAAAATCGTCCAACGTCCATCTTTTTCTAGAGCTATAATAGTAATGAGTCCTCGTTACAAATGATACATTACAAATTTAAAGCGTTATACGTATACAATGCTAGTTTAATTTTTAAATTACAAAATAAAACGAAGATCTAGTTTTTAGCTGACGGAGCTACGTAGAAATATATCGAAGAATTACAGTAGTAAGACTACTACTGAATTGTATTAAATAAAAACGTTACAGGTATTTACTTCTTTTGCTCTTCAGCATTGGACGTAGGTACTTGTAACTGCTGAGTTTTGGTCACACTTTGGTTTTGATTCTGCAGTCTATCAATGTTAGTACTTTGCTTTAACGAATGGTGGGAGGGATAATTTTCGTTAATAATATTAGTATGATTAGATGCATGGCCAGCATCGATCGGTGCCAATTTATTGACGGGTTTCACTATTCTTTTGGGGCCACTCAGCTGCAATATCAATCCAAAGAGACAATTTAAGGAAAATTGATAACGTAGTTTAATAGTCAATAAAGTTATTTAATTGTAAATACTAGAAAAAAAGATGTACACTGTGCTACGCGGTGTGCGTATAGTAATACCATACCAGGTTAGTCTGTGGTCTATCCGCTGAGTACTTTTGACCACTATTCTCTTTATTGGCCATCAGTTGCATCCGATTCATCTGTGTTAAATTAAAAATGAGGGAAAAGTTATATTCATCTAGTAATAATACGTATACTTAGGATAACTTAATATCTACAGTTAATTACAACAATCCTTTAAATATTTCATTAAAGAATTTGCACATCATGGATACAATTCGATATTCTAGTTTGATGTTATACACATATCTTTAATTAAAGCAGAAGACGATTTGAAACTGGCTTACATCCGGCATGATCCAAGCAATTATAATTATCGACCTATCCCTTATCCACCTACTGTAAACTAGCTAGATAGCTAAATTTAGATATACTGTAATACCAATAGACATATAAAGGATTTGAATGTTCAACCCTTTTGTCAGTTTCATCAACTGGAAACTACGCAATAAGCTCTTTGGGCTTAAACTAGCACAGGGTGCATATGTGCGTATATGAAACGGATAGTATTAAAATGCCTGTACAAGTTCTAGCAAATGATTACAATAAACGCAGATGTAATTAACTTAATATTGATTGTAGTCGAGATTTGCTACAAACCTGTGACTCTAAAAGATTTAGCTTGGAGGCCATAGAATTTTGAAAAAAAATTATTAACAAGTTATCAACTTGTGCTATGTGAAAATTGCCAACCGTTCTAGGAAAACAGCTGTAGAAGTACTGTATATGAAGTATAAACACGAAATGGCTGGAAAAAGTAGCTGCAGTGGAAGATGACAGAGGAGGATAAAATAGAATAAAATCTCGTCTTCTAGCAATGTATTGCTTCTTTCTTTAGTGTCCTCAATCTCAGGAGGGCTAAAATGAGATTCGCTACCACCAATCCTATCAGTATCTGAATTTTCTGTCTTATGATGGGGAATAGCAAGAGTCCGCAAGACCTGCTTCTACGTATAAACTACTGAATGAAGAGCCCCTTTGGCTAATTAATTTACGAGTACAATATTGTATGGGTTTAGACTTCAAAGTTGCTCAAGATTGATGCAAATACTTTTCTTAGTAGTGTGTTCCAGCTAGGAGTTCACAGTCTCTACAGTACGCCTACTTACACGATACTATGAATGGAGTGTATAGAAATGAAAAATTTTGAAAGTAAAGCATCAACAATTTTAAATTTTAACGGCTTGCTCTCCTATTGGTTGTAACAGATTTACGGTACAGTACGACACAAAAGGACTGTTCGTTCATACTGTACAGTACTGTATTCATCCTGTACAGTGTACAGTATATGTACGTTATACTGTACACTCTACAGTCAAAACTGAACTGGGCATGATTACAAGACAACAATAAGTGTTTGCTCATTGGTCCGGTCTTTATGATTTTCCTAGTTTCTTTTGTTTATCGACCAATGAGCAAGCACTTGTTGTTTTCTTGTGATCATGCCCAGTATTTGCTGTATTATACTGTACTGTACTATATGGTACAGTACTACATTTACAGGAATCCGGCTGTACTGTAGTCTGTAGATCGTGGGGGAGTAAAGTACTGGACTGCACATTAACCTTGTACAGGTGATGGATAGTTTTAGATATGCCAAAGATGGCAGGAGGATGAAGAACACGTTTATTCAGAGAGATCAATTGAGAACAGAGTACACAGGTAGAAGGTTACAGAGATATAGAGTATAAGGAGGTATTGATACACATTGTACAGTATATCTCTGCCGTGTTTACATTGATCTATGTAATACAGTGGACTCACTGTCTATTCATTATGATGCAGATACGATGCAAGTTAATGGCAGCACTTCAACGAATCAACTAGTTTATCCCTCGCTCGTTATACTAAACGCACTATACTGTACTTGACTATTTTGAATGAGTAGATTAGTAACTTTATTTGGGGTTCTTAAGTATGGTGTTGCTTACGACAGTAATAACAGCAAGCTGAATCGTACATCATGCAGCCAAAATAAAGAAAATAAAAACGACTAAGCAGTTATCGATTTTGCAAATGCAAAATACCTCTCAATTTATGAATAAACAATAGTAGATCAAGGCTCAAGACGTAGTGTACAGTAGATTGGCCATCCACTGTTGTGTGTTAATATCTGAAACTGAAGCTATTCTACCGCTGCGGCTGCAGGAATTCGTAATAATCATCCAAAATTTTTTAACAAGTACTGTAGAACTTGAAATTCGTTTACCAGAACTGCAGAAGTCATGTAGCAGTGAACTATTGCCAACGTGCACTTGAGTGATTTGACGTCATACCTTATCTAAGATGAGTTATTTTATTAACTATATTATTAATCTATCGTGGTTATGATTATAATATATCGATATTGAGTATCTGGTCACCAAATTTCAAATGAATTTAGATTGCACTTAGAAAGCTCAACACATGACTTGACAGAGCAAAGATTCGCTCTGCTTGTGCTCGTTGCAAAACACTACTACTTGATAATTTACTTCAGGAAAGCTCATTTTTACCGCGATTGCCATCGGCTAGTGCTGCAACCAAGTTAGTTGTGTACAATAGTAAGACCTAATTATAAGCTTCCAAACTAGTTGATTGCAATCATCATAAAGTTTTTTTAACTTAAACAATTGTCAAAAGAGTTTTATCTCTCGGACTAAAGGAATTACTTGATACAGTAAGAATCGGTTATGATCCAGTACTTATTCGAACTATCCTTCCGGATATCAGTACTGCTTTCGCTTCAATATTAAAATAAGGATTTGAGGTAAATACAAAATGTAAACTGTAAATTGTATTTGAGACCTCAAATAACTCCATGTCTCGAGCTACAGTAATGTCACAGTAACACTTTACCATCATTTAATCGCAAGAACTCAAGGAGAAAAGCTCCCAATTTACAGTATTCACTGTCCTGTAACATCAATATTACAGTTCATGACAATGAATATTAGATAATGAGATAATCGAACATTTAACATAGCTACACTGGGTACTAACTAAAGTACATTCACTTGGCAATGGCACACAACAGAAAAGCTTCATCTGGTTGTTACATAGTTGTATTCAATGCAAAGATAACAGTCATCTCATATTCAGGAATTTTGCAATGATGTTGCTAGTTGAGCTAATAATATTGTATTATCTAAAATTATAACAGCATTTCTTGTTATAAAACTAACCTCTAACATTTCAAAACTGGAAAAATTTTTTACAGTATCATGCAAACGGCTACGCAATCAAATTGAATGGTCAAAAATTTACAAGTACGCGTATTCATTACTTCTTGACTGTAAAATAGTGATATATGAAATTTGGACAGATTTATCAATCTGTCCCTGCTTAGAACCTTAGGCTAAAATACAAGACATTGGAATTAAATAGTAATACAGTAATATACTGCATAATTGAAGGAAATACGGCTAAGATGATTTGGAAAATTCGTCATTGTTATATCTATTCCAGTCTGCCGGAGGTTTCTCTCTCAATTTCCATACAGGATTTGAATTCCCTATTAGCTTTTTCGCATCTTCTTTAATTTTAGCTTGACTTTCTAACAGTTGTTGTTTAGTTTCTTCCGATTTGGTTGTTTTATATGACATGCATTTCCTAAAGCTGGTCATATGTTCAGAGCAATCTCTGAAAGTACCATAAATGTAATAAAAGCGAAACTGATTTATCGATGAAGAACACCTTCTCCAATAATAAAATAAGTCTACGCAACTAGGTACACTATCCTTGTCGCTATCATTACTCTCCATGCTGCATCAGTAAAATGATGAAATGCTTGCAATTCTGAAGACGATATCTTATTCAGGGCTTTGCGATGTCTTTTGCAGCGTAGTACCAGGCGTTGGAAATATTGTATTACTAATATTATAGGTATACGAGATGATCTATGAAATTAATGAATTGATAAAGGTAAAATAACAGGATGGTGTCAATAGGGATTTGAGTAGTTGTAGAATAAAGTCTTTTAAATCGATCAAGATGATGAAATTTGATGGAGGTTAATTCACTAATTGACCATGATTCAAGGAGGTGCTCGAATTGCATGGGGCTACTGCAGAAGAGCACATGCGCAGTAAGCTGCCTTGCGTCTAAAGCGAACTGTACTGAAGCTATACTCTACTGTTTACTTTACATTATAGCATTGTTTTAATATTGTCGCTGCAGTACTGTATGAGTACTATTAGGCAAAAGACATTAGGGTACGTGATCAATCCTCTTCAAACTATAGTTATGACTTGAATCATTTGCTCACGCTCGCACACACTAGATTCTACAGGACTGTAGTCAGCCATAGCTATCTGATTCAAGCCATCGCTAGTGGTGTACGGTAAATAAATATCGATCAATTCATTTTGGTAGAAATAACTTATTCCTGTACTGTTCTGCTGATTTAAGTTTGATTTGAGATATACTCTAACTACGTATATAGACATAGATGCTTGTCTAAAGTGATTCCAGTATAATTCAACTGTCGTACAAGGATATACTGTACAATAGAGCTCAATCAGCTCAATGGAAGGTAAGGCAAGATTTCAAATTTTGTACTTGAAATTAGAATGACCATTTACTATAGCAAGCAATAAGATGTGCTTGAAATTAGAATGACCGTTTACTATAGTAAGCAATAACACGTTAAAATACCTGCTTATAAATCAAATTCTTATCTACTATAATTTAGATTGTATTAAATAGTTTATAGATAAAGTACTTATGATAATATATATTATCGTATAGCATATCATTCGTATAGTTATTGTAGAGGATACATACTAGTGTGAATTACGTGTATTGTTTTATGCAGGATAGCTAGACAACGATATAAAAACGTAATCTGCATTCGATGTTCATTTCCTTAACGTTGTATCGCTTTTTTTGTACTATAATTTTCGTCTTATCTACCAACAACAGAAACTGAAACTTCAAATGCAACGATTACTGAGCTAAAAGCAAAGTTAGTAAATTGCACTCAATTAAATTTAGATTAGATTACCTAGCAGAGGCATTGCACACGCTAGATGATGTGCGTAGGACTATTAACACAACAAAAATTGATACGTATAATTATAATCATTGGCTACTTTACAGATCCATGGAAACGATATCAAGTGAGGAAAAAGAAGAAGTTATAGGGTAATCTAATATCTGATGCGATCAATTTTGATGATGTATAGTATAAGAATTCATAATCGGATAGAGGAATAAGAAATTACAGACATACCGCATGAATTAACGAATACTATCAGCCGAGTTATCAATACTGTACAAGCCTATGTACAAGCTAACAAAGTTATATTAGCTTATGCTCTATTAATAACAAACGCTAACGCTTAACATAGTATACGAATATCGTCGTATGGTAGCAATCTTCTAGGATAATCATGATGTGTCGGTCTAGAATGTAAGGCGACAAAACTTACTAACCCTATGACCTTTTGTATGTGTAGTAATAATTTATGCATTAAAATAATCCTAACTACTCGTATGTGTCAAAAGAAAGTTACATCTGTAGAATATTTTTACAGAGTTTAATTCGTGAGGATAGTATCAAGGATTGTCTACAAGAAACCTAAGCCCTTTCTAGATTATTACATAAAGTCATGATTGCCTCATGAATACATTGCAATATAAATTACATATATTGACCTATATTTATGTACATGAGATTATACTTCTCAGGCAATAAATTACAATAACTTGATTATTCTAATACGAACTAATGCAGAATATCGAATAACAGATCATTTCATCATTGTCTTTCTTATCATATTACAGTTTATTCTCTTTGTATTAGTGAATATCAGCGATCCTTTGCATATTGAATGAGTATGATCATTGATATTGGACCATTAATGTCATATAGTACCGATATACTATTACGTTAAAATAAAGACAGGCTCAGTGATATCGATTAATATTCTTGTATTACGCATATATATTCCAAATAATTTCCAAAGTTTACTTTTATTTCTAGGGCTAAGAGAAAGCTATCACAAGAAGACGACAAAGATAATGTACGATCTTGAAAGTATACAATCATCCTTTAACTGCTACTTTATGATTATCATATAAATTCGTACTATTGGATACGATTTAATTATGCCAGCTCACTTAGTACTAAGTATTAGCAATTTCACAACGCACAAATTAATTAGGCTTACCGTACCTATACAACTAAATTGTTTATGCTCATATTCCCTTTGCTTGCTGCATTAAATATGATTATGATTGATGTTTTAGTAAAGGGTAAGCAAATTATAATGAATCGGACAAATTAGTAGCTTACTGTAGTACAACATTACTTTAATTCTTATAATTAACTTAAAAATGACCTTTTTTGTTAGAAAGAGCTAGCTAGTCATGTAGCAAAACATTATAATGAACTAAGAGAAGAAGGCATCGATGCACGTTATGAAAGCCGCATATTCTTCCTTAGGAATTTTAACAACTGGGTTAAAAGTATGCTAATAGGGGATATAATAGAAAGGATAAAAAAACAAAATTTAATTGAGAATAAAAGAACAATTAAGGTATTGGACATGGCTTGTGGGAAAGGTGGTGATATTAAAAAGTGGATGCAGGGGGATGTCAGTTACATAGTCTTTACAGGTAAAATACGATTTCGTATGTAACCCATGTTAACAATCAAATTCTGATTTCTATGATCAAAAATAGTACCTCTTACTTATGTATAGCACGTTTGTAAAATAGCCTACGAAAATATAGAATTTAGAACTTATTTTTCATATTTATTCAATTCTATAGATATTGCTGGTATATCTGTCGAACAATGTCGTAAGCGATATGAGGATACAAAGAATTCATCCAAAACAGTTAGTAGATCAAATCCGAATAATTCGCAAAGGTATCACAAACGTATGAGGGCTGATACTTCGTCAGTAAGTGACTATATAAAGAAAAATTTCTATTATTAAATCTCAAATTTTTGCTCCCTTGATAACTTGGACGAGCTTAAATTAAAGTAGTAGTTGTTTTAAATCTATAGCAAATGACGGATCCTAACCCTTCATCAGCCCAACAAGACTTCTTTGGCGCTGAATTCATTACTGCTGACTCTGCTCAGGTAAATTTTTATATATTGCATTTATAAAAGCTTCTAACCATTAATTAGTGACCTTCACAACAATTCACGTACTAGTAATTAAACTTTTCGATTATTTATAGCAAAGGCTGAAAGACCTTTATAAAGACAGCAATATCAAGTTTGATGTTACTAGTTGCCAGTTCGCATTTCATTATTCCTTCGAAAGTCAAGAAAAAGCAGAACTCATGTTACAAAATGCTTGCGAATGTTTAAGACCCGGCGGATATTTTATAGGAACAACACCGAATGCTTATGAAATAGTGTAAGTAGCTTATTGTAGAGCATCACTAGTGTTACAATCTGCGATACAGGTAGATTGAGAATACTGCTTAGAATATTCTATTGTATTGAATATCCGGTAAGTGGAAATGAGCAAGTAGGATGTAATAGCTACTTGCTTACATATTCAATTTGCAGTAGGAGAGCGAGAGAATCCGAAACTGGACTTCAATTTGGTAATAGTGTATATAATATTAAATTTGATCAAGAGCACTTTATGAAGTTGTTTGGAGGAAAATATGATTTCGCATTAGAAGGTGTAGTTGACTGTCCGGAATTTCTAGTCTATATGCCATTATTGAAAAAGTGAGTGAAACCGTTTTTATTTCATCTTATTAGTTACTTTACCGCAATTTTATACGAGTTCTACCAATGATCACTTTAAATTCTTATCATTATTTCATTAAGGATGGCTGAAAAGTACAATATGGAGCTTGTTTATTGCAAAACATTTGGGGAAGTTTTTGATGAATATTCCCTTAAGGCAGAAAATCGAGATTTATTATTTAGGATGAAAGCTTTAGAGGTAGTTTTTACTTTATTTGCAATAGAAAAATTTTTATTCTTCAGGTAGTAGCAGTATCCATACAAATTAACGCATAAATAAGTGTTATTATGCGAACATGTTACAAATATCAGATAATAAATTTGTAAATTAGAAATCCGGCGTAAAAATTTGTAGCTATTATAAACTTGATAGGCTAATTGAAGCTCTTGATTGCTAAAAAATTCGCTATCAAATTTAATTTCGTATTGTAATAATTTGAATATTTACTGCCCTACTCGTCTTTGTTAAGAAACCTTGATTTTGTTTGTCTTACAGACTTATCCACCCGATCCTAATGCGAGAAGGATGCCTAGGAAGCTGATGGGGAAAGAATTAGAATATTTAAAAGCTAAAGAAGTGTATTCTAGTGAGCGAGAAAAGCTGGTAATTTCTGCTTTCAATATTCACTCTTTATCTATCCTGGTGTGACAATATACAGTATATAAATTTACAATGCAGTGGCAGTATAATTATTGATTTACTTTAGCAGTTTTGATGAATTCTTCTTTATTAAATGCTAACATGACGTTTGAGTATTTAGAGTGAGATATATCATATGTCAAGTCACTAACTCATATTGTGTTGCATAACACAGGGTGTATTATCAAAAGATGAAAGCGAAGCAACCAGTAAGATGTTGATATACTCTGTAGCTTGTATTAAAACAATTTAGCTAATATTGTTAACTGAATTTACATTCGAATAACTAATTACCATTTCTATGTTACTTCTCTCTATTAACACTTCCTTTACCCACTTTCATAGGCATTTATGTGATCTTCGCCTTTCAAAAAAAGATTACTTGATTGACCTCGTACTGTATTTTATAGAAGAAATCGTCGATATCTATAAATTTCAATTATTTGTCACACCATTACTCTAGTAATCCAAAAGATGCTTTACGCTGAATAAAAATTAGGAATTGTCATATGCATAATGCAGACGTTTACCATTCATGACTTACTGAAGAATAGTAAAGTGTAAGAAAATTAGATTACGATACGAATTATCAAAGCTCATTATTCATTCTATATTGTTTGCGACTGTATTTGCGTAATTTTAATGATGCGATTAAATACTACTTATAAAATTTTATGTCCCATAAGTTAATATACATAGGATTATTTCATACTTAACTTTATAACTGTACTTTCGTGATTATGTAGTATGTTACATCCTATGTAAAATAATAATAATGCAACCCTGTTTCAATTTGAGTAAATAAAACATTGATTACTGGTCTTTTAGATCATAACAAGCAAAACGTTTATGTATACATTTACTACCTTAAATAAATATCTGAAGGAGCTATATCTAATGTTTTCGATGCGATATATATGAAGAACAATAACTGCAAAAGTTAACTGCTTGAATTCAGTCAGTATACGTTGATAATCTTCATTGCAGGTATGAACGATAACTACAGTATATCCGAAATATCAATTCATTGTCAACCAATGGGTATATAACAATAAGCGACAGAGTATGATCTAGTAGTCATTCATCGCAGCAATCCCTTTCAAATACTGGTATGCTAATGGTACTACAATATTATCTGTCAGCTGGATGTTTAGACCGTAGATAAAAGTCATTTTTGTTGATTAATAACCAGCGTAACACAGTATTCATAAGAGTACACGCGCAAAAAGATATCACGAATCATCATTGAATATCAGGAGGATCAATATTTTATTATAATAACATCACGAGAATAATGTGTAGCGAGTTTAACACTACAAGTCGTTAGCAAGGTCAACCAAGGAATTATCTAGCAGCTTGATATCGTTTAGCCTTTCTTTCTAATTTTTTCTGCTTTTTAGGATCAATATTTTCTTCTGGCGCAGGAGCAAAAAAGAATGGTGACAAGATATTTACCCACAGTAGATAAAGAGCCCGTGCAGGTAACTATAAATATTCAAAAAAGAATCATAAATGGATATAAATGCAAGTACCTTGTACATATTATAAGCTAAATCATACGGATGCCGCTTTACTACAGTGTGGCATCTACTTAATGTTTTCTTTGTAAATTTAATTCAAAAAAAAAAATTTTGCAATTTACCAGAAGCCACAAGAACCAGCAGTAAAACCATATTGCACTCGAGACTTGAACAATTGCCGTAAGTAGAATAATATCTTTCAAATGCCTAATTTAATAAAATTTGTAATTACTATTCGATTTAAATAAATTTGATATTCATAAGTTGTAGCAATTTAATCTAAATGATTTACGCACTAAAATGTTCCAATTCGATCAGCAGTTACGCACGATGAACAACATTTATACTAAGTTCTATCACAAACTCACTCTCCCATCCCAGATCCCATGTTTAGATCGAAGCCAGCATCAGCTAGGGTATTGCCTTCGAATACTGGTGTGCTCATAGAAGACATCGTATAGTAGGATACTGCAAGTGCTATATTGATAAGAAGCCATCCAGCCTATAATTTAAAATAGTTAATAATTAATAACAAATTCCTATAATTTAAAATTCATATTGACCATCAGAAAGTAATCACAATAATCCTACACAGCGTATTTTTAACTTAATCGTAGAGGAGAAATATTTTTTATATTTCTGATATAATCTTGGCATTTGAATCTTTTTAAAAAGGGATGTGCAGTACAAATTATCGCTATAGCTTCGGAATACGTATACCGTATCAGCTTTGCAAATCTCAGATAAGGACAATTCAGTTTCTTTACAGAGTTGTTTTATAAACTATTACATAGTGCATATCTAGTAGATCGAATATGAGTAAAATATACGTATTCATGCTTTACTAGTAATATATTACCGTAAAGAGAGATTTTAATTAGCTTAAAGGTGATCTATACATACTATGCAGCCAAATGAGGAATCATAATTAGATAATACCAGTCGAAAAACAATGTTTAATCCCTACAAATATCAAAGAAAAGAGCAATAGACGTTAGTTATCCAGGAGAATTTGAGAATCACTCGAATTTAGAATTACAGTCTGATATAAGCTATGATTTAAATAATCGAGATTTGAGCGTATTTATTAATCGATCATTTCACTTCTTTTACATATTTTGAAAAAGTATTATAGTTACAGGTGTTATTCGTTAAAATAATACTAACATTGCCAATTAGGATAACTTTTTTGTAGTAATCCAATGTTGCTATGTTATCCTGATGTATTTCTTTTTGTCCTTTGGTTCTCTTCTTTCCCTTATTTGCCTGAGACTGTAATAGCAAGTATAGCAATTTTATATTATTACATTAATTATGAATTTTAGTTTTTATTCTCTGAAGCATAGATGTGACCAAAATAATTAATATTTGTTCGAGAATTACTTATAAGCAAGGTTACATTGCATTGCAATAAATCGTAGTTGGAAGGATATTAGTCCATGCTATTCCAATAGACGAGCAAAAAATGATTTCTTTACAATTATGGTGACAAATTGATGATAGATTATGTGTCACTCTACTTTGTAATTTTCAAGAACAGCTTAAATTAGTAGTCTTAAGTTTACACGATATTGCTCGATATTACTGTACCGTATAGCTTGCTATATACTGTTTACGTAGGTAGAAATTTAAGATCAATCAATCAATAATAACCCTATCATATACTTGTATGTATGATATTTTTATTCGGTTATGACGGTGACCTTCAATTTACTTATTCTAAATATACAGTACTGTACTGTATTTCTAGTCTACCGAAGTAGTACGGTAATAGAGCCAAGCGAAATAATGATGGTATGTACAATTAATCGTGATTAGAGTCATTAAAGCTACGTTTATTAAGATAATTCACATCCATTATGATCATGAGCCTTGTCAATAGACTACAGCATTATCGTATCCTAAGCCCGTACAGTCCAAACTACACATTCTATAAGACGCTAATTTCTTACTGCTCCACTCATTTTCAGATCTAACGATGCGATATATAATATGAAAAGTATAAGAGAAAGCCAAGCTCGATTGGAATTTTGAATCTAGTGTACACCCATGAAGAATTAATATAAACAGAAGAACCTAGGCGTATTGGTTTACCTAGCGCTTTGAGGTTGTCGCATTTCCGATCATCATTTGCATTAGCATATTACTATACTATGAATCATAGTCGATCTAGCTAAGGTCAGATGATATAAGCTACAATATAAGCCGTTCATTTACCATGATTGCTTTCGTTTTACCAGTTGTAGTAGTCTTCCTCCATTGGTGATGCCAATCCCAGCACAGCCTTGAAGACCTTTTCCAATTGCGCAGGTGTCGATGCAAGTTGCTTCTGATAGTCCTTGTACTACAGTACAGTACAGTACAGTACATGCATTTTACAATACCAGGTACTCTTCTTCGTTTTGTACTGTACACTGTACTAGATATGGACTGTGTATGAAATCCTGTGAAGTTGGTACGTATTAAACGTTAAACCCTAACCCACGTGTACTGTACAGTACAGTATCTTGTAACTGGAACTTCTACTGTTTGCCACAAAGAATTGTGGGTAACGAGGAAGATCTCCTTCTTTTCCTTCTGACGCAACGTGATAGACATCTTGATTTTCCATCATGAATATTTTCTTGCGCGGCAATTCGTCTTACACCTACAATTGTAGTCCAGCGACTACCATTGCTGATTTAAAGCATTACTTAAATGATAGAGAAGGACTACCAGTAACCGAGCAAGTTATTACTTATGGATTACAAGTATTAGAAGACCACGTTACTTTGGCCGATTACGCCATCGAAGCCGACTCAACATTGAACGCTTTCGTACGATTACATGGAGGTTTGTACTTACAGTTAATGTAGTGTTTACAATTTTGATCAACTCTATCCTATATAACTGTACTGTAGTAACTAAATGATGATGTTAATAGTGTTATAAAACTACTAGAGGATTTGGTAAAGTTCATTTGAAGCAGATTACGCAGATCGTATTCTTTTCATATAGTTTGCAATACTGTAATCTTATGGTTACGCTGTGCATCAGCCTCCGAATTCATACAAACCATTATTATTCGGTAGCTTTCTCGATCATCTCTACAATCGCTATTCGTGCGTATGTTATGGATGAACAAGCTGTTTGAACTTATAACATTAATCTACTATATTTCATTAAATTCAGTGCTAATTATTCCTCTGGTGGTATCATGACATGTCTTGATTGCTTTTTTAGTCTAGTCAAAAGCATGGTGTATACTGTACAGTGTACACACGTTAAGCAACACTGTATTATACTGACTGTACCGTAGAGTATATTAATTTCAAAGTTTTTCAATTTACAATTTTGCCTTTCAACTTTTCATTTTTACGTAGTAGATATCTAAACGTTAAGCCATTTTATTGTCTGTATTTAGGTAAAGTACACGGTTCCTTAGCTCGTGCTGGTAAAGTCAAAAATCAAACACCAAAGGTATGTACATTGTATAGTATGGAATAATGATACTGCAGGTGGTAGTCAATCGTTGATGCAATGCTGTTCTTAAACTTTAACCCGAGTTTTGTTGGGAAAGTTTATGAACTTGAAAATTTCAGAGAGCAATCTGTTAATTTATCAGAACAACAAACCATAGTATATTACTTTCATGTAATATTCTCTGTCTTTGACTCTATTTTCCACGCCGTTGGACATTCCTATGTATTTTTTTATTATAATATTGCTATAGACTATGGAAATATTATAGCGTTGTACCCGAATACTGAGCAAAATACTTTAATTGTTGTCAACTTAGGACTGATACTTACAGTAGTTATCTTTGCCAGTACTTTATTTCACCAAAATGATTAGTTCATCACAACAGAGCTAGTTGTTTCTTATTAGCAATCTTATAACAGATGGAATTAATAATATAATCAATAAAGCTGCAGTTAGAAACATACGAATATATACAATGATTGCAGTCTCGTAAGTACGCTATGTCTGATTGATACTTTACTATCTTCATTAGGTTGAACAACAAGAAAAAAAGAAAAAGAAGACAGGACGCTCCAAACGTAGGATGCAATACAATCGCCGTTTCGTCAATGTTGTACAAGGATTTGGACGAAAGAAGGGACCTAACTCTAATAGCTCTTAAAATACTGTAGTACACTCTCTAGCAACCTATACTATGTAAGCTTGTACTCAATGTATAAACAAAAATTGGATTAAAAAGTTTGTTGCTATAATCATGTTGGTGATGAAAAGTTTTTGGCTGGACAAATTTACTTCCATATCACCTATTGCACTATATAAAGTGCTGCATATCGTAATTGCTTATTAATATATTTGAACGATTGTATTGAGGAAAGAGTAATAAGAAAAAGAATATTCTTTACAACACTATAGTACACTATAGTACTGTATTACTAATAGTAAAGTGAGATCTTTCTATGATGCTAAGCCATTTGGAAACGAGTCCAGTTGACGCTACGAAGTCAATGTTACAGCAAAATTTGAGACTTCAACAAACTAAGCAAATATGGCATCCCCCAAAAATAGACATTGTAACTAAACGATAATAACTCGACTATGGAGGAAGAAATGATTTCAGGATACTGTACATACTCTAAAATAGGTGAAAGACAATCTTCGTCTATGTGTCCTAGGACAGTTTACTGTACACATCATTGCAGTAGGTTAACCTTTGCAAATCTGCTGTATTGCATGATATCGGATATCGTATTATTTAGAAGAATGGCTACAATATGAAGTTGGAACTCTATGCTTCTGAGGGCGTAGAGATCCAAGATCACCTTCGAATCTATGTTCAAGGTGTGTCTATTTTGGGGGAAAATTGATTCAATTTATTGCATTTTTGTCTCGATCAGTTTTCAACTTAACAGCACTAGAAAGCGATAGTCAAGTATCTTGTGTCCATGTTAACTTGAAGTTAAACCACGTGGTGAAGCCTTGTAGTGGAGTGTCTCGTTCATTCGATATCGTACAGTAATCCAACTAGCGTAGTTTCAGGTCAGCAACGTTTGCTGAAGAGTGAGCTACAGTACGTGCATCGATTAATACAGTGTACAGTACAGTACAGTTGCATCAGCTCTGCACTGTACACTGTAGAGTACAGCATTTCATCGTAACACTAGTTCTGTATAGGGCGTCAATAAATCTACCTGGGGCCCCTGTAGTCTATTGAACTGAAGAACGACGTCGTTTGAGACTAGATTGCTTTCACAAACTCTTCTAATGCATCATTAGTTAGGAACTATCTAACAGCAAAATGTCGCGATGAAGTTGAGTGGACTACTTCGAAATGTCATGGTAAGATTATAATGTAATTAATGCAGTTATGAAGGGTCATCTCTATGGTACTTACACTGGTGTTCTATTGGTGTTCATTCAAAATATTTCACAGTCTGTTTATGGTTTCATTACTGATATTATGGACAATATGTATGTTCTGTACATTTACCTCGAACAAAATGATAGACGGTTAGCTCCATCAGCTTCGATACTGTACTGTAAATGCTCATTATGGGATATTTAATGAACTGTAATTCACTACTGGACAGCTTATTGATACAACTGGAACGGATCATAATCAACATTCTGTACCGTAAATCGATCATTTTGAGCAAATTAAATAACAATTATAATAGAATTAATGAACTAAAGGATTCTTAACGGTATTTTAATGAAAAGGAACTCCCGATAAACACCAACACACTTAGAAGCGAATCCAATAGGTGGCTTCTATTGGCGAATAACGTATCACGACGATGCTTGTCTTCACAACCCGATTTAAAACAATCCAAAGGTGAACAACATATCAGCAGTATTTTGAAGGATACTGTAAACCCGTCTTATTTAGAAGTAAGAGATATATCAGGTAAGTCATGTTGTTATTTGCAATGGCATAGTTGTGGTTAAAGAGTTGCAATAGGATAGTGTCTATTATGAGACGTTCATTAATGCTAGATTCATTTAATAATTGTCAAAACGATTTGTTCATACTCGTACAGGGGGCTGTGGTTCTATGTATGAAATTCTAATTCAATCCGATAATTTTAAAGGAAAGTCGATCATTCAACAACATAGAATGGTTAAAGAGGTACAATACCATAAAATGTTAGCATGTAGTCATACAAATCATTCTCTCTTCCGTGAAATTAGCATCTATTAAAATTTGATATATACGTATCAGTACAGTACATGTAATGGTTAAAACCGAACGTTGATAACTTAATGTTTACAACGTAATCTAATAGATAAGAGCCCATATCTCTTTTTTGTGCCCTAAAATATTTACTGAATACAATCAATATCTGTTTGGTTAAATAATGAATGCTACAGGCTCTCGCAGAAGAAATTAAGAATATGCACGGTTTAACTATTCGAACGTCAGTACCAAAGTAAATCCATGCCGCCCTGTGTACTAATCCAATCGTTCTTGGAGATCGCTTCAACAACTCGTTTAATTCAGCTCTTAAATCGTCGTACTTCAGCGTTAGTATTTAGAGTCACTAAAGTCATTTATAATGCTGCTTATGGTAGTATCCTTGGCGATTGCTAAAGCGAAAAGACTCATTCGATGCAGAATTCGTCTAATTTCACACGAGATAAATGGAACCAACATCTTTCAATTGTCTTCATTAAGATTGCGTGTTTTGTAGCAAATTCAGAGCTGTATTACAATTTTTAAGCTATAGAAGGAATGAAAATTTCGCTAGTTACGATGCTGCAGTATTCACTATTAATATGAACAAATGAATTGACAAATCCTGAAAGGAGTGTACAATTCGTTAGGATTGTGTACAGAACATTCAAATTGTATTAATGCAATGGCGTTTATCTGAGTGATGATCATTCAGTACGGATGTTGTTTTAATAAATTATCAATAGACAAGAAACTTCATTGATTTTAGAATTATAACTAGAACGATGGCCTGATACCTTTAAGGTATAGTCCATTCTTATTTTGCTGGAATGTAAGAATCGGTATCAAGCGTAAGTAATAACAAAAAATAAAAGAGCACGCAACGATGTACAGTATATACGAATTTCCAATTTTACTATATCTCATACAATAATGACAGTAGTCGCATACGATATATAGCTTTTATAATAAATACAGCATTGCACTAGCCATTCTATTAATTGCAGTTATATTTGCTATCTAGCCAAACTTGCCGGAGGCAACGATGACTTCATTCAAAACGCCAAGAGCGCTAATAATTATAATAACATACGTGCTGGGAACAGATTTATTAGTAGTTTTATTGTTACTTGGGTATTTCTCTAGTTGCATCAATGATGCTACGTTTTTAACCTTCATATCTACTAATACATAATAGGCAGAGTACACGCTATACACACGGTGAAAGCTTCAATATTTCCTTATTTTAGCATTCGATTTTTAGAATCACAGCGTAAACGTAATACGATATACCCATTTTTGCATACTGTATATTCATGTTTATACGATATACACTAATTAATTTATCTCAACCTAGGAAATACCATTCCATTTTCATAACACAAAAAAGAGTACTGAAATTTGATCGTAATACCGTGGTTTAAATTAGGGAATCAAGCTAGCTTTACATGAGCAGTGTGTGTTACAAGAAAGCTACCGGTTGACATTAGCCTTCAGGTACTTGGGTGATATTAGGGATTGCCACCTGTGCAAATTTTGTTACCCAGGCGATATGCGCGTTACTTACCGAATTCTGGTTTAAGTATCAAGCGAATAGTTCAAAGCTGTAATTATGTCACTTGCACTACAGTGGCATTTGTACCTGCATAAGCACCGCTAGCTACCTATTCAAAGTTTATTACTTATAGTGTCTGACAAAGGCAGAAATAGCGAATCTATATCAAATTTTACAATTTGAGCAGCTTTGCAAAATGATATTTTGACAAGATTACAGCCCCAAGTGCACTGTATGAGTAAAGTAAGATAACGAACGGTGTTTTCAGTTGGAATTTGGACATATCCGGGATGGTTAGCACAGTTGTAGTACTGCACAGGAAAATGCAACAAAGCTGCAAAACGCTGTACAGTGGACAACTCGATCCAGTGAGTATATGATTTACTGTACATCACTGCATAACAACTGCGAAAGAGCATTTCTATCGCTGTACAAAGTTCGTATATAGGTTCTGGATAAAATTTCGGAATTGGCCAGCACCCAAGCTATTCTTTAAATTAAATGCAAAGGAATTTATTGCCTTTATTATTCGTATCCTCTTAAGCAATAAAATTGAAAAAAAAATGGATGCCTTCATTTTAGTTTCCGATTTTCATTCATTTTTAAATCAAGAGATTTTTCGGATCAACATCAGTATACGGCTCCCCTTTTATTGTATATATAAAATCTACTGGATCAATATCCATATACAATATAGTAATATCCTAATATACGAACACTTATCATATACCATTAAGTACTGTACATTCATAATGTACGACATCATGACGACATATAGACGACATGCTATACATACATATAAAGACATTATCTCAATCTCATCTAAGACCTATAAATACCCTTGCAAGCTAACTCGTTGGTCCGTTCCTATGTTCCTGCTACCTCAAATTCCTTATCTATCACAACCATATCATTGTTAGCCTATAACTTGTATCTCAATAAAATCCTTTATACCTTCTATCATCGTCTACCTTAAAATATTTTACGCTACTTAAAGAAGATATTATATTATTACACACCAAGGACTACCACTAGAAAAAGGAATAGTAGTAGTCCATGGCAGCACCCAGAAGCATTGGCAACGGCATAACTTCCACATTTAAAGTGCGCCTAGTTATTAACTAACCGTAAATGGTATTTTCTGTTGTCAGAATTTATCGAGAGCTATATCAAAAATGAATTCGAGTATACTTCTATATAAAATTCTTTTACTGAGTGAATCACTTAGCCAGCCAATCCTAATTTACTGTTTAGTACTGCAGACATTTGCCCTACTTTGGTCAATCCAATTGTGTCCAACACTTCATTATGACAGTAGTAAAGCATGCAGATCTAAATTAAGTAATAATAGGACATTGCATTCCATTGCTTGTTAAGCTCTGCTTAGAAACAGTCCATTTACATCATGCATGTTATTCAAATTAATACGAGTGATTTCGAAAACAGACACGATACTGAGTAACTATTTTTCGCCATTTTCTGCTCTGAAAAGTCCGTCCATCCGAGGAGTGTTAGTGGTCTAGCTCTTTTTTCTAGTAATTCTATGGCTGTTTTAACATGCAAAATGGACCAATCAAATCAATGCAATGCTATCCCAGATTGCTTTACAAACTATGTTTCAAACTATCCATTCTACTCTATACTGTACCCTATTAATGTTACAGTATATTGTGCTATAGTAGACAAGGAAAAATAGGACTGTGGATTACCTTACTGCACACTGATGTGTACAGTGTACAGTGCATAGTACTGTACCCGACGACCAAGCAACGAGCTTTCAACTGTTTTTCTGCGTCGGTCCAAATATGATCTGCTAAGTGTTGATGATTCAAGCTAGAACTAAACTAGAAAAAAAAGAAATCAATTTCAAAGCGATTCGAAAGGAAGGAAATACAAGACACTACAGGTAAATCCGATCACTATTTCTCTTGGCTACAGCAGGTTGATTGGCAGAGTAGGATTGGTGTTTGATTGATTGTTTATGAACTGAATTGAAAGGAGGAGAAATCAATTCAAGACGGTTTGAAAAGGAAGGAAAAAGGAAGCTATTGCAGGTAAATTGAATTCCTTCTATGGCATGATAACAATGATCAATCATATCATCCATCATTGGTTTTAGATTGCACCATGACGGATACAACACCCAGTCGTCACGAAAAATCGCTTGGCCTATTAACAAGTAGATTTGTATCTTTATTACAAGAAGCTAAAGATGGAGTTTTGGATTTGAAAGTGGTAAGAGTCATGAAACACCATGCTGTTGAATGATATATGATAGTAGTGTAGACTTTCAAAGTGATGATAGAAAAATAGGCAACCAGTATTGAAAAGATCATCAAATGCCAACATTATTTTTAATTTTACTATTATCACTTGCTAGATACTGTAATGCACCAAGACTAGCGTCGTGTCATCAATGCTTGTTATTCTACGATGATCATTGATGTTATGTGTTGCATACCATCATATTAAAATAGAGGATAAAACCAATGCAATAAATTACTCAAAAGAATCATACGAGGATGACAGTAATAAGTTTGCCAATGGCATCATTCTTTAACTTTGTAACTACTGTACATGAGATTCTCGATCATTCTGATGTTGAATTTGTAGTCATATGAATCATGGAATTTGAATATTGTACTAAAAAAAATAGCAGCAACCTAACTAATCGATTATTACTGATTGATTTTAGCTCCCTTTACGCTCTAAATATACTAGATTAAAAATTACAATTAATGAAATTTATTCTTAAACTTTTCAAATAAGATAGAGCTCATCATTACATTAATTCAATTAATGCCAAGGATTTAGATCATGCTCATTAAATGCCGACTCATAATGATGATTAAATGGAACAACGCCATTGATCACCTTTTCGCTATTACAGCATGGAGAGCAACGGAGTACTGAATTTAAAATGCATAATGTAGAATTACTATTAAAGCACCCGGCTGAAATGATAACAGAAATAGGAGACACACTCTTTGTAGTGCAGAATAAAGAATGACTGCATAAACAAGATTGAAATTGAAGTAAAGGGATACACTTAATTTAAATCCATGATTGCAATATCATTTGCAATGGTGGTATGATATACGTATACTACTCTGCATGATATTGACGTACTTTTAAATTTTATGCACCACTATATTCGGCATTACTATACACACTATGTAATGAACAAACGTACCATATTAGCTACCATTGATAATTCTTGTTTGTATGATACCACACAGTACAAGTATAGCAGAAAGCCAAAAATTTCTATCAAGTTGCTATGTTTTGCAGTACTTAACTTGCTCACTCTGCGTCTCCATGTGATGATATTGCTAGAATACAATACTGTAATCTTATCTGTTAATTTATTAAAGTAACATTTTCACATGTTCATGTTTAGGCTGCTGATACATTAGCTGTTCGTCAAAAGAGAAGAATTTACGATATAACAAATGTATTGGAAGGAATCGGTCTCATTGAAAAAAAATCGAAAAATAGCATTCAGTGGAAGTAAGATTAACGATCGAATGATGTATATTGCATAGTATACGCCATACATACAACTTGTATTGTACTGATTTACATGAAACTTTATATAACTTCGTTTATCACAAGGGGAGCTGGACCAGGTTGTAATACTAGAGAAATTTCCGACCGACTGATGAAACTGAAGGATGAATTAAATGAGTTGACTGCATTGGAAAAACAAATCGATAGACACAGCGTATCCATGCAACAGAGCTTAAAAAATGTCGCAGAAGACACCAGAAATCTCGAGTATCCTTTAAACAGAAATTAGTTACCAGAATACAAGTATATTAAGGTCGAATTAGATTTTTTATTAATGCCGCCTTTATGTCTGGTGCTTTTGTTACATGCACTTTACACACTATAATTTATATTGTCATGCAAATGCCACTTCAAATTGGCAACTATAAAAGTTTTGAAATATAGCAATTAATTGATTAACGATCGGATGTTACATCAGTACTACATACTGCTAAAAGATTTTTTTATACGTTATAAATCTTGACTCGATAACACTATCAGATCTGCTTATGTAACTCATGATGATGTTGGCGTCGCTTTTCCAGGTAAGAACTTATCGGATATTATTTTATAATTTTCGCTAAAGGGATTATTGACACATCAATTTATTTCAACAAATTGTGAAATATTTGTAGAGTCGACTGTGCTAGCGATACAAGCTCCCTCTGGAACAAAATTAGCTTACCCTTTATCAGACTCTGTAACGATTTCATTTTAAGATTAAATAACGTGATAAAATTCTAATTCAAATGTGTTAATGGGCATATCATATTTAATTCCAGAGTTATCCTCCTGATATCAAGCGAAATTATCAGATACATTTGAAAAGTGAAACAGGCCCAATTTGTGTCATGCTACTTAATAAGAATGCCCTTAATGAAAAAATATCTGAACAATCATCCTATATGGAGATGCAGTCAAATAGTCAACCGCCTCCCAATCAGTTTAAGTTTAATCTCCCTGAAACTGTACAAAATTTTGAAAATATGGACACGCCTATACCACCTTCCGATACTATGAAATGCCCTCCTAAAGTAACTCATCGCACTGAACACATAAAACAGATAAAGAGTGAGAATTTTCTCCCAGCGCCACAATCTCAGTATCCAATAACAAATGGTAAATTAGCATAAAAACAAATCATTTTCCGTATCTCTTATGGTGTTCTCAATTTAACAAGTCCTAGCTATTGAATTACAACCATCATTCTGTTATGCTATCAAGATTTATTTTTAATGTCTGGCATTTTGTTTTTGCTTTAGATGTTCTTCCTATGGAAACAGAGCAAGCCATGCTTTATGATCAAATGGACCAGAATTTGTCATGTAAGACTTCTATTTCAATTATTGGATAGCTTTTTCCAATAATGCTTCCAACCACTGTATTGATACGAGTATACACTACGATCCATTAAAGTAATATGACTTACTATATAAGATGCTGTAAATAGCCTCTTATGTATATTTGATAAATTTTCTCATCAATAGATGTAGTACTGAATTTCTAAATTTTTCGTGCATAAATTCCAGATATGTCGAAAAATGATTTCAATATCGAAGATATTATAGCCTCAGAAGGTACTGAAATCTTATATAATGTTTGCTACATATCACAACAATTACTATACTTACGAAATTGATATCACGTCAAAATTTTTTCTGAATTAGATTATAGCAATATCCTTTGCCTTTCTCCACCTGGGTATCGCGATTATTGCTTCAATCTTGAAGAAGATGAAGGCGTTTGCGATCAGTTTGACATCTCTAATTTGATGACAAACTGAACAATATCCATACACTATCCAATGATTGAACTTATAATGATAACTTATTTTATTTCTCTGCGTACTTCGACATTTTGTTATCTTTCGTATCGGATATCAAAACAGCTGTAGAACATTTACAAAAGCTAAGTTAGATAGTTCAAATCGTTTGAACTTAAATTCTGTACAGCGCGTCTACAAGCTAAAATCCTTGCAATTTGCATAAATCAATCTGTATGACAATAATTCCACTATCAATTTTAAAAACTGTAATAGGGGAACATATTGACTATTTTTCCATCAAATCTTTTCCCTTTGATATCAATTTTTAATTGCTCGTAAATAATTAATACTGATTTGTTAGCTTAATATTCCGAGTACTTTAGATGTAAATCTTTAATTATTTCCTCGATTCACACTTTTCTTGAATATGTACAGCCCTCGACGATATCTTTTTGTCCCTGATGTTACGCTGCTTTGTAACAACGCCACCTCATAGTAATATTAATATTAGTTAGACTTCCCTTTCCGCTAATATAAATATATCACAGCCATCATTCCTATACCAGCAGAGTAGGATATTGAAAGAATTACTAATAATAATGCTTCAGCGATGTAAAGTGTCGAGTTATGTAAAACGTCTTTCACTTATATTTCATAAAGACCAATTCGAGTAGCTAGAAATACTAGTGTTTTTTGACAGAAGATGCCATTATTTTGAATCAATCACTACTCATTTGCTTAATAACATTCAATGCAACGGACTTCGGTAAATGTTTATTGTATTCATCTTCTGACTTATACTAAGTTACAAAGGAGTTTAATGAAATAAACATCGTCAGCATGATCAATTGTGATGATGATCTTGTCGTCTTAACGATGATCATTATTTATCGATATAGATGTGTGATCTATCAATTAAGCATAAATTGAAGTGACATTATTTTATAGTATTATAATCAATCAGTTGATTAAGCAATATCTAAATACGGCAAGAAATATTCGAATTATTAAGTAACTCAAAAAAATACCACATCGTATTATCTGAGGAAACTTCACCGATTAATTATCGCTTACAAATTTAACAGTCGACCCTAAATGAACGGTGAAATACTACAAATGCATTAAAGTTGACCGACATCCTTAATTTACTTCTGAATATGAACGTAACTATAGATTAGTGTAATTTCTTTAGCCTTCAATATAAATGCTGTAGATAAAAATAAAAAAATAGCATTTTTCTATGTTGATACTCCCTTATTACCTCACTCTAAATTAAAGAAACTATAATTTTATTCGCTGTGAATCACTTCATTAGAAACATCATGATAATTTATATTATCTACATCTACTGCAGATTGATAATTAATCTATAGTGTAAAATATTTGATCTGATCATAAAATGATGGTGCTGCCATTACCTATGATCTACGTTTATATTTCTTAATATCTCGACGTGACATTAACATCATTAAAATATTGCTGTTATAAAAAAGGATACAGCGAGTGAGCTAAAACAAACAAGTACATTAAATTATAAGATCTCCTTATCATATAGGTAATGGATTATACAGATAAGCAGCGTCAAAAATATTTGTCAACGTTCATTAAGTACAATTTCAAGTATTTGTCTACTAAATTGGCAGCTAATTCAAAGTGATGACATTTTTGTTCTTTCACGTAGCAAACAATAAATCACCAGTAGTTGAGATCGATCAGGGTATGAAGATGAATTAAAAAGTTATAAAAGAATAAAAGCTTAAGGAGTCAAGAAAGACATTGTCACAAAGTTTAATAATTAAAAATAGTAGCTATAATTATAACTGATATAGAGCAGTGTAAGGTAATCATGAAAGTAAGACAATTATAACAAAGCGAATACTGTGTTAGAAATTATCTTATGAACCATTATAAGGCGTTAGTTGAACTTAATGCCATTAAATGACATCAAATTTATCTGTATTGCCTTATTGAATATTGCAAGATTTGCTATCTTTAACATCGCTACCAATGCTTGCAGTAGAACCTAAGTTAGCGCCTCCATTAGAACTTGCACCTTCTTCTGCGATGGTTTCATTCTCATGAGTTTGTCTGATAAATTTTTGACCTTGAATCATCTGTAATTTAGAAATCAAAATTAAGTGTTATTCAACGCCATAATCTTGTCTTAAATAACGCTTATTGCATTATTTATCACTTTCTATTTATACATATATTAGAAGAGCGTGTATTATTAATAAATTAGTTATAATGTGTATCGTATCAGAATATTACTGCTATCAACTATCTATTGCATACCGTAGAAAGCATCGTCACTTTGGCTTTCAATTTATTAGAATAGTTATTAGAGGCCGCAGTAATAGCTCGATGGAATGCTTCGAAATTTTGTTCTTCCACGGGTTTCTTACCCCACTCCAAGCATAATTCCTTTATAACATAAGAATCAGCCAAATTGTAAAACAATTTATACATAATATTATTAAATAATACGATGTATATTTACTTATTCGTGCTATATGGACATTGCAGAGTTAGTATGTTATAATTCAATTATATAATAATCAATATGAGAATAAAGATGAAAGGATAAAATATTTTTTGCTTTGAAAGTTTCCATAATTACATGTGATACTCTGTCTGTATCAACTATCGATTATTAACATGTACTGCACTTCATATAAGGCTTTTCAAAGAGCGATGATTTTTGCAATTCATATGGTTCACTAGAAATGAACCTGTAGCGATACAGAAAAGTTAAGAGTATAAATATTTACTTGAATACGTTTTTCTTTCTTTTGGAAGATATCTTGCTTTCTTTTTAGAGCCAATAATTCCGCTTTAAGTTGAGAAACTTCACCACCATCATTACCTTGACCAGGTATCACTGAAGCCCTACGTGTATTTGAATCTTGAATACTGTCCATTTGGCGTAATTCCTTTGTGAATTGATGAATTATGGCGTTATGTAGAATAGCCGTTTGAGTTAAAATTTTGCAAAGAACAACGAATATCATAGTTGTAATTTACCTTCGTGGACATCTTCAATAATCTTGGATCAGCGACACTATCTTCTTGACGACCAAACATTTGCAATGTGACGCAACCTTGGTCGAACCAGTCTAGATGGTCTTGAGTAATTGTTGCTAAAGTCACAATGCGAGTATGATTATACTCTGGTGATAAAGTACCAGATTTGGTTTCTGTTTGGGTTAAGGTTTCTTCATTATAACATCTGTACTTGACTGTTAAACCTTTACTAAATCGAGCTTTATGGATTTCAGCATTCCTAATTGTGACCTAAAGAGTGAAAACGATATGATTTGCAGAATTGTTGTACTAGGTAAGCAAGCTAGAAAATTTTTGTTATTGTAAAAATTTATTACTTCAATAATCAAGTAGTATCTTAATATCTACATCAGATCTATATCGTAACAGTAGTTACTATTTATACAAAATTATAACGATTTACATAATTTTGAAAGTTTTCATTTTTCAAAATACACAATTTAATTACCTTGAAGTGATATGGCTTGCCAAGCAGATCACCCGGCTCCTCAACAAAGTAATCATCTCCTAGAGGTTTACCATTTGCTAAACATGGTGTACAACTAACGGAGATAAATCCTTCTTCAGCGCCCTAGTTTTAATATAAAATTGAATTATTTCATTAACTATGAGATATAAAATAGCCTTATATTGCTTCATCAGACGCCTTTACAACTACAATCGTAGATACAATACATTTTAAACTTATTGCAACTAGTTATTAAATATACAAATACGATATTCTTCTATAGTAAATACATTTATCTAAACAAACTCTATCCATAGTCGTACCTTATAATCTGTAATTGTTAATCTATCATCAAAATCTAAGCCGTATGCCAAACTCTGTAAAAATATACTAGCAGTCCCGATAAGAACGTCTTCAGGAGGTTCCCAGAATGGATCTTCTTCGTTCGGAATTTTCTTTACGTCTTCATCTCCGTCTAAGTGACGTTGGTATAGGTCCTAAACGATTTATAAAATGAGCTGTTATATCTCAAGATAACTTGTCAAGTATATTAGTAATTGACTATTAGTATGAGACTAATTATACCTGCATCAAATAACGACGATTCATAAATTTGCCTCTCTCCCAGACCCATGTATTACCATTCAGTAGGTCTTTCATCTTCACCATAACTTTAGTAGTTTTATTACTGGATATACCTTCCATTGCAGCACCAGAAATCAAAATTACCTCAAAAGATCTATTATAGGTATATAGAAAAATCAATAATAATTTAGATAAACCATACTAGTACAAAACGGTTGAATTACTGTTCTAAACTATATTCTAGATATAAACAGAGTAAATATTTGTAGTTACAACTTACTCATATCATTTTACATCAAATTTCTACTATACTATAATTCTGTACAATGTACTTATCTATTGTGCTAGTTGAATGTTACTAGCTTGATCAATAAACTATACCAAATAAATACTATACATGTAAACAATTATATCTTTTGAAAATTACCTATGCTTATCCAATTCTTCACTGACAGCATTGACTTCACTGACAAGTGGGAGCAGTTCTAAAACTTGTTCTTGAGCAATTTGTTGTTCTATAATACGATTTTATCACAAATATGAACTATACTATCTTAACACTTGTCCTCTCCTTATTCTATACTCTAATAGTAATCAATACAACTAATGTAATATACTTCAGTTTACGATAGTACAAACCTTTACTTAATCCTTGACCTCCTGTACTAAATCCTTTACTAGCTGCTAATTCTTTCTGTGCGAATTCGTAATCGATTTTATCAGGAGTACCATCCGGTAAAACTGGGTTCTTAGGATTGTTGAAAACGAACAAGTTGTTAGAACCGAACAGGACGCGATCAAAGTGTTGTAACACTCTTTCGCCGGTTAGCGGTGCACCATTAATCTTAGTCTTAGCGCCAGGTACGCCCGGTTTAATGCTAACTTGATCGTTTTCTAGCGTCATAATAGAATGCTGCTTTTGAACACTAAAGCCAAATAGACGACAATACACAGTAAACTGATTAGTATTATAGCTTTACCCTCGTAACTTAGATCTATTTATCTAAACTAATTTTTTTATCAATAATTACAAACATAGTAATCTATTAGTATTGTCTGTATTATACGTGTATTATATATCTTTAAATTATCTTAAATACTTTCCCTTACCCTAAACCACTAATGGCGACATCAGGACTTGCATTAGCTAATCCGATAAAGTTCTCTCCTATACAATCGCAATAATAAAACAAACAATACCAATTAGAAAATCTTAACACTATTACAACTATTCCAATAAATCTAATACATAAATCTACTATATTAAAATTAATTTAATCTAATCTAATCTGCAGTACGAGTCGACATACCTGATTTGATAAAGTGAACGATAACTCCTGATAACTGTGGATCTTCGTTTAAGTTTGTAAGGTGTGGCTCTGTCTTCCTTCTCATAGCTGCATTCTCTTTTTGTGATGTCTTCTCACTGTAGTTTTGTTGAGATTCTTTGAGCTAAGAATAATTACAAAAAATTACAACAAAATTCATTTACTATCTAACGAGTTTAAGCTCTATTCGATATGCATTAAATGATACATGTTATTATTGTAATTCGAATAGTTGCGTAACGAAATAGCTTACTTTGTCATCCCAACTAGTAGACATTTCTTTCATTGCATCCATGTTAGCTAATAACTGAGCTTTAATTTCTTCCTCCATCTCTTTCTTTAGTCGTTCTCGTTCTATTTACAATCATTAGAATATAAATACTAAGCTTAACAAATTCTATTTCTAACGGTATCTTTAAGTTTACGAGAAGCTGTTGTATTATTTATATTTACGTATAATTGTATCAATCTATCTAAAAGTTTTGTAATTTAGTCTTACTTAATATTGTTTATTAATATTATTATTAATATTACGATAATCTTACCTCCAGGATCGATTGCTGCTCCGCCTTCCGATGGAATCATACCGCCTTCCATTGCTCTTTTTAGTTTTTCGTTTTCTTCTTTTAATTCGCGAATCAGTTTCTCCATAGGATTCTCATTGACAGTGGCTTTATTTTTAATCTTCTTCGCACGATCAGCATAACTGAAAATGTTCGTAGTAACCATATTAACTCATAAATACATATAAAATCATAAACTAAATTATACAAACAATTCGTTCATTAATTAATATATTTTATACTTTACCGTAGTGTGCCGAGTGTTTCGTCGAAGTTAATATCAGCAGGCGATAATGCAGCAATCATCACAGTTTTACTATTTAGTACATTATTATTAACAAATACAAAGGAAAAGAAGTATTATATGAGTTTATATTCGCCAGCGAAAATAGAATAATCACATCTTACTTCTGTTTAACACTATCTAACGCTTACCTGTTACCGCCAAGAGCGTTTTGTAATAATTTAGTCAAGACCGAATCACGATAAGGTACTTTTATCTTCTTCTTACTAGTAGATAACTCGGCAAGAGCCTAATAAATCGTTAATTACTTTAGACCAAAAATTGAAGACTCACGCTCTATATTAGTATACGAGTAAAATTATCGATAAAGTTTTATATATATACTTACAGATATAACGTTACCCAAAGCAGATAAACTCTTGTTAATTTGTGCACCTTCTTTTAAACGATCGCCAGTAGCTCCGGTACTATCAGCTCTTTCGCTTCCTATGTAAAATTTTATAAAGATATTGTAAGTTATTATCAACTTAATTCTTCACACTCCTTACTTAGCTCATTTTTACTCTGTTACTCGTCTATATTGTTATACTTATTTACAGACTCTTACCTGCAAGATCGACTAAATTTATAACACTAGACTTTTTAGTTTCTTCGCCAGCGTCGTTTTTCTTAATTTGATCGAATGTAATTGTGACGACAGTATGAGCTCGAGAACTCGTCGCATTCATGTTAGTTGCTGCAACAGTTCGATTTGCGGTTCCTATTACGAATATAGTAAAGTTAAGTTATCATATTTTAGATTTGATAATAATACATCACCTACATAAAGTATTTAAAATATTTAAAATATTACATACTAAGAATTTTAAATTTATAGTTGATTGTAATAATACTTGTTTACATTTATGATTATCTAACCTTCTGCGGTTCTTCTTTCTATTTCTTCGTAGCTGCCAACAGCAGTTTTCTTTAAATCTACAACGTAGAAAAGCCCTAACTTCGGATTTTCACGAACCTGAATAAAATATATAATATATCTTATCTTTACTTGTTATTCAGTAATATAAAGAAGGAATCGCTAACAAACATAAACTAATCATAAAATAGTTATATACAATAACACGTATGTAAATGATAATAAATTATCTATTATTTTCTATACCTTTAATCCACCCTTAGGATTGTTTCGGATTAATAAATCGCGAACTTGTTCATTGTAAATTTCCAACATACTGAACGTAACTTCATATTTCTGTCCAAATCCAATATAACAAATATCAGTAACTCGTCAGTATAGAGTGCTATTTATTATCTAAGAGTCTCGAAGTTTACAATCTTCGATTTGTGTTACTTATTAATTAATTACTCTATATAGTAGTTTATTACAGTTAGATTTATCTATTACCGTATCTCCTTTATCTGCTTCGATTGCTTTAAATAATTCGTCACAAGTGATAGGTACGATTCCCCTTAAAGTTATGTAGTACTTATGATTAGATAGTAGATATTTATAAAATCGTACTGAGTCTATTAAACTATTATAAACTTATAAAAGCTGACAAGATCGATATTAGAAGTTTTTTAATATCGTAAAGAAACGCGATCGTATACTATTTAGTAAGTAGATTAACTTACTTATTTGGACCGTAACCGACCATAGAATAAGATTTACCAGACCCGGTCTGACCATAGGCGAAAAGTGAACAGTTATAACCTATATCAATACAGTAGTGTTAAAGTATAAATCAGGTTATGAGACCAGCTCCTATTTTATTATACTGTATTCTATTATAAGTATCGATTTCATAAAGTATTAATAGATCAATGACAAGGCGATGATGATAAAATATTAATATCTAGATCGTAATACCTTCGAATGCGTTATTTAAAACACCTTGTCCAAGATCGTCAAATACAGCACGTTGTGATGCATACTTGGGGCCCGTACCGACAAGGACACCATTATCGTCTTCGATGAATCCATCATGAGACCTTTAATAAATACAATAATCAATTTTACTTTTATTACACGAAATACGAATAAACTGTATATTAGTATATGCCAGTATTAAAGTACGAGTATATACAGTATAAGAGCTAGCATGAATTATTACTCTACTTCGTATACGCGTATAGTATAGTTATTTTATCCCATTTCTTATACGATAAATTTATAGTTCGCTATTACAATTACAAAACAAACAAATATCATGTGGATCATTAAATTTAATACTACAGATTGATGAATTATTTTTTATGATATATAATAAATTTACTTACCAATACGAATAATCAAATGTGAACTTAATTTTGAATGATGAATTAGGGCAGTAGATAGTTATAATGTAGTAAAGAAGAAAAAGTTATGATTATCTCATTTATAGACTATTATTACTATATTGATACAATTGGCTGTATAGTATAGAGTAGACGATCTGAAGTTAATTTGCATTATTCTCAGCCATAATTTACGATATTATACAATTAACTGCGGTTATTTTCCACACTTACTCGTTTCGGTTCTGCCTCTGTTCGATTCCATCATAAAATTAGGAAATTAAATAAAAGCAACATTCGATTAAATCGCAGATTGGAACAAAGAAAAAATCAGATTATTAAAAGCTATGAAGGATTTGATTGCTGTACGGGATATGTGTAGAATACATACGTTTATGTACCGTACCGTATTATTAATTCAATTTTATAAAATAGATTATAAGAATGGACTACTTGATTTGTAAATACGTATTGATGTTATGAGAAAAAATTAGGTAATCCATCCATAAATAGTCATTGTTGTTGAAGTAATCAATGACAGCCTATTAATCCCATTAGTTTAGACGTACTAGTATTTTCGGGATCAATTAAGGAGGTCTGAGGACCAGCCATTTCCACGATAAGCTTGGCATTTCTCTCTTTCTCACTAAAAAAATGAAATATAATATCGGTTAGAATAGTCGTTTTGAGTTAGCTTGATTGGCAACAACTATGGTACAGTACAGAGTGTTAATACTATCGTTAATTTTTTTAACTAAATGTTGTTCTTCTACAGCAGTGTTGAAAATGAATAATTTTTCGCTTGATGAAAAGATGAGTAATATTACATTACGCGTAATATAAAAGTGAGATATGTACGCTATCTGATTTGTCATCATCCATCCAGGTTTTATATTGTATCGTGATCGGACGAATGTATCATTCTGGGAACACTCTTACACAAAAGAAATGGAAAGTTTATCCCTTACCGAGAGTTGAAAGGACGAACACGAACGGCTACTTTAACACTATATTGAAAGAAGAAAAATTAATCATTAAACATGATGACCACTACCGTATTAAAACGATGAAAAGTAAAACAATCAATAATCCATATTCTTCCAATTTATAAATATCATTTGATTTTAATTTGCATACGCTTCTCCGCTCATTTTTGGTGCTTGTTTATAGTTTTTTTAATAGATCTGTTAACGTGTAACTGGGATGGAAATTGCTATATAATCAATAAAAAAGCAAGATGACGAAAGGTAACTCGTCCTCTGCTTAAACAATTGCCTTGGATCATGCTGATCAGCAACGCCATTGGCTAATGGATTGCAATCTAATGATGGATTCCATGAATAGAATTTCAATTTTTATTATTTTGTTGCACATAAGTAAAGGGAAAAAATAATATCCAATACATGCTGTCAATGATTTTAATCCAGCACAGCATGAAGTCCTTGATATGGACACAGAATAGCAGGTCAAGGAGGAGTAAACTGTATTATACTTATACTGCAATAGCAAGCAGCAGGTAGTAAGCCGTATTCATCTTTAATTGTCTGTGATTACGATGGGTTGATAGTGATTGAGATGATGATGGTTGCTATGTATGATAGACTGGTAATGTCTAGGAATTTGGGCAGATAAATTGCATAGCTGCCTAACTGATAAAATAACCGCATAATACTAATACCGTAACTGTATTGACACGTTCACTAGTAATTTACTAATACGTATGTAATATATACATAACCTATACATATATCACTTATGGCGAAGGCAACTCAGAATAAAGAAGTGGGCTCCATGCTTCAGGCTACTTTGCAGTGTCTAACCTAGTATTGCGTGATTGACCTAGTGTCGTACGAGAGAACATAACGATGGTTAGACTAAGTCTCTAGATTTGAGCTAAATAATGCTATCATCAATTCTGTAATAGTAAATATAGATTCAATTAAGCCTTCTTGATCTTGTCACCAATGCTGTTGTACATACTTAATTGGCAAGAAATAGCAGTAGCATTAATGCTATCATTAGCGAAGAAAATAATCCGATTCATGCAATGTTGCTCATATTTATCGACTTTAAAGAAATCCATTTTATGTACTCTTCTATAGTATACGCGTATATCCAATACAGAAAGATAACTAGATGTACAGTAGAAACATCATTCAAAGGTAGTTGGGGGAGTCTAAATACGTCTCGCCCCTTTAACAGAGTTGTACATTATCCAATATTGAATTCATTTATTATGGACTCCATTCATTTGGCGATATCCTATTTTTATTTTTATTTTATTTTGAATTCTTTATTTGATAACATGAAAGGTGATATATAAATAAATAAATATTCAGATTAAGTCCTGTGCTAATGATACTCAATGCCGGATGACAGTGATGATGTAAAATAAAAAGTGCAAGTACAGTATGCGAAATATCACGGGCGATGTCAAACACTGTTAATATTATTGTTTATTACTTGTGAACCCAATTGTGCTGCTCGATAGCGAGACGCAACTGTCATAATGCTCAACTGTAGATGTAAAATCGATATTTGAAATTCGTATCTTTCTACGCTTTACTATATTACAGTGTTCCAAGGATAAGCAGTCAATCTTGCACACCTAGCCATTCACGATAAATGCAGTGTTGCGCATTCCTGCTCCGACGCAGTTTTTACTGGCCTAAGGAACGGCAGCATGATGCAAAAAAGTGTCTGCCTACTACGTTGCTAACTGTCTATTATATTCCTACTACTGTACGTCGCTAACTGTGTTAGAACTGTTCGTTATTAGAGTCTGTAGTACTTTATACAGTAAAGTGAAACAATTTTACTTATTCTTAACAACTGACAAAAATAGAAGCAAATTTCACAGCGTATACTAACAGTACTGCTCTGGTAGTTTTACTAAAGCGCAGTCTAGTTATATACCGTAGAGTTCTGTGAAATCCCAATTTGTTGCTATGATACCATGCTATGACACTGTCAAGTTACAGTAGGTTACATAACTTACTCATAGTAACTGGTGTAACTGGTGTAACGTAACCATAGAGATTTTTTGACCTTCTTTCGGTGCGGGCAGAATCCGTACCGTCCGTCTCTTTCTCTTCAGTCCCTACTACGTTACTCTCGTGCTATATGGTATACGATTTCATTGATACGGTATAGTAGAATGAGGGAAAAAATGATAACCTCCACAATATTTTGCGCTCAAGCCCTTTCCTTTACCGTCTCTTTCTTTTTTGTACAGTACAGTACTGTAGTGTATGATACTGTACACTGTACCGTGTACTACCTACAATCAGGCATTCTCGCAGAATCCATCCATCCGTCCTATGAAACTTTCGATTTTTCTTTCTTTTCTCTTTTATTTATTTCGGAAAAAAGTTGAAGAAAACTTTGACTGGCTCCTTAACCTTTCATTTTATTAATTCCATTTACAGCGGGATTGAACTCTGTTAATGCGTAAGTAGAACTGTTAGAGAATTTCATTTTTAGTATTGGATAAAGATACTGATATCTTGCTTAGCAATTAGACCCGACCGATATCGATAAACGCATTAGGTGTTGTGATAATCTAGTAGAACTAGAATTAATTAATATTTTTTTGTTTGAATTAAGAGAGAGAGAGGAAAAAAAATAAATACAACCACAGAGTATTATTATTAATAAAACAGCAACGATAACACAATCATAATAGCCACTCATTCATCATCAGAGCAGCAAGTCATCGTCTAATTCATCTTGTAACACATAGGTTGTTCCGTCATTTACGAATTAATTAAATTGGTCATTGATTTGCCTACAACAACTTTCTTTTTCGATCGCCTCAGTTGAGTTGTCCTTTTTAACCATGATCTGCTTCTCCAATAATAAAATGTGGATTAGAAATGTTATAGAACCACTCAGCCAGCAACACTACGTTATCACGATCCGTTTACGAGTGGATGTTGGATTATGTGGGTGTCAAACACCGTATTTATTTATCAACGAATTTCCTCACGATATCGATATTTCTTGGTGTAATTATACGCCATTCTATAATGATACAAGAGGTTCATTTAAATTTGAAGAATTAGGCCATGCATTCGAGATAATTTGTAATTCTTGGCTGCCTAGTATTAACGCTTCAAATTATGTTATGTTTATTGATGGCAAAGAATATTATAGTGACGCTACTAAAAGAGATTATTATTTACGTTACTTCGTTAAAATGTTGGCAATCAGTGTCTTAATTTTAGTTCCTACTATCATGTTGAGTGTTTTCGGTCTACTTAAATATTGGTCAATAGCATTAATAAGCGTCTTGCTAAGTTTTGCAGTAATTGCTTTCATTTATAGCGTGATCGGTTTAATTGGTACAGTAACTTTCTTATTGCGACCGAAGGAAATCTTTGATATGGCTGCTCTGTGCGATCAATCTCAAATGATGATACCCTCGCCTCATGTTGTCCTCTCAACAAACCCTACTAATAACTCCAATAACAATAATATACTTACCGAACGAGAGGAACACAATCATGATGAGACTTCTCTAAATGAACTATTAATTAAGCCCAAGAGTACCAATAATAATATAGGAAGTATACAGCTATTATAAATTTCAACCTTTTGATTTCGCTGTTGTGCAATTTAAGGCTATCCGCACGCTATGTTAGTATAGGAATAATGTTTCTTATGGATGATTAATGATTGACTTAATCCTAAATGCATCTTTCTTGTATATTATATCTATGAAGCCTACTAGCTTGTAGCTACAATCGTACTGAATTCAGAAACAGCACTATCATCATATTTTAAACTATCAAGAGAATATTTAAAAAAAAGCGTAAATCAACCGTTGTATCTTTGATTATATTACACTGTTACACAACGGGTAGCACACGATAGCGTGTTTACTGAAATCTTAGAAGAAGATTACTATATCATATGTAAGTACTCTGGCATTATGTATTACCTGTAATATAAAATAAAAATAATCGAGTGCGGTGGCATATATTTCAGTAATAATATTACATATACGTATTTTATTTGATCCTTATGACTGGGTGATATTATAAAGGAGTGTATTAATGTAGAAATCATTGTTCTACCGTTTTTAATAAATAAATTTATTTAAAAATAGCCTAAATCATTGTTTGATGTTCAATATCTCTTCTCCTGCAAATAAATATGTCTTCTCAAAGCATTAACTACAATTATAAGCATTTGTGAGTAACATTTTGTCATGTCGTTCCATCGACAAAATGTTACTCACAATTGATATATCACGTATCAATGACAAAAGATTTTTATTATCCAGTGTTCGCTTACATTGATATAAATAGAAATAATCGTAGATAGACATAAAGATATAAATCTTGTTAAAAGTACTTATACGATAATACCTTTATTACAAATCATAAATAACGATGTACTTTTTATTGTAAGTTTCAGTGGGATTTTGCAATAAATCAGCTGCAGATACTAAATAAACTAACGAAAAGAATCACAATACAGTAATCTAATTAAAGCGGTTCTGTTGGCTTATCATTGCTTAGTCGATATCGCACATAACATTATGATACGAGAAATGGTTACTTATTAAGGCTGAAATTATCGACAATTGCTACTATTAAGCGGAATAAAGTATCATTGTAGTAAAATGGCTTGGCTATGTTACAGCTATGTCCTCTATCAAATTTAAGTAGTGATCAAAATAAAATACCAACTATTTACAGATTTGTTTTATATTTCTACTGTTATTTCTGTAACCTAATGACTATAAAATTGCAATAAGGGAATAATACTGTAGAAATACTAACAACATTGGTATTATGGAATACTATAGAATTAAAGTAAAATTCGAATTCAAAATTTAATATAACTCATATTTACAAGGTAATGAAATTTTAATAGGTAAGTAGTGATTAGCATTATCTTTCTAAGTGTATTTTATAGGTTATGGTCATGAAGCGACTATTCATAAGGAAGTACTTATCTTATTTTCAGTAGATGCCACAGCTTACTATCTACTTATAGTAATAAGGTTATCTAAAGATCCATACGTTTAGTATTAGGACAGATAACAGCATGTTTTACAATTTTATCAAGTAACATCGATGTTTAAGTAGGAAGGTAAAAATTGATTCAAATTTCAACAAAATTTGATTTTTCATAGTTTAGTCAGAGGGAGGCGTGTGATTACAGTGGGCTCCTTATGATAGATGATCGTCAGTATTTGAGTGATACTGTAGGCAAATGTTCAGGAGGACAAGCCTAACAGCAGATATATAATGCATAATTCCCTTAAAACAAATTTTAGTTTGTAACAGTAGTAATCGTTAAGTATAATGGAGAGTTTGATAAGCCAGCGGTAGAGGACTTCGTTGCCATGGAGAGAATTACACAAATATTTTAGTAAAAAAGAGATACTTCATTGCAGATTATAATTGCGCGCAATGAGGTAGTCACGGTAGAGCAGCGTGTATAGCTGTCGTGAAGTAACGTGAGAAAATACTAAAGCTGTGACTTTTACAATTAACGAAGTCTGAGGTAGAAATTGGTGGTACTTATAGTTTAGATACAACACGTACCATAACGGATTGTATAATAGCAAATGATTGTAGAGAATAGCGAAGACTATAGTGCTAAAGACGATAAACTATATTTGGCTATAATCCAATAAGACTGTAAAGATCTCCATATTTAAGAACTATATTAAATGCATATATTTAAGAATATTTTCGAGCTACACTACAATCGAAATATACTACTTAAGGCATGTTAATAGAATCTTAAAAATACTTCGACATACAGTAATGCTTGTTATAAAGTGTAGTCCTACAGTATATATATGTACAGTACTCCGAAATGAATATTTTTAAGAAATGAGAGTATTGCTCCTGAAACACTGATTACTAAGGTATTATACTGTATAGCTTACTGTACATACTAGTATTCTAACTTAATTACTAAATCACATGGTACATTTGAATAAAATTCATATTTGGTATCGTCAAACATACTGATATTATGTTGTAATATTATATTGTAAGTACTATTAACAGCATTGAAGAATAATAAATTATCCTAAGCCGGACTTTACATTTCTTTAATTAAAACATCACAATTAGTATTACAAAAAATAATATTTATGGTATGAAACTACAGAGTATGAAATAAAAATATTTAAAATAATCATTAACTTCCTTAATTGTTTGAAACTTCATTAATAGGATCTAGATAGCTGTCTTCAGTTAGCCTTTCATAAAAGAAGATAAATATAAAGTTTTGAACAAGTCATTATTATTCATTAATATTAACAGGAATATGCCATTAACAGAAAATAGAAATAATTGACTATACTTAAATAAAAAAATCCATTAACTACAGTGGTGGTTAAGACAATATCACAAATACATAATGCAAGTTCTGCTAAATAACAGTGGCAATAACAATGCAGGTACCCAAAATACGCTTTCATTTATAATGCGATCTTGATAGTAAATGTCACACCATGTAATTATTATTTATTAGAAGTATATTTGATACACAATCTTCATAGAGTATCATGAACAGAGCTTGCAGAAGAGAGACATTGGCTACAGATATAGACGTTCATGCAAGGGCTATGTTGTAACGATCTGATAGGGTATTTAGCGGTGTAGCTTCGAGAACACATCAGTTTTTTCATCTGCTTGTATAATATTTATAGCTGAGTGCAACAACTGTAGATAAATGTAAATCTCTGAATAGTAGAAATGCGAATTAATGTGAGTTTAAATTATCAAGATATTTAAATTTGTAGATAAAAGATGTCACATTGATATAAAATTTAAGACAGGCTATCGATACTCTTTGGAGCATTATAATGTTGCCTAAAACCAACAAAAATGACGTCTTGAGCAACAGCTAAGGTATGCACACGTTAATCTAACACTATGTTGTACTTCATAAGTTCATCTTCTATAATACCATCCTTAAAATTAATTCTGGATTAATTGGACATTTTTATTATTTCAGTTCTCAGTTAGATACATCATAGAGTATAAGGAAAAAGGGTCAGAAATTCCGTTCTTTTTTAGTTAGTTTAAGAATGTAATAATCAACAAAAAATCCTAAAGACTATTTGGAAATTGTTATTCAATACTGGCAACCATGGCAATTAAAACCAATCGTAATACTAAATAATTACGGCAAATAGTATGTTCAGCCAGGGATACCAAAAGGGAGAAATAGTCCCTAGTTTAGTTAGTACAAAAGAGAAGCCACAGCTCGGTGACCATCCGAAAGGATAAACTCTTGAATTTAGCCAAATACGTACTTGAAGTAATCCTATGTTTCACTATGCCCATCTTTGTAGAATTATTGGTGGACCATGAATCCAACCACCAAAACTACGAAAAAAACGTAGTAAAGAAGGATACGCGTGTATGTAGAAAAGCCTAAATACTTAGATCAATGTTATAGTGTAGGAAGTTAACATTCTATCGTTACTTCTGAAAATGCTTATACATCATTAAATTTCGAAATGAGAACGTATCGTACGATAAGAATTCAAGATTACATAAGATAAATCTATCCTACATACGCCTCGTACTTGCATATTGTAGTAGCATAGACCACTATACGAATATTTTTAGATATTCTACGACGTAGATTATATTAGTGTCGATTTGTTCAACTTTTAGTAATCCTTTATCTTATTCTTTAAATATTGCAAGATAATCCTATCTATACTTTTGTTTTGGTGTAATTACTGTGGATCTTACGCTTTTCTCGCCCAGCAAAGTCACACCTATGACTGTGTTGGTTCATGAAATTACACTTAAAAATTCGTTCAAGTAGAAATCGTGATCAAATTCTTCAAGGGTTGAGAGCAATATCATATCGCTAAACTAAAGATTCCATTGCTATAGAAAAACCTTGCTTTGCATCCATACCACGTGAATTGTGCTGTTTCCCGAAATAGTGAAATCGAATCAGTGCGGCTAAAGACGAAATCATTAACATGCCGAAATATGAGAAAATTGAACCAGATACTATAGCACTTGCTAATAGCAATTTTCCATAGCGATCAACGGTCGACATATCCGTTATGCCAGTCAACGTTGTCAAAGATGTGATAAATATTATTGCGAAGAGAATACAACCAAAGAGGCTACGCGCAACTGAAATGATGGAAAATTTTCTGTAATATTCGGCTTTGCTAACATTTGTTCCATGTAGATGACCATCAATGAATAAATCGAAACAACAAGTGAATGGACAGCCCAAACTATTGAAAACAATTTCAATATTATTTCCTTCGACAGTAGCTTGATACGACCATTCCAAATGTGGTGACCAATGGCATAGAATACAAACGTCAAATTTTCTTCCTTCTTGCTTAACTCCGTCGATATATAAGCCTCGACCAAAAGTTAAAAAAGTAATAATGTAAGCTTCAATGCATATTTCTACCGACCGAATCTTTTTAGTTTTCGGATTGGTTACGTCGATAGTCCAAGTGTTGCCAAACCAAAACATGGTTACTATTTCTTTTTCACCCTAGCATGTAAGTAGACCAATAAAATTCTTCAAGAGAAGCCGATCACTTGCGCGTGTATGATAAATCTTCCAATTCTATACCCTTATATACTCGTCGACGACGAAATGAGTATTTTACTTGATCGCTGGGGGGAGTCTTTACGGTTAAATAGATATTTTTACTATCATACGTGTACATATGTCTGGCTGTTACGCAATTTTTCTTATATTATTTTACTACATAAAATGCGCCTTTTAAAGAAAACTCTCAGTGTAGTCTAGTTGTACATAATCTCTCATTGTATCGTCAATATAGAGCACCAATAAAAGAATAAAAAAAATGAATAGAGTAAAACTACTTGTAACTAAACTGGCTGACCTACTAAAATTCATAAAATAGAATATGCATATAGTGGAATTTACTAAGCATACCATACAGTAATGACTATACCGTTTATAAATTCTATATGTTATATATAGAAATAATATAGAATTGGATACTATACAATACTGCCAAGTATTGACAAGCCTACAAGATATTGAATTATAACTAATGTCAATATTACTTAAGAAACTCCGCTGATTGTATAAGACCGTTCTTTATTACTGATGAGCTACTGACGAGAGGTATAAATTAGAAAAATTTCGTTTAGTAGTCTCTGTTTGTGGTCTAGAAAGATAAAAGGCACTAGATACTGTCAATTTTGAACATGATATAGTGTAATATCATATAAGGTCATTCGCTGCTATACCTGAAATAATCACAAGAGACCGGCATGGAGAAAGAAGCTAAGCAGTTCATATCAATTATGAAATTTTTAATATCTTATAAGCTCATTTATTATTTATTGCTAAACTAATAGCGGCTACGTACAGGGTAACATGCACTTTTCTTACAGATAAAACTGGACAGTTGACCTCAATTTTGGAAATTTCTCGGTACTTTCTAAGATCGTGCAATGTTATTGTGGAGCTAAGGACTACAAATTAGAAAAGGAGGTTGGATAGTTAATGGACTTTGTTAGGGAGTGATCCAATGTAATATCCTGTAAGATCATATTATTATTACTGAGCGGTAATAATTAAGGGCAAACACAAAGAAGAGGTTGGTCAGCTGTTATCAATCTCGAAATTTTATTATCAATGAAGAGAATATCTAGATTCTGTCTCTAAACTCTCCTGGATCCGAGATATTTTGCTAATGACTACTAAATAATGCAAAGGATTAAAATCAGACGTTGTATAGTGTAAAATTTTATCCTAAAGGTGGTCAATCAAATCACTGCAAAAGCAACGAAAGTAATTTAATGTTCACAGCTAGTAATAAAACTAGTACATCACAATTTCTGGTTTTAGGGTTATGTTAGAACAGAGGCTGTGTGTACGTATACACCGACAGATTTTAGAAGACATAGTCTACGCTTAATTGAAATTGTACTGTAAAAATAATTTAATAGTTATGCAATAAAATATATGTAATAGAAAACGGGAATATATTCTTAAGTGCACTATACTACTGTAAATGATTAATTCACTCTACCTTTGCTTACTTATCATTAATTCAATTTAGAAATAATATGAAAGATAAATATAATAGTAACGGACATAAAAGTTGATAAAACAATTGTAATTTCAAATTGATGAGTTCACTGGCCTGAAGAACTTTACCTATGATTGCTGGTAAGAAATAGTTATAATGCCGTCGACAATATACTATTCATTTGATAGTACAGTGCATCTACTACTCTGAGTAATTCACCCGTATATCAATTATTGGTTAATAATCACCATGTTAAACATGGCGCCAAATATAAATGCCATTCAAATTACAAGGTTATCACCATTTTGTATCGTTAATCACTGTACCTTAATTTTATGTATTATAGCATATCTGGTTATTAGAAACTGTTAAAATTAATGTTAAGATTGTTATTTGTTATATTTATCAATTTAGCGGAGAAAAATAGTATTGCAACATTGAATCCCTCTCATGATATCAATTTTACATGTATATGAGCTAAAGATAGATTAAAATAGATTAGCAATCTAGACAAAGAAATCGAATGATCTCTCAAATGTATTAGCTTTCATTATCAATTTTATCGTCGCTTTGCTATAGGCGAAGGAAAATAGTATAACCCTTTATTGTTGAAGATACTGACTTTTAATGTAATAGAAGTTTATAATGTTTAACTGAAGTACTATACGAGTAAGTAGCCTTTTCTTAAATGGGGATCTCTTCATTATCAATTAAGCTTGATCCATCGCGTTTCCTACGAAACGTCATGTAACCAACCAACGCCTTTAGAGTGAAATACAAAGAGATTCCAGCAATGATGCTGAAAACGATAATAACACCAGTATTCCATGCTAATGCAGCACTAACTATAGCAATTACACCACAAGATCCGGTTATAATAGAAGTAAATGTTAAAATACGGGCGAAATACTGTGTGTAGTACTCGCCCTTGGCAACACCAGAGTGATATTCTTTTCCATCGATAAATAAATCAAAATTGGAAAAAAATGGAAGGGTCCAAGCATTGTAAATTAATTCAAGATTATGACCTTCTTCTTCAAATTGATAACAGCCCCATTCAAAGACCGGCGACCACGTACAAAAGTTGACTTTATAGCGGTAACGTGTATCCTTAATTTTTAATTCTAATTCCCATATACTTAATATCGGCATTATACAACCGTATAAATTGATGAGAAGTATTGTCTCTTCATCACTATTTGGCGCCTTTAAACTAGGTCGCCATTCGTATTCATAATCGCACAGACGCATATTGGACTCTACTTGTGTATACTGCAGTATAATAATTATTTAGCTTACAAAGTCTAAGAAAGAATACACACGTAGGGCAGTCTCAACGTTGTCTACTATGACAAGACACTCTCTTGGCCAATCGATTGGTTCTAATATTGCAAATTATACGAGTACAATTTATACTATTTGGATACGATGAATAGCCTTTATAACTGCAATCACCATATAACATACGCGTCTATACTTCGTATATGTATTTTATCAATATAATCGAGAGTTTTAGGTAGTACAGTGTATGAATATATTGCAAGAGTAATTTAATATATAATATAAATTATCTTAGCTTTGTTGTGATTGGAATTCGAGTATTGTATAGATGTTATATATAAGAGCTGTATTTTGCGATGTTGCTAAATCGAGGTGTGTTTGTTCACTTTGCATTCGCTATACCCTATTATATAAATTTAGTTTAGTATCACAAGTTTGTATTCAAGTTCGATATCGACAGTTTGTATCCATATATCCTTGAAATCAAAGTAAATGCTTCAATGTCTGCCACTCTATTAACCGGTATGGATAAACGCTCACAATTCTAAACAAATAATTAATATCCAGCTAGCGATAATGATAAGACTTTGATACCAAATGATTCAATCGCTAGCTATCCGCTGCAACATCTATCCAATATCGTATAATAGGAAAAGTTTGCCTCGGGCGCCTTAAGTTTTAACTTATCCTGTCAATAAGTTAAGAGCCGACATAAAGTTTAACTTTGGATTCCCATATGTGGTTGCCACACTGACATCAGCAGAAATTTTCCACTACTGCTTACTGCTTACCGTACTCTGGTGTACTCTACTGTAGCCATCTCATACTGTACTATGTATGGTATGGGTGGTACAGGCCAGCATGGTTTAACTTTACCTCATACGTACTTTAGCTAGGATGGACTGACTGCTTAAAGCTAATGGGTTACGGACCGAACCAGACCGGACCAGACCCCGTGTCATTCTCTGTACAGTACGAGAAAAGTTTTCCACAGTTTGTACTGTACAGTACAGTAAAAAGTATGGTACTGGCTGGACTGTACAGTACTGTACAGTACAGTACTGTACTGTACTGTACTGTACGTACTGCACTGTGGACTTCGAAGAGGAAAAAGCTTGTCGACTTTCGCCTTTACCAACTACCAATTGCACTTCTAAAGTAAAAAGTAAATGATTTCGTGTTAGCTCCACCACTGAATTGTTGCTATTCATTAAGCAGTTTATTATTGATATCGTGTATTACTGAGATGCCGTCCAAACGTAAATCAAATCACAAAAATTCCCCATCTAAAGCCGCTTTTAAAGTTACTAAAAAGACCAATAAAATTAGTAGAGATAATCCCAATCGTAGCCGAAATGATAATTATAAGAAGAACAACAAGGTAAGCATAAGATCTTGGTATAACTTTGCATGTTGAAATGATAAAAATGAGACGATTGCAAGTACTTTACTTTGCATTATTATCAGGAACATTGGTCAGCAGTTTTATTTTGCTTACAAATCGATCTCGCTGCGGCAAATGATATCACCGTAGTAACATTCTTTTCTACATGATACGCTCGTAGATACCAAATGTAACCAACTCGCTACGATGATACAGTATGTAAGAATACAATAGTTGCAATCCAAGATACAGTATAACACAGACATAAATCCTATATCAAGCACCCTCGCGTCATAAAATTAAAATTCATACATTGTGGATTAGATTAAATTTCAAGAACTACAGTACTACAAAAAGTAAGACAGCAAATACAGTATCTGTTATGCTGTTAACGTTTGATATGCATGCACAATACTGTAGAGTAGGTGTACAAGAAGAGCGAAAACTGTCGAGTGCATACTGAAAATGACGTAATATTCTCTAGCTTCTACTATACTGTACAGTATTATAATGTTACTACATTATACGTATTTGAAGATGCACCATGGCCCTATGGCTAGTCACTGATTTGTAAAGTAGTTCTTAATATAATTATTGACCTTTTCTCAGGTAAAACATCAAGCTAAGAAGATAATGGAAGAGTTAACGCATGGAAATGATCTCTATAACATATCACAGACACCAAAGAATCAACAGAAGACTAAGGAAACAACAGTTCGGGTATTTACGCAACGATCTAATAACACTAGTAAACAGCACTTCTAGTTTACATTCTGTTTACTCAAAATCATGCTTGGTAGAATGAATAAACAGTAACTAGAGCTTTAAATAACTGTATCAGTTCAGTCAGCTATAGCAGTGTGTCGTATCTATATAGTGTCATCATGACATTCGTATATTATCCTAGGCTTTTTTGATGTATAATTAAACCAATAATACCATGAAAAATCTGCATTCTACAAAAGTAATTAAAAGTATTTACTATTTGTAATTTGTTTTAATATAGAAATCCGTACTGGACCGCATCCAGAAAAGCATCGTCGATATAAATAGCGCTATTGATGCATTTGAGAAGCTATGACTTAGATTAATTATTTTGTATTTCACAAGTATAACATGATAACCCTCAAGATATTTTGCTGGCCGAAGATTATCCTAATATTATTAACGATTCAATCAACAGTAACTCTATCGGTGTACCCGTGTTCCTAGAAATATATGCAAACCAAGACTTGCAATTCATATATACATCATAGGGTGCAGTACAACATTATTATTCCAACTGTACAGTTTTAGCTTCTTTAGATATGAGCCGTACTGATGATACTGTAAATTATTATCCTGCGATACTACATTACACATTACATAGTATAATTTATCTACTAAAGCTATGCTGTATGTGTAAATAAAAGCTTTTTATCTAGGAACTAGCTTTATGCAGTACTGCGTCAAACCTATTGTAATCCCACATGCATTGAATTCATACAGTTTACATTTTACATTACATTCAATGCTGACATTGTCTCACGTACTTGTAGTAATTTCACTAATTTTGGCATCAATACATTTTACAATACAGTACTACTACAGCATATCTACGCTGTTAATAAAGCCTTGTCATATAGTATCGTGAAAAGCTTTCTTAGGAAATTGCCAATCAGTTTGATCATTAAAATTACATTCTCATTCAATTTACATATTTATTGAAAATCTTATTACAATTATTCGTCCATGGCTCTTTGTGCAATGCCAATAATATTACTGAATTATGTGTCAAATTACTCCGCAACTCTTTAGCAATGTCAAAGCAATGCAATTTGTTTAATTCTTACTAAGACTTAGTAGGTTCTAGCTGTAAACACATGACAGATAATAAAAGTTCAATACAGATTTTTCTAAGTTAGTTCTACAAGCGATTCTTTGCCGGTACTAGAATAAAGCTAAATAATTCAAGTAAACACTTCGTGTCGAAAATTTACCACAAAGTATACTTTAAAAAGATACTTTAGAAACAAACTAATAATTGTAGTCACTGCCAATCTACGCGGTGGTGCATGTACATACAGTAGAAATAAATGTTTTTATGTTTTAAAATGTAATTAATTACTAGCAACATAATCTAATAAAAGATTCTATCGTATTTATAATGATCGTAGTAAATTCGCAACAAAGGAATAAACAAACTTTAGCATTCATTAATTCATAAGCGTCACGCTATGGTACTTATACGTTGAAAAACATTGTTAGCAGTAATCGTAGACATTCTTTATCGATTACAAAGAACAGGATATTTGGATAAAAATATCAATTTCTAAGTTTAGTTACATTCAGCTGGAAAATTATTTATTTCACCCTGATCTTGTATAGTATTACCATTCATATTGAAAGACAACTTAACCCTCATCCGGATGTTTTGCTAAAAAAATATGGTGATACTTAGAAAGTTGCATTTAAAGAATTAAGATCATTTGAAACGCACTTGTCTATAGTTTATACCTTATTTGGATTCGAGACTTTTAAGACTTGTGTTATCGAACCAGAATTGTTAGGCGGAACTACAGCTCCAGAAGGAGCAAGAATTTGTAACTGAAAAGACTTCAATAGTATAACAGCATATATCAATTTACAATCATTATTTTAACACAATCGTGTATAGCTAGAACAATATAGCAAATAAACCTACTCTAGGGACAGCAGCTTGAAATACAAAGTCAGTAAAAGGAAAAGCTGTAGAGTTTGTAGCATTAAGTGTCATCTGTACAGTATTGTCAGGGTTAATGGTGGCCTTTTCAAAGTTAAAGTCTATTCTAAGACCATTTTTATCGTAAATATTCAAAGGTGGAATTTCTTTAATTGTAAGATATAAAAAAGAGCGACATCGACACATTAGCGAAAATTATCTTATTTATTATCAGATGTATGTGACAATAGCTATATATATACTGTATATGCATTATTAGTCAGTAAACACTAATTATTTGTACCTGGCGGCATAGCAGCAACAGGCTGGACCACTGAATCTTCATTGCTACTGCTACCTAATAGATCTAATAGTGCATTTCCTCCTACTAATGTTGAACACATTGAAAGTTAATGCATAGAATATAGTCGAACTGCGAGGCTATTATGGAATGGCAAGTAAAAGTATTTAAAGAAATTAATTTCATACTAGATGGGATATTATTTCCGCTCAGGATATCAGAACTAGCAGCACTATTATTTTGAGGTTGAGTTGGTTGCATCGATGGTATATCATCTCCAAGAAGATCAAGCAAGTCATTCGCCTAAAGTAGTTCATTTAGTGAAGAATTATAATAGATTACAAGATGGTCCAATTATAACTAATGCAATCCGAATTTTCAATGTTTATTTAATGAGTTAATTCCAATTACCTGTCCTCCAGTCGATGCAGCTGCAATCGGAATTGTATCTAGAATAATTCAATTTAATAATATTAATATCACATTATATTTGGCATTAATAAGTAAGTTTATCATTATGTTGCCGCTAATGAAAATAAAATGCTTTTAAATTACCACTAGTAGTTGCATCAGCCGATACAGGTGCTTCTGTTCCATCATTTTTTCCAATGCGGGGCATTCTTTCCAGTAGGCCAGGTCTGAATGTATAACCCATATGTTAAACACAATAAATAAATAGCTTAGTCATTTTATTCAACAAACATGATCCACAAATATCATAAATTGTACTTGTGCTCAGTCTATTATATCACATTAAAGGTATTGCATACCGAAGAGTATCATAACTTTTAAAGAGCGCACTATACTCAACGGAACGTTGCTGCAACTCTAGATCCAGGCTATTAGTATATCGAGCAACTACTTCCTTGATACGGCTACAATAGAAAAGTGATTCAATAAATGCTGGAGCTATGGCGCACAATATCAAACTGTAAAAGAGAAAAGGTATCTACTATTTACCCTGCCGCTTTTGGAAAACGGGTACTCAATTTCATTAGGGCATTTAACGTGAAAGCCCGTGTTATAAATGACGTAACGGTATCGTTTAAGACGCTTTGTAGTAGATCCAAAACCCCATCTTCGTCAATCTGAAGCATAACAGCAAACTTCTATTGTTACTAACAGAACTTATGCAGTCAATCATCAATAACATCAATTTTCTATAACCTTATGCGAGCCTTCTTCAACTGTTCCAGATATGAGTAAATCTCCATATTCTCCTAAGCACCAAATTGCTACCTGAGCAAGAGGTTGCTAAAATTGGCAGTAATGATATTATCGTAATATGTTTCAATCAAGTACGCATACGCTACACTTAAGGCCATATGAAATTGCAATCAAAAGTATTGAAGCATTATTTCAGACAGGCTCTTACCTTTGAGATATCTGCATACATTGCAAAGTATAGCTGTTGTGTTATGTAAGCGTGTAAATCACGCGATTCACTAACGGCATGGATAGAACTTGCTACAACTTCGTCATTGACGTAACTACCGCCCTATGTTGACATGGATTCGGAAAATATCGTATTAAATGCCGCTAGCATTCTATTATCATATTTTGTTTTACAGTACTTACAGCCTTTAACATTTGTAATATAGTATCTAATTGCCATTTCTTGTCAGGCGCATATCTATAGTTTGGGTAATAAAAATTAATTATTACAGCCTAATAATAGATAACCTTACTTTTTTCTCTGATATCGACAGCTTACTTGATAGCTGCTTGAAATATCCTGAGTGTTGCGAATGGCTTAAATTCGGAATCGGCTCTATTAAGGAAGTCTAATAATTCCTTTATCATAGTTTTTACGTTAGATTCGTTGATTAAAGCAAACGACAGCTCCATTGCTCGCCTATGAAAACATTCGTTACGATAATTAATCCATTAGTACATATCTTAGTAAGAATTGTTGATGCCAATAACTAACTTTCTAATGGAGATATCGTGATCTTTTAAGCAGTCAATTATAGTATTACGATGACGTTGCACGGCCGTATGGTCAATGCTAATCGTCTTTTGTAACGTTTTCAAAGCCACGTATCTAAACAGAGGTAAAAATATTTCAAAAACAAAGATTCCACACTAGCTTTTGAAGCAGTACTAAAAGCAATTATATATTGATTACCTGATATTCTTATCACTATTTAATAAGAATCTTCCCATGATGTTTACAGCAAGCACCTGTATAAGATTCATTAATTATTTAACTGATGTAAAATTGTTAACCTATGTACATAAACGTAAATTATACTTACACGTAATCCACTTTCTGCTTTAATATCCATGATACACTGAACAGTTTGATATAAAACAGCATTACCAGCATTATGACTACTCTCAGTGTTTGTGGCAACCTGGTGTATGATATCATTAAGGTATTTATTGAGAAACAAGAATTAATACAATCTTTATATTATACGAGTATATAAATTAAGATAAGAAATAATAAGATGAACGTCATTACTTGAGCCAGAATATCATTCATAGCCTCACTGCACTCTTGATCTTCTTTACCGAGAATTCTTAGTAGGTTTAGGATACGAATCTGAGTTGCAAGTAAGCAATATCTAGATATTATTCATCTGGAATATACCGTGCGTATGAGTGCTATAACCTAATTTAGGAGTATCATTAACCTGTAAGAAAGGATCACTAATGCCAGAAACATCATGATCTGGAGCATAGCCGGCCATAATCAAATTCTTCAGTAAGCGTATCAACTGAGGTGTCCACTAGGCATAACAAAATAAAAAAGTACACATTATTTAAGCAAGACTTTATCAATATGGCACTTTTAATGAAACTAACCCTTCTGAAATGTGGCATAGTATCTGGCTTGACAGTACATATTTCCGTGATCAAAGCTACTGCAGTTAGTAGAACACCTGCAGGCATAATCATAAAAACAATTAACACATCAATCGTTTCATAAAAACTTTAATAACTTCAATTTTCTAACCATGATTTTTTTCATTAAGCAATGAACGGGTGACAGGGATAAATATTTCAGATAATTCAGGAACCTTACGAACCATTCGTGTGGCACATAGAGCAGCCTATTTCATCACATACAAGATGTTTATTTATAATTTATTGAAAGGTGTAGAATATTTCTATCTTTCTGAAAGAGCGTAATGTTTCAAAAGTAGGTTTGACCTTTTTCTTAATGTAAGCATTTGCTGACTTTAACAGTTTTTCCACTTCATTCGCGAGATCTCTACTCATCTCTGGAGAGCAAATGCTACAATAAAATGAAAATAAATCTCCCTCAGAGCTACGCAAAAGTAGTATAATTTATAGGCTAAGGTATAAATAGATTGTCCAGAGTAAATTACCTTCCTAATGTACATAAAGCAAGCCCGACAATGAACTGTGTTGAGTTATTCATATCACTGAAATGGAGTAGTAACAAGTTAGATAAGTGAAGCCAAGACATCATATTTCATTCCATAAACGTTCTAGTTAATTCTTGTATTTTATGCTACCGGAAGTTAATTGCATACTTTTTTAAGGAATTGGTGATAAGAATGTGGACATCTTGACGTTCGTCTAACAGAAGCATAGCGCCAAGATAACCGATTCGTTTATCCATAAAACGATTTGATGCAATCAACTTAAGGCACTCCAACTGTAGAGAAAAGGGCATTGATTACTAAGATTATTACTAGCCATTATAAAGACAATAAAATACAAATTGTTAATTTCATGTAATTTATATCTATGGATAATAGAACAGTACCATTGCAAAACAGTTTATAGATAGTAGTCCTACAAATTAGTAGCTAAAAATCTAGATATGATATACCTGCCCGAAATGCGCTGGATAACCAAGCATATGGATATATAATAACTTAGCAACATTTCTGCATCTGAATTCGTTGTCTTCTTCTTTAAATGTGGTACGAATAAGTGCACATTCCTTGTTGACAGCAGTACGCTCTTCCGCTGCGGTCTTGCAAGACCTTATTAGTCGTATTAATTCTTTCAAACGCATAGGAATCGGCATAGTGCTCAAATTTCACCTAGTTATAGGGCTGAAATTAAGGGGAGGGTTAGTCATAATTTTATAAAATTGATGTACTCAAAAACATGTAAGCATGATTTTTAAAAACACTCTTTTGCTATTAGCAACATTATGCATGTCGATGTAAAATAGATAAAGTCTATAAGAAGAGTGGATATCATAAATTACTAAAAACACAGTTTACGTATATTACTGTAGTTTATAATCATATTAAATATCAAGCATTACTAATTTATCACAAATTAGCTAATTGCCAAACTAATGAATATATTTAAATCATATTGACAGAGCATCTGACTACATAGCATTTAATTATTTGAAGTTAAAGTTGAAATGTAATCTATTTTGTGTACCAATAGTTGGTTAAATATATCAATATAAATTCTAGCGGCACAGTGCAAAGTAACTCTATGGTATGGCTTCGAATAATGTCGAGGCACAGACAATATTTTAGATGATTCCTTTTTAAAGAATGTCGATATTACTTTTAGTAATGAATCGCTACAGGATTATAAAGCGATGAAGCTCACTAAAGCACAGATTATGTAGCACAAATAAAACTTTTATCTTTGTCGCAAGTAAACCGCAACTATGACAAATCTTAAATAGTTTATATACTGTAATAGTAATAGTTAAGTTATACAGTACATTAATATCATGCTGACAATATGTTCACATATATTCTTTTACACGCTGCTGTATACAGTTGTGTCAGCGTTGAAGCCTTTGCTCTAATAGCGAGCAGTGTTATAAGTCTCAATAATAGCAACTCTTTTAAAACTGCTTCATGAGCCAGGCTGATTTTACAGCTTCCGATTCTCCTTAAATTTCTCCAAATCTTCCACATCATGTAATCACAGTTTGCTACGCAATTACCATAATGATAAGTAATATTGATTCTACTGTAAGATTGATTGTGTAATTATACGTCAATATTATCGATGGCCATGGTAATTTTGAGTGCAAACTACATGTACCGTGGACAGCAGTCTAGGCGGTATAGTTTATTATTGCTGGTTCTTACGAAGAATTTGAATTAATAACAAAATGCCTAGCCATCCACGTTGTAATGGTAACAAATTCAATTAGGATGATACGTAAGTCAAGGCGTTATCACAATGTTTTAACGTACTGAAAAAAATTCTTAAAGTTCCGTATGATCCAAGAATGGCATTACATTATCACTATGACTACATATCGGTCTTCTTATATTGTAGAATGCTCGTTAAGATCTATGTTGCACTACCTAAGGGATTACTGTAACTTGTTGTGTTCAAATACCAAGAGTTGATTAATCCACATTGTGGTGTGGCATAATCTCGGTATTCTCAATGCGGTTTATCAACAAGTACGCCATTCATAGAATTATTAGTAAAATCCATTGCTTTTTCATCAAACGATCTCATTTTACTATGGAAAACTCAATATGAGCATATCTGCAAAAAAGGTAGCGACAGTATAAGAAAACTGACAATGTTCTCGATCCATCGCTACACGGAGATTAGGGTCTCGCTGTTCTTTCTCCTGAAACGCCAACACCGTGATGATATACAGTAGTAGTAGTATCGAAGTTTGTATTATTCAAATCTAAGATTTATTCTTTGTATGACTTTGACTTGATTATCATCGTTTAGTGTTGTCTTATCCTACAACAATTATTCTATATTGAACTACAGTAAGTGTCTATGCAGTTTCTATTTTTGAAACTCAGTAACAGTAGCGTCATGATAGAAGACTATCATCAGCCTATAGTGTCAAGTATAAAAAGTTATCAATGTAAAGAAAGCTAAAGCATCCATTAATGGTCATTCATTAAACTTATTCCTCAGTAGTTTCTAGCTAGACAGTACATCAATTACGGCCAAGGGTAGGTAGGGGTGCAAAGAGTTTCGCCAGAAAATACAGAACAGAATCAGCAGATTGTGCTGTACAGTAGTATGACTATCAACTTTAGACAGTCCAGCAGGAGCGTTATCTTTTTCTCTATTTTAGAGTAGACTACAACTGGTCAGAGCGACTATAGATAGATAGATTGGCAATTTATTAGCGCTCTCATTACCTTACAAAGCTTTGCACTATTCAAAACATTAATAATCTTGGCTTAAAACAAGACACTACTGGATTTGACTTTGACGACAGGATGCTCAAATACAAGTCAAATCAAGGCGGTTTTTATCATCCTTTCTATACGAACAACATGTCTATTCTACAAGATGAAATACAACTTACCACTGTAGTAATAATAACAGAAGGAATAAATGACTTGGATAGAGTGATTGCTATCACACAGTTGAAGTTTATAAGTTCAGAAAATAGTGAAAATAATGAGTTGAAATTTCCACTTGCGAACTCAGATGGTGGCCATCTTCTCAGAGGAAAAAATCACGCATGCGCACAATACCTGAACAGCCCATGGGCGCTCCGATAGTTGATACTGTGTTAGTATGGTACACGGAAATTATGAGAGGTTGAGCTGTCAAGTGTTTTGCACAGCACTCTATACTCTACAGTGAATACTACGCTCTATGCATACTGTACTATAGGCTATAGCAAAGTATACTTGGAGTATAGTAGTACTGGATACTTCTGGACAAAAATTGATGACACCTGTAATATGTACTCAAGGATAGATAGGAAATTTATAGTACCAGAGATGACTGTACTGAAGAAGACCTTGAAGTAGCCCACCAATTCATGACTAAATTTTACCTTTCACTTTAATCCATGAATGCAGTCATGGCTGTTCAGTGAAAAGTATAGAGAGAGAAAATCACTAGCAAAAGTGATGTCACGTAGCTAGAGTGCTGTCGTGGCGCATCCATAGAGATATTTTTTGCATACATTTTTTTCATACATCTACTACTTGTAGGAATGGGCGCATCAAACAGTCAATATTTGGAGGACCGACGGTGAACATGTGCTGGGTCATTCAGCACTTGTTACACTCTAAACTCACTCACATAGGCGTGAGTCACAACCCTGGGCAATTTGTGATGCTATACTGTGATATACAGTAGTAATACAGTACAGTATGGTACGGCTACTACCAGGGGCTACTCGATCGAAATGATACTTCGTGCATAATAGATTGTCATCCCTGCCCTGGAAAAGAGAATGTGATAGGCTCGTACTTTGGAGGGGCTGGGTGACAATTCTTATGCACAAGACTACACTTTTAATTGAGCAGCCCACACCGGGTGGTGTAACTTCCATACTGTACAGTGTACAGTCAGTACGTATACGTATAGCATACAGTACAGTATGCTCCGACGGAGCAGCCCCATTTGTAATACCAGGGGCTACTCCATCGAAATGATACTTCGTGCATAATAGATTGTCATCCCTACCCTCGGAAAAGAGAAAACGATAGGCTTGTACTTTAGGGGGCTGGGTGACAATTCTTGTGCACGAGGCTACAATTTTAATCGAGCAGTCCCACACCTGGTGTTGTAACTTCCATACTGTACAGTATACAGTACAGTACGTATAGCATACTGTACAGTATGCTCCAACGAAGCAGCCCCATTTTGTAATACCAGGGGCTACTCCATCGAAAAGATACTTCGTGCATAATAGATTGTCATCCCTGCCATGGAAAAAGAGAATGTGATAGGCTCGTACTTTGGAGGGGCTAGGTGATAATTCTTATGCACAAGGCTACACTTTTAATTGAGCAGCCCACACCTGGTGGTGTAGCTTCCATACTGTACAGTGTACAGTATGCTCCGACGAAGCAGCCCCATGCCCCGTACAGTACGTACACTCATCGATGACGTAGCATTACGTCATCAGAGACGACAGATCACGAACCAGCGACAAGGCAGAAATGAATTAACTCCATGCAATCGGCGACTGTAAAAGCGGCAGCAAGGCCAAAACGCCATTTTAAAGCTATTTTCTCAGCTATATCTTGTCAATAAATTATTCATTAGCTATACTGCATAGGCACTGGTTAATTTTTCTACCTCAACGTATTGATCGATCAAGTTATCATGATGGTAAAAGCGAAAATATGCAGGATATTATTGCGTCGTTTTCATACACGAGCGATGTACCTTCAACATGGTAAATTGATGATATTGCCTAGCATTAATGCTGCATTCTATAAATTCAATACAATTTGAAAATGATATTCTTAATCCAACAAGTGATTGATAAACTATTCTCTATGGATAACTTTGGGGTTCGCCCGTCACTTTTATACTGTATAGTAACAATCTAAACGAAGTAATACTGATAGACTATCTGCATAATATAGCAGAGCTGTAAAATGATGGTCATATTGCACATTAAGAGTCTATACAGTAGTACCACATTACTTGGATGTGTGTTAATCCAACAAATTATTAATAAACTATTCTCTATGGATGACTTTGGGGTTCGTCCATCACTTTCACACTATATATTAACAATCTAAATGAAGTAATACTGATGGACTATCCGCACGATACAGTAGAGCTGTACAGTAAATGATTGTCGTAATGCCTATCGGAGTCTATAAAGTATACGTATAGCAGTGGCACAGTACTTGGATGTGTGTCCATTTGAGTCTAGACTTATTCACTAAGTGTTAATTGTATCGCCTCTAATTAGCTGTCACATCCAGCAATGTAAGTCCGATGGAAGCTACTACAAGCATCAGCACGTCCGCCGCCTTTGATACCCTTCAATTTGTAAAGACATTGACCAATCGAGGTAATGTCAGAATGACATGGTGAATAGTAAGTGTAAACTCATGAAATCGTTCTTCTGTCAATACAAGTACGGCAAGCAGTAAAGTATCCATAATTTAATGCTATTCTAAAGAGAAGCCAATATCTACCATGCTATATTCTTCACTAAAATAGTCTGTAGCCAATCAATCACTGTAGCTAATACGACTTTATTTGATTTAATGGTCAATGATTGATCTTAGTCATACTACTCAAGTAAACACTCTAGACGAGTATTACTACTTTGCGGCTTATGACAATCGGTTATGTTAGGATTTCAGACACAACAAGCTGAAGTACTATCGCAAACGTTAAATCAAGTACTGGCTAATTTACAGTTATCTTTTATGGAAAAAATGGTTACCAAAGATCAACAGGTAAAAAGATTGCCAAAAAATTAGCCTTAAAAGTAATTTAACCATACATAATAATATAATTTATTTTCATGATAATACACAAATTGATAGACCTCTGTAAATAATTATTCTAATTTCAATTTAATCGTATTATAGGACAAATTAATCTTAAAATTAAATTCGGATATTACTTCTTTAAGGTAAGTAAATAATCCATTAGGTGGTAATATTAGTAGTCTAAAGTGACTCTAATTTCGATGCGACAAAGATAACGAGGCTACTATACGATATTGAACTAAACTGTAATATACTGCATAAGTCTTTATTGCTAACCTATAAGTAATGCCATTATATTTTAATTATGATAACTCTCTATATTGCAGCATTTATTGCATTGAATATAATCAAATTTAATTTTGACTTGATTAAAGTAATTTCAATTATGCGCTATAATAAAGGGGAAAAATACGGTATTAATTTTAGTATACGTGTACTTAATCTTGCATATCTGTGTCAGACCAGCTCAATGCAGATATCCTTTTGAAGCTTTCATATGAAAAGGCATTAGCGAGGCAACTTTAAAGTAAATGTAATGAAACTTTTTCATTATAGGAAAGACATGTTTATACTAGAGAAAAGTGAATTTGACGCGCTAAAGAATGAGAATGAGGTAGGCAAGCAGATTCAAGCCATGAGTTACAGTATCGTATCATTTTTATCATATCTTTTCTATATACCACTGTAGAAGATACTGTTTCTAATTTTCTGTATCCATTAATTATACAATCTATTTACATAGAAGTTAAAACATGAAGTGGAATCCATTAGAAAACTGCTTAAGGTCTAACTATACTGCTTATAAATTTTACCATTTTAGTTATCCGCAATAGCAATAAATGAATATATAAGAGTCGCATTGTTAACGAATGAAATACTTCACCGTTCTAATCAACATTTATTTCTAATATCACGCCTTCCATTCTCATGTTTCTCTTCAAAACTGCTATACTATTTTCATAGGATGAATTATCAAAAGCCAATGCTAATTTTTCATTAGATGTCAGCATGGAAAGAAGCAGACAAAAGGAAGTTGTATGTATACGTTTTTACTCCCTACAGCGGAGATCATTTAAATTTAAATTTTAATCATATCTTACTTTACGAGTATTTCTAAATTATCGTTTACATTATTAGTGACGCTACGAAAGAATGTGTCGTATATTCAATTTGATGTAATCGTTAATTCTGATAAGTATCTATTATTAGGCTGCTGATCAAGAACAAAAAATTAGAAATGTCAATACTAAAATCGAAACTGAGGTTATTAAAAACGTATTTCAAACATTAAAATTCTACATTCTCTCATGTTGCCTTGTAGAATTTATTGCTTATGCCTATTTGTATGATTGTTACAATATATTTTTATTGTTCAGATCGCTAGTCTAAAAACTAGCCTAGAAAGCCACAAGTTAGATGTTATGAAGTATCTTGCAGGTACTGTTTTATTACAACATCTGTGAGTTTTTAACGAAAATAGGATGTGTACGCACTATGCAGCTTGTATAGCATTCATTGTACTGTGAAGGTCTAAGTAATAATTAATAAAGAGTTTATATACCTTAGAATTGCGATTTATCATTGTAATTAAGGAGTTTGCTGCTCTCATCTATTTTAGGTTCCTTTGTATCGTTTTTAACGATAGGATTGGCTGTCTGGAGACTGATAAAATGATTCCTACTATTCATCTGCTGTACATGACAAGTGCGATGTTTTTATTATAGTTTGATAAGTTCCTGAATGTGCACCGATGCATACCTTTGTATAACTTAAAGAGTCTGGCTATTCAGTATTTATTTTGTAAATTATGAAATTTGAATGATAAATTTTGGATTGTGTAGTAACAATAGGAATAGCCGTGTATTTTGATGCTTACGCTGTACCTGGGGCCTATACATAATACAATATTGTGTGAAGATATGTATAGCATTTATGTATATTATTGAATTTATGTATCAAATGATGATCCATTATAATCACATAAGAAATTTGATAGCGGATTGAACGTATCTTAGGCTCATTAGTATTATCGAAGTCGTTATCATTTTTAATGCTGCCTATTATCATCTCTATTCTTTGCATTGAATCAGTCCTATTAATATGCACCAGAGTATTTGCAACATGCTTATCTTCCTTTTTCTAAGTGCAAGTAACACTGTACTGTACTCGATCGTTTATTATGAATGAGTACATGCTGGGGCTACAAATACTGATAATAAATTCTGAATTTAATTGAATATTTCTGATTTTATTTGTGTTACAAGCAACAGTTCACATAGGATAAAATTATGAGAAATTCGCAATTTATGCAGTAAAATGTTACAGCGGATTGGTGTGGAACGCCTTCATAGATCATTCGTGTAGTATATTTGCACTCCAGCCAAAATTAAAATACGTTGCTATCATTTATCACACTTAAATTCACATACAAATATATAAAAGTATATCAATAAGCTCTTATCGGCAACTAATAATACAGCTATGTCCTTATTCGTATATAATCCTATAGCATGTCTCTTATCAATAGTTAAATAAAATGTTCCTAATATTGTAGTCTTTAATGCAAAGTGCATTAAGTTATTGAAAAAGGTATCAAATACTTATTTTATAGTACTACAGTAAATAAACCGTTATTCAATCAGTCATTTATAGAGTTCAGTATCGGATTTCGAAGATTGTAATTTATTCATCCTATAGTAAAAATAAGTGTAGTAAAAAGGTTATAAAGACATATACAGTATAACTTTTAATTTGTTAAAAACTTACTTATTTGAATGGAATCTTCTAAAATAGCTTCTTGCTCTTCTAGCAGGTTTTCCTCCATGAAACTATAGAAAATAAAGAATGTATAGATCATTCCTTAAATGGCTATAACAAAAAAGAAACAATGTCTTCTGATTGATATTAGCATATTGCAATTTTAGCATATTAACATAGAAATACTTGTTAAGACATTTGCGTATATCAATACACTATTTTACTTAATACTACAATCATTAAAACTTCAATAAACTATAGTAATCAGCGATTTCACTTCAACTCACTGTTGCATACTTCTCTCTTAAGTCAATTATCTCAAATTTTTCTCGTTCGTATGTTCCTTGCTCTTCTTGATACGACGATTCAAATGTTCCTTGATCTTCGTGATACGATCTACATTTTTCCATCGTATTCTCAGGCGATCTGAACAATGTACGAAGTGTAGAAAAAGTTTTCTGTCGTCCATACTGTGACTTTGTCGCTTTTCCTTTTATAGTCGATACAATTACTAATAATAACGTATTCAGTAAAAAAATGTTCGAAAAGCAATAATTCAGAATAGATTTTATATAACTCCATAATTATTTATATATTTCCTTCTATTGGCTTTCCGCTTCATTTGGTTAGGAATAAATTATTATGCTTCTGACAAAGCAAGATTAACAAGAATATCTTAAACATAAGAGTTCGCTCACAAGTTATATTGTATTAGAAATCTTACCACACAATAAATTGTTAGCTTTATATATATGTACTACAGAAAGCGTTAAATTTATTTAATATTAAGAAGAGCTTGTTAGTGTTAGATGAAAATGCCATTAGTTTTAGTGAGTTTTATATAAATTTATGCGCATCAATAATACAGATTTTCAATATATACAACTTTAAAATACTGTATCTTCCATTAATATAACTTAAAGGCTTCATTAAATGAATTAAACTATACATGAGAAATGTTAGAAGCGACAGAAATATTCAAAAGTATAACGTATCAGAATTAGGGACTCGTGATAAGTGACAGTTTTTATTGTAAAATTTTTCCAATTAATCCTAAACGTGTATGTAAGACTTCACAGTAGATACATCAAAAGTCGCATCAGACTTACGATCATCCTAATACGATATTGATATCGTAAAGAAAGATGATTTGCATTAGTAGAGTGGTTAGAAAATATTGCAGCAGTTAGCAATTAGCGAAATCTGCGGTAGCAAAGATGTAATTTCTAGTAAGATCAATTGTCAGCGCTAAACTGTTGACATAGACTTTTTAGGGGTTACTGGTGAGGCAGGTAAAGCAGCAGCAGCGACAAGAGCAATAGCGGTAGATGCAAAAGAAGGCGCAGCTGAAGAAGAATCTTTCTTACGGTTTGCATTTGCTGAATGTAAATTCATAAAGGATCCTGGCCTTTTGCCGCTGTAATCCCTAATGCTAGGGTCTGCTTCTATAAAGACGAAGAAAATCAACCATTGATGTGATAGTTAATTTTTGTGTTGAATAAAGATAACCAACTTACTGTATTTAATGATTAGCAGCTTTGCAATATCCTCATGATCATGCATTAAAGCCAAATGCAACGGTGTGTAGCCCTACGTAGAAATAACATTATGAACGTTAGCCTCCAAAAAGTAGCTCTTCCCGATAGAATTAAGCAATAGACGATATTATACGTTGTGTAATATCAAAACATTTACCCCCTACGAGTGTTTGCGGTTGATTTTCAAAATTTAGAACGCGGTAATTATGTTAACAAAAGAGACGGATAATAAATAATTGGTTAAAACATTTTTTAAACAGATCAAGTTAATTATGCTAAGAAATAAATTGAAATTTACATTCGATACTATAATACAGTACGTTTAAGGAGAGCTAGCACTTACATTCTAATTGAAATTGAGTTCCAGATTGTAGTAATGTTACATACGTCGTATAGATAAAAAGAAACAGTGATGGTTAAGCATAATTATACAATACACGGAAATCTATATCATAAAACTAACAGATCTGATATTAGCATCAGCTCCATGGCCACATAGAAATCCTACCACATCGGCGTTGCCTTGCTTCGCTGCCCAATGTAATGCAGTCTATGACATTAAATGATGTGTTAAGTATTGTTTCCATCAGATCAAATTAGATCCAGCAAATCATGATTGTAGTCTATGGTATCACTTACATACTACGAAATATGCCCGGGTACGACGAATATCCAACATTAAATTAATTTAAAATAGATTTAGAAAGCATTACTCTAAATATCATCTATCCTTATTAGTAAGTTCTAGTGTATAAGCGCTAGATATTATATAGGCTGAAAGAATATAGCTAAACAGACATTTTATATTCGAAATTGAAGATAAACGATTTGTGCTAAGAGAGGATAATTCCTATACTAATATGTTAGCAAGTAGTTGTGAAGCTTGAGCGATTCTTATTTCAACTCACCCCCTATATCGAAGATAAATAATAAGTATGATTTACAGATATATGATCGATAGCATAACCTAATAATATTTATTTGCAACACATCATAATATATACTGTATACTGTATATAGTAAGTCTGTACTGTATTCAATCAGGATCAAACGTACCGAAACAAAATCTCGTCTATCAAGTAAAGATTCATCTTTCTCTAAAAGCGTCTTTAATAAATGAATATTACACATTGATGACCATCTCATCCAGTCATGTTCCTCAGCATCCAGCTACAACATCCAATAACATCAACAGATAAAGTATGAGTTATGTTTCTATACTATATTTACAAATACAGCTATTAAAATACAATAGAATAATCGGAGATTCATACTGTAGTGAATAATGATTTTAATTATTTTGATGCACTACTAAGGAGAAAATATCACTTTTCAGCTAAATGTAGAATACTCAACAATCATACAGTTCTATGCATAAAATCTGTGTAATTACATGTAATAATAGATACACGCATAACAATCTTGAAATCATAGTAACTCACTAACCCCGTAATAATAATCGTCTTCGACGCTGTCTGCATCTCCCTGAAACAAACGCGATTCATTACAGTAGGTTAGATTATTCTAAATTGTAAGTTTTTAGTTAGAAATAATATATCAATAAATGCTAGAATAGCGATTTGTTCGTATAATTATTTTAAGCGCTGTGTCTTATTCATAAAAAGGTTTCAACCGTTGATGTTTTTACATCGTTATTGACAGAACTGATATTATCAATTATAAATAGTCTATAACACTTACATCATCAAGCTTGGGGGAAAATAACGCAAAAAATGGAGAACATGTACAAGAAATAGCACAAGCAATTATAAAATAAAAAGCAGCAATTTTATGTGTTAATATTTTAAAATCAACTTTCTCCTACAGTTGGTCAAAAAAAGGAATTCATATATAAAAGAAACAATATTGTTTATACTAACTTCCACTAATTCACTAGTCGGCTGTTCTTCAGAAATGGCTGTTAAATCAGCAATAGTGCTCATTTTTGTAGATCTTAATATCGACGGTGAATTGGTCATTCCGTTACCACTCGGTTTTCTTCTTAAAGACATCCTTCCTTTAGTGTCGTCGGTTGTACTCCTTCCTATAGGACCTGCAGTAGTAATACTAGATTTCTTGCGATTGGGTGTACGTACATATTCAGAACCCTAGTTTAGGTGTGTAATGAGCAATTTTCTTTTTGAATATTCATTTCTCAAATGTTACGAGAGCGCAAAGAGAGAAATTACCAATAACTAGTCAGTCATACCATTGCTATAATCATTTTAATTTTAATTGAATATATATCGTTTTCACCTTTGATGCTCGACGCTTCGAAGTAGTGCTATAGCCTCCAATGGTTGAGACTTTGGGTGTTCTATCTAATGAATCGTATTTACTCATTGATCCATCAGCTATCGCATCTTCCGAGATGGTTGTTAAACTTTCGTCTCTTCCAACCGGTACAGAATGAGATTTATCATAAATTTTCTTGATAGGAATATCATCATCCTCATCAATACTTGCACTGCCCGCCATCGATACTCGTTGATCGGACGAGCTATCGTCGTTTCTAGTTGAATTTGAGGTTAAAGAATGATTGTCATCACTTTCATCGTCATTGTAAACAGTGGCAGGTGCTGCAGTAGTGGTCCCTTCATATTCTTTGTTTCTGAATTCGGGCTTCAAAACGAAGTAGTTGATTTGCTTGATATTAAAGTATTTAGAAAAGAGCTCAAATTAGTCCACTTTTTATGTTATTATATCGTTATGGACATCGTGTAAGGTATGCTAGAGTGCTCGCTCAAATGGGAATATTGATTATGCAATTAAAAACATTTACGCGTACACCGTATAATCTATTTTTGTTTGATTTAATTGATACTTTCATCAAGATGGCAGTCAGCAATTTCGCACTGTATTAGTGGTATACGCCAAGTGTTATCAAGATTTCTGTGAAAAAGAGTTGATGCAAGGTGTTCTATTCTTACTCATTCTGTATGCTTGTCCAGTAGAGCAGAGATTTAGCACTACACCAGCAATCCAGTTTTAATATACTCGTAAACACTTTAACACGATTGCGTATCTAAGAGTATCACTACTAAGAGTAAGATAGCAGCATCACCAGGTCGACAGAACCTTTCCCGAACCCTAATTTATTTCATTTCAAACGAGTTCATGCTAATCTATCGTACGATACAATCTAGACAAAAATAGCGAATCCATCCATGATGGCTTGTAAAACCAGTGTTTATTGATACTATATGATGTTATTAGGGATCAAAGTGCCTATCTACTGAATATGGCAAGTTTTTACCATGTAAGATAACGAAATATTGTCAAATTACTGCTAAACTTATTCATCGTTTTCTCGATTATTCCTGTCGATATTCTTTATTCCAGTACAGTACGTAGATCAACAACGCTATCCTAGTGACTAAAATCAATACTAGGATATTGCTGATTTGGAAGAGCACACGTAAATTATAGGCTTATACTATTAATGCATAACAAGCCATTGTAAAACGAATTGCTTTTGATAGTCTACTTACATCAATTTTCTCAATAGTTGTTAAAGCGTTTAATCCGTGACGGAAATCGTCCCGATGTTCTATGTAAAATTAGGATATTATCAGTTTTATGACAATAACATGTGATAGAGTATTCGTTGATGATATCATACCTCGAATAGACTGCTTGAAATGCTTACTAAATACTTCATCTTTGACCCTAAAGTTATGCTCAACAAAGTACTGCTTAATTGCCTCTCTGACTTCTTGACTTGTGCTAGCCATTGCCACTTTATCGATTAGATTAGTTGATGATTTCTTTTAACAGCGACTAGATGGTATAACATCCATGTACTATACAATAGTGATAGGTATCCCTTTGCCACGTTAAGCAAAGCAGTTTAATCGTTAATCTTTCTAACTCTAAATCAATTAAAGTTAGCTAACTGCGCCCAGCGATATTTCGACAGCAACAGCATCCGGATCAAGGCCTAGATCTGATCCTATGGCCTAGATCGAGGATCAGATCTAGGCCTAGACCTGACAGCTACCGTAGGGTACAGTGCGGTACAGTACAGTATGAAGAATCCCCGCGTTACAGTACTGAGTACTGTACTCGAAATCATCACAACTGGAGAAATCCTTGGGTGTGGCTATCGAAATCACGGTTCCAATGGACGATATCGCTGTACAGAAGGGGGGCTCAAAGTAGTTTTTGGAAGAAGAGTGGGCCAAAAAATCATTATTATTTTACCTTCTATCATCAGATCAATCTTTTATGCATACCTAGTTTCAACATTCAATAGCAGAGTGGCAGAGAATAGTAGTATACTTCTATGATAGCTAGGATACTGTGCTAGACTGCATGCTCGTACTGTATCGATCCATCGCCCTGCTATGACGCTTATCCATTCGTTTTATCTAGGAAATCGAACTGTTATATCTGATTGAATTGAAATTAAATAATTACTTCCATGATGGGATAGACACTTTTGGAGGTGGCGATTGAATATGACAAGGTGCTATAAAATGACCAACGCAGCATACAGTATGCAGGACTGTGTAATGAATGAATATAGACAGCTACTATTCGCGTCTACTATCAATCGATACCCAGCTATGTTAGTAATTGTGGAATAGGAGGTGATATAAACTGATTAGTATAGCATGCAGGATTGTGTCATGAATGAATATAGATAGCTACTCTTCTTGTTTACTGTCAACCAATATAGAGCTATATTAGCAGTTGTTGGAGAGCTCAAGATATAGATATACCGTAGAGCTTTAAAGACACTTCGTTGAAACTCCGACCAAAAGCAAGAGACTGTCGAGTAAGGATGATGTAAATTAAAGACTCTTAACGAAGGGTGTCTAATGTAAATGTGTCACTTTTAAATACAACCGTACGCGTATGTTTATAGTACTGCAATGTTATCCGGTTACTGATTTGCTAAATCGTGTTATAAATTTGTAAAAGGATATTGGGTAAGTTTGTAAGGAAATGCAATATTAATAAAATCCGAATGGAAACTTTTTATTTATTTGCTGTCATATTGGTCATGAATAGCCTCATCCGGTAAAGGAGACGGAGCAGAGTCTTATATCCGGTTGTAAAAATTGTCCTAAAATAATTTTCATGGACTGCAAAATTTAATTTTTGTCCATTTTTTTTTAAATTGAAATCAAGTGGAATGAAAATGTTTATGCAGAAAAGTCTAGAGTGTTTTAAGTAATATCATGATCCAGCTCGATCGATCATATCGTTATTATGAATCAATCGAGCTATACCATACGAACGGAGTAAAGTATTCATAGTACTGTAGCTATACAAGGTATGGTATGACTATAAGTGCGCTCATGGAAACAGTGTATAGCACTCAGTATTAAATAGATTTAGAATTTTTATATCAAAAACCAATTTGAAATCAATTTTATAAATTCTATGAAATCAACCAAACCATTTTATTCAGCCTTAAGCTTAATACATCATATAAGGAGTAAATGCGCAAAAAATAACATTTTTAAGCCTATAATTTTCCCAATATTGAATAGATTTCAGATTTTTGATTATGTTACAATCCATAAATGCATTCGCCATTTTCATACTAATCAATATAGTACAGTACCAAATCTACTGTACTTTATACTGTATCATCGGCCATCTCTGCGGCAGCGCACCAAAAGGTGTCTCGCCCACTAAAGTTTCTAGTAGTCCATGCATGTACTAGCGTTTGATACAAGTTCTACTGTATTTGCTAGTCAATTTAACTGTACTTGACATCTGTAACAGTCATGGTACAGTACTTGGGAGAAGCATTTGAGCAATCGCAGAAGCAGACCAACCCTTGAGCCAGCTTCGCGTGAAAATCGCTGGTTGCCATAACAACAATAAAAAAATACGTTCTCAATAGAGAACATATTACTATATCAGGCACTGTAGAGGTAGAGTCGATGTTGTACAATGTTTTTATACATATAGATGACATACACAGCACATATCAAACTCTCTTCCTATCGTCCTAATCGCATAGAGTTAAATATTAAGATAAGCGAAATAGAAGAATCTTAATTTACCAATTCGTCCATAATTGCATACTTATAGGTATTACTGTATAACGCAATCGGAACTGCAAACCTCTTGTAGTTCATAAAGTACTTCAATATCAGTTTATTGCATCAATTGCCTTGTCATAATACAATCTTAGTCCTAAAATGGATGTCGATTACTTAAAAAAGAATGTTAGTGATGCATTGGCAGAAGGATTGAAAGAAGTCGTCGAAAAAAGACCAGGTGATCCTATTGAATTCTTGGGACATTGGCTGATCAAGTACAGGCAAAACCAACTCGATAATCAAAAGGTTAATAAAATGATAATATTTATCAGTTAAAATTGGGGTGCAAATACCCTAAAGAATTATATTAATTATAGCCTCGACATAAGACGTGCTAAATCAATTCAGAAATCACTGTATACGTGCATCTAAAACCGTTATAACGTAGCAGTAATAAGTTACATCAACATCACAATTATTTTACATCAGATCCAAAATATTATTTTAGCAGGCGATCAAGATAAAGTATGTGCATTGATATAGAAATAAAAATTAATTGTGAATAACTTTTTATTCTTAGTTCTATATAAAATTTACTGCTATATAGTAGTAGATGCCCAAAAAGTAACCGATATACTATATACTTATATTGTTAAGTATTAATATTATGCCTCGGAGAATCATGCATTATCTTCAAATCTGAAGTAAGGTATAGAACTAATTTCAATCTTGAATGCAAACTAACAATGATACATAACTGTAGGAACTTGAAGAAGAAGAGAAAATAAGACAAGAAATTCTAGAGATAGAACGTGAAGAAGAACGAAAGCGAAAAATCCAAGAAGAAATACTGAGATTAGAGAAGGCGAGAGAAGAAGCTAGGAAAAGAGAAGAAGCAGAATTAGCTGCATCAATCCAGGAGGCTCGTATAACGAATGCTGACCTTGTTGATAAAAAAGAAGAAGAAAAAGTAGAGGTGCCACAGTCGCCTATCATTATTGGCGATGGAGAGGAAGAAGGTGAGAATGGCTATGGCATTGATTTTATAAATACGTAATCTAGCCTTAAATCTTATGTAACTCATAGAGTGCTATCTAAAGCAAGCAACCTACTTTTTACAGTCTCTGTATCGGATAATTTTATTTCTTAGTGAATCTGCAATTTCAATAACTTTCTTTCATTGAATACGTGTATATAGAGAGAGATGATGACGATCAATCTAGAGGAAGCTCCAGATCAGTAGCAGATAGCAGAGATGGAGAAGAAAGGCCATCAACTGTAGATAAAGAAAGTGAAATTGATCCCGAAGCTGGTAAAGATTAATTCCATTGCTAAATTTTTATTTCATAGCTGATTAATTATAGTTGATTTTTTTAATATACCATTGTCAAATAAACTACATCATTACTAATATTACAATATTTATGGTATAGCCGAGGAATAAGATAGCAATGCACCCTTGAAATAATTTCGACAGTCAAGGCTGTAAATAATAATATAACTGCACCTTATGGCTCCTGAAAGAAAGAATAAAGAAAACACAATTTTCTGACTATCAACATGTACGTAAATTCTGTTAGTATACGGTATTGTGAAGCTAAAGGTAATTGATTACGATTATCCTTCGATCTTATACCAATCTTGTTCATAATTTATTAATTAACTAAACGGAACGGTTGTTTACTTAAAGTTGGAGATGCGATTCATGCATGAATACTAATCCAGTAATGATATTTGCTACCAATTCATTTGTATATTATAAGGTCATAACATTTAAACTGTCCTTACTAAAATAAAGTGTAAATCGTACTTGAATCTTAAGGTATATTTTCGATTTTGTACAAAAACCGCTATTTTACTATAAGCGTGTATTAATTTAAAGCTTGCATAACATGAATAACCATGTAAAAGTAAGAAGTTTAGCTAGTGCTTAAATTATATTCCACAATAATATTTACAACCTTGTAATTTATAAAATAATAAGAGTACGAAATAGAATTAGTAAATAATTGAGACTTGGCATAGATTTTCATTATACTTTCGTTTACCATAAAACTTATAAGCAAGCGCCCTATTCTGTAAGTTATGGACCAAAATATCAAACATGAATAACATTGGTTATAATAAACTGCTTATGTAGAGCTTTTACGCTTTTGATAATGTGAAGAACTAAATATTAAAATTACAATTTGTGAAAAATGATTCTGATGTACTTTATCATAAGAAGCAACAAATCATGAATCGTTAACACGTAACTGTAATAATGTCTGCTATTAAAATTACATATAATTGTGCGTTGCACATTAGTAATTAGCATGCTAGCTAATTAGTAATCCTATATAGTGCTTCAGCTAGTAGTTCAATTACTCTTCACTATATCGATGAATATATCTCTAGAAGACACATAATATCAAATGCTAGAATAAACTCGTGCAACTATAGTTAGATACATTTTGTATCGTCTGCATTTCTCGACAATGTTAATGAATAATTCTTCTTAGATAAATTTGGTGACAATATTTTTTAGTCTAATTAGTAAAGACTGCAGCATTGTTATGGTTGAATCTAGATATGTAAATCTTACTCGTACGTTTTATTCATACCCCTATTATTTTTTGTTCGATTGTTTGTAACTAATTTACACCAATATATTAAACTTATCTGCTATTAATTGTGTGATAAACGTAATTTTATTCAGTACTATTTTTCTACAAAATTATCAGAAGACAAAGTTACGAAATTGGCTATTCAATAATCAAATTTACTTTATTTAACTTTTATTCAATTCTTGAGTAGTTTAAATAACACATTGTAGCAAAACGATATCCTGTTTAGAATTGGAACTCTTGTTTGTAATTCTTGATGTTGGGAAGATTTGCAATACGATCACGCAATGCGGTTAATTTTGGAAATTTATCTGCCCATTCTCCTCCATCAAGAATTTTCAGCAAGTTATTGGAAATTTCGTAAAAGGCAATGTCAGCATATGTTAACTGTTACAGAATTAGAATTAGGAGAATGTGCAATTAGTTTAAAGGATGATAAGATTATTAAACTCAAATATAGGCAAATACGATGCAATTGTATCTTAAAAGAATTTTATCAGTGTAAATTGTTTCTCGAAGTTGCAATTTATAGTATATTTACATTGCCAGTAAAGTATTCACCACCAGCATTTTCTAAGCGACGTTCCAAAAATCCCAAGCCTTTCGGGGCAGTTTCTTCCACAAACTTCTTTCTTAACTGCTCTTTCTTCTCTTCGTCCTTCATCACATAGAATGTAATCATCGGCTCCCTAAGATCGACGGTTAGGAAGTCATAGATTTCATCAGCCTGAGCTTGTTCTAGATTAGTTTTTCCGGCTAAGCCTACCATTTTTGGGTTAAAATTCATTTAGAATAGTCTTTATTGCAAAGAATACATCATTATATGTGCAGTTCAATTATCATGCAAAATTATTCTAAGATTAAATAGCACGGTAATTATAATATTATGGAGGGAGTATCCGATAATAAGGTGCTTTTCAACAATAATTATTTATTTTCGGCTGCACCCGACAAGCAGATAATGTTAAAAAGTTTTAAACCTACCCGTAAAGCCTGCAGCAGCACGAGTAATGGCCCCACTCTGAAAAAAAACATTCCCATCAATTTCTAGGACTGGTATTTGTTGAAACGGAAACCTACCAGCTATAATGAAGGAAGAAATTTGCGCAACGTCATTAACACAATTGTTTTAAATTATTTGACAGTAAAATATAAAAAATTCTTTTTTAGTCACATTGGTATTACTTCGTATCAGAAGCAAAAACAATAACATTAAATTATCGTACCCTTTTATGTATCAGTAATAAGTGAAATATTATCAACTCTCCCATTATAAAACTAAGAAAATATCTTCCCATTATAAAACTAATAAAATATCTTTCTATGCAAATAGATTATTGTTGATAAGGATTAATAAAATTTGATAATTTTCCGACTCGGAAATGAATAAGGAATCGTTAGCACCTTTGATCATGAACTTGATGGATGCATTATTACCAGTATCCATTACAGGTGTTCATCTACACTGACGTTCAGTAATAAAAAAATATGAATCAGTGGTATATCTAAGAGTACTGATTCTCACTAAACGTGATAGGCCCAGCAATTTTGATAGCATACACTCGCATACACCCTATAGGTAAGTATTTACTGGCGTCTTTAAATTGATTTACTTAATTAATTGAGTATTTGATCTTTTACTAATGGCTGTTGCATGGTAACCTCTGGTGAAAAAAATTGTCCTGAGTCATTACCTCTACGCACTGCAATATCCTGTACAATAGAGCACTTTATGGAATAGGACTCTCTTAAAAGCACCTATATCTTAGTATAATATGCTTATTTATTTTAGAGGGATTCTCACGCCGTATATTTGTACTGTAATGTCTATAAAGTAGTATATACCAAAGGAAACGAATCTTTTGTGAGTTTTTGCGTAATACTTAATTTGCACATGAAATACATATCGTGATAGTGATTTATTTAACCAGCTACGGAGAAATTGCACGATTAAATATCCAAACTTTGAAAGATGAATGTGCCTCAACTCGATGTATTCACCGGCAATCAACTAATAGTCTTCACTATATATTAAAGTACTAAATTAAATTTAAATTTAGTGAACATTCTTTTATACATTTTCTATCATTTCTCGCTTCATTATAAATAGGACAATCATCTCAAAATATTATGTGTGAGTAAATTAAACTAATGCGACAAGAAAATCGATAATTTTTAGAACTGCTGATGCCACAAGTGTGTTACTGATATGATAAAACTTACAAGTTTTGAGTTCTGGCCAGTCACTTTTTTCAATCCTCTCATCAACGTACTCTAATCCAGCTTGAGTAAAGATAAGGCGAGCAATTTCAGCTCTGCCGGGTATGTTGAAGTACGTGAGTTTTATAGAAGGCATGTTTAATATAAGTTCTTATCACTTTAGTAAAATAAAAGTAAGATCAATCAGAGCAACACCATCAAGGAAAAAGAGGGTGTATGAACAGGTTAAGTCTAAACTAGAATCCTCATACTATTTAGAAAAGTATTGTTCTATCTTACTAGACAATGACAGCTGCTTGTTTTTTATTCGAACCCTTTCTACCTTTTATTCTTCTGATTTTAATAATTGCTACCTACTGTGCATTATGATGTTGATATTTTTCGACCAATAAGCTTCCCTTTCATATTATACTGGATTTTACAGAATTACTCCACGTTATTAATACTGCTCTAAGTGATTCAATTATAAATTCCTTAGACTACTACAACTAGTTGATACTCAGAAATACTATAAATAGGGAAAGTTTAATTAAGCAACAAGCATGTGTGATAGTGATCAACTTTTTACAGTGCTTGTGCGTTAGGATTTCAGATACTGAGGTAATATTATCAGTATTAAATCAAGTATTGTTTAATATACACCTCTCGCTGAATAAATAACAACCAAAGATTAGCAGGTAAGGATTGCAAATAGTCAAGATCTAGAAATAAATCTGTCTTGCTATAATACGATGTGCAAGAAGGTCATTGATGATCATCATTGCTCGAAATGATGAAATTCCGCAAGGAATACCTTAGTTTCATTCAATTATATTATTGGACAAATCAGTCTTGAAATTAAACTTGAAAGTGAATCTGTAAGATAAATTACCAAAAGCACCAATCATATAATATTAATGAATTATTATTTGAAGAGGGTAAAGTAAAAATTCTACTAAAGCATGGGATGCTAAACCGAGCTGCTCTGCACTATGCACGCATTAAACTCCGTATTTATCCTCGAAGATATTTGTTGTATCGCAATCATTACAATATCACCGTACCTATTACAGTATTTGTATGATAATAATACTATTAACAGTAAGTCTCTCTAGAATTTAAAAATAATCTTACGTAGTGTTTTGAAGTTATATTCTTTGTTAACAATAAAAAATCTTACAATTTATAACATATGATAATGACTTAAAACAAAATTACCAGGGACCCAATTAAAATTTGATATAGATGTTCATTTATGCTTTTCTGCTGATAAGAAACTAAATATTTTATGAGTTATAGGCCAAATTATCAACAGGTTAATAAAACTTGTTGTCACAAGCTTGCTTAAATACAACTTTTCCGTTTGTCGATGCTGTGATATCAAAAATATTAATTCTATATTATGGTTTGTAAGGTACGTTATGTTTTTAGATGTGCTTTTTTACACGAGATAGGTATGCTGTAGGTTCGATGAATTGCTAGTACCTTACCTATATAATACTTTAAAATCTTGACTACTAAAATTCACATTAAGGCGAAATACGTTTACACATTAAAATTAACGTGGTAGTAAACTGTTTTTAATACTCTGTATTTATGCGTAGCAAGATACCTCGTCAAAATGTTTAATTACTTGTCAGTGTGTCGATAAATGTTTTCTATGGTACATGTAATAGTAACACTAGAGTAATCTTATATAGTCATCGTTAAATTTACTGCCTATTGAATAGTTCTCTCTAGTATAATTTTTCAATAACCACCCCTCAAATAAAGCTATCGCACCGTAAACTGTACGCGTATGCTTCTTACTGCTTACAGTATTGTATCTCTTTATTATTCAATCGTTTACTATCAGATTATACTATCACAACAAGCTAATCCAATCTCAAATCAATACTGTAATAACCTCGATTTTATTTACGATCATTTTCTACAAAAGAATTATTTCAAGACGGGGTTATAAATCAATAGTTATTCAATAATTAAATCTACTTTATTTAGAGATTAAAGAATATCCAAAAAGTTTAGTACTAAATGGGCTCTTGAGTACTGTACTCTAAATAACATAATGCCGTAAGATGGCATTCTATTTAAGATTTGTGCTCTTCTGCGTACTTCTTGATATTGGGGAGATTTGCAACACGATCATACAATGCAGCTAATTTCGGGAATTGCGTTGCCATTTCTTCTCCATTAAGGATATTTTCCGTAAACTTAACAAATCGGTAAAAGCCAATGTCGGCATATGTCAACTATTGCAAGAATGAAAATTTGGAACAGTATTAGATTTTAATTGGTACATAGGCAAATTAATTAAACAATATATTAAAGTTTCCATCAAGGTAATTCCTTTTACTTGACTATCATTTACGATATACTCACACTGCCAGTAAAGTATTCACCACCGGCCTGTTCTAGACGTTTTTCCAAAAATCCTAAACCTTTTGGAGCTTCTTCTTCAACAAATTTCTTTTTCAGTTCTGCTTTTTTATCTTCATCTTTCTCAACGAAAAGGAACTTGATCATCTTTTCCTGAAGATCAGCTTGCAAAAAATCAACGATTTCATCTGCTAAAGCTTGTTCGAGGCTAGTTTTTCCGGCCAAGCCTGCAATTTTAATTACAGGTTTATTTTACGCTGATTCTCAATGCACCTAATGGGCTACAATGCCTACTTCATTACCATATGAAATTACTTTAAGTCTAAACGATAATGCACTTGTATCTTTAGTAACTAATCATCTTGTATGAATGAAAATAGACTTTAAATATTATTACTCTAGGCTACGTCATATTCGCTAGGATATAATCGATGTATGAACAAAGAAATATTAACTAAAATTTACCAGAAAAGCGCGCAGCAGCACGAGCAATAGCTGTACTTTGAACATAGACGTGGCCATCAACCTCTAAGATTGGTATTTGTTGGAAGGGAAACCTACCAGCTATAGTAAAAGAAGAAATTAATACAAATTTGTTAAAATTATTTTAATAGAAACTGTAAATTATGTCATTTTGTTTCTTTGCCGTACTCATGTTACTATACGTATATCGAAGGCAAGAAGGATGATCAGGCTTGACTGGTAGGAAATAATATGGGAGACGCTATGAACGATTCTCATTCTATAAATTGGTAAACTATCTTGTATGCTGAGTGCAAGAAAAATAACAGGTATACACTCGCATACTGTATAGAATTTCACATGGTTCTGTACCTCTTAATAATATCATTGGGATTACTCAAAGTGATAAAGAATAGTTTATCACTGATAAGGATGTAAACGAAATTACTAAGCTTACAATCTGGAAACAAAATTAGAATGAATAGTATTGCTATTACTAGTCACCAGCTTCACGAATAAGCATCGATATAACATTAATAGTGATTAATGAACTTTATAAGCGTTCATCATTTACGTCGTATCATTTATCTGACTACAAATATCGCATGAAAGTATTTCCACCGCACACTAATACTGATCCTTACTAAATAGACATGAGCTTATCGATAGGAATTCCACATACTCCCTACAGTTAAATCTATCTAATCCCATGCACAAAAAATTAATTTATTTAATTACTCTACTTTTCTGATCATAACTCGTTGCTTAGTAACGTTGAATGAAAAATCATCCAAACGTTACGTTTTACACCGTAATACGGTACAGTACTTTTTAAAGTTAAAGGGACTGTAGCCTTATGGACTGGTATAAGGTGTTGTACTGTATGATACCCTCTATAGCAATAATATTAAAGTTTGTATACCACACCAGGGCGCATTCCCTGACATAATTCTAGATAGTTAATGAGAACATCTACGGACAGATGCAAGTAGAATTTATTTGATATATTGCCATGATAGATGGAGTTAAAATTTTTTTTGCATGTACCGGATAATACTGTTATTCGATGTCTCTGTCCTTTATTAACTTGGCTTTCATCATACAGTATATTAAAGCCCCATCTAGTAGATATTTTTTACTGCGTTACATCTCATTCTCGACTAAAAATTTTGCATTTAAGAGGAATGTATCCGCTGAAGATCGTAATGAGAGAGTTAGCAACTATCTAAAGCTAAACTTGTTTAACTAAATAATTGTTATCTAAATTACAGGATTAAACTAAATTTTATTCGATCTGCTACCTCTGCTCTGTTCTAGACTGATTATATAAACGTCAATTAAACGAACATAGATAACATTGCTGAATTCTGAAAAGCATTCTAGACAGTCACAGTACGTACTTTGCAAAATCACGAATAAATAAGGTGTATTGCAATGTCACTGCTTTTCTAAATTTAGTTATCTAATGCAAAATAAGATAATTACTTTTACACAGACACTCAGTTGGTAAATGTAAGCAAAATTGGTGTGAAAAATATTAATTTGCAACTATCAAAAGGTTATTGAAACAAATTGGGCGATAAGATGGAGTAATTAGATGAAAACTTACATGATTTAAGTTCTGGCCAGTCTTTTCCTTCAATTCTTTCATCCGTAAAATCTACGCCACCTTGTGCAAAGATAAGACGGATAAGTTCAGCTCTGCCGGGGCCGTTGAAGTAGGTAAGTTTAATGGAAGGCATATTTGGTGTGAGTTACAAGTACAATCTGCTGCAATAAAAATAAAACAAGAGCAATCAAAGTAACACCGTCGAGAAAGAAGGCGTGTGGGCCAGATCAAATTTAATGCAGCGTCTTTATATTGTAGGTTGGCATTGTTCTATCTTGCTGCGTAATGATGTTTGGTTGTCATTGTTCACACTCCATCCACCTTTTATTCCACTCATTTCATCATTTGTTTTCTACAGTGTCATATGACATCAGCAATTTTCAACCAATCGATTTCTTCCTCATTTAATGATATGTAAAGTCTGCAAAGTTAATAAATTATACATTCATATGAATATTGAGCTTTTATGATCAGTCATATTATTATACTTAAGTAGTATTATAGATCCAGTTAGAAATATTTAGCGATGTTGAAATCATAGCATGTATACGAGAATGCAATTTTGAGTAAAAGTTGAGATCAATCTTTCTGATGATGTTTAATAAATTGTAATGGAGACATACTGCCACATAGCGATGCCGATGATTTGAATATATAAAATAAGCCAATGCTGTAGCAAGATATAAGCTTGTGAATAATAGAGCTGAGCTATTTTTTGATACTGCATAACTTAAAATGTTTAGGATGCTTTATTTACAAATCCATGACAGGATTCAGGTTGTCAGCAAATCAATATTATAAATAGTTGTACTGCATTGACATCGCTACAGCTGAGTATGGCCACAGTACAATATATGATATAAAAAAAATCCTGTACGATATTAAGATATCAGACGTAAGAAGCTGAAGTGATTTAATTTTCTTTGCTGTTAATATTGTCATAAGTGATTTGCTCACACAAATACCATAGAAGTAATGAGGTAGTTGTACGTGTATAGTATTACGATATTGCTGCTGAATATTAGTATTATTATAGAACAGGCATATGATACTATGGTTCAGGTAGTAATTACGTAGTAGTATCCAGATAGAAGCTAAAATACTTTCTGTAAGCGTTACATGAAATACTCACTAATCTGCAATATCTTTTACATAAACAGTACTGTAATTACTAAAGATCAGTAGGTAAAGATTGCAAAAGATTAATCGTAAAAATAAAATGGACTGTGCTATAATACAATACAATGTAAATGTAATAATAGTATTTTTGATGATGGTCTTATGATTTATTTCTATAATATTATGCCGAATGAAAGACTTGATAAACAAATGCTTTAATTTCAATTTAATAATATTGTAGAATAAATTAGTCTCAGAAAATAATTCAGGATGCACATCTTTAAGATATATTATCTACTAATCAAGCGATATCAGTCGGCTAGCATTTGAATATAGTAAAATAAAAACCTTTAAGCGATAAGTAGCTCAACTGAACGGTGCTTTACTCTTCTAGTAATTATTAGTAACCTATAAATAATCTCGTTCTAATCCTATCAAGACAAAACCTTTGCAGTAACTGTTAACTAAATACAGATTGAAGCTACCTGATTAGCTGTACTTTAAGTAAGTAACTGAATTTATTTTAACTACGTTACGTTCAATATGTGGAGAAATACAAAGTAATTCTTAATGTAACTGTATTTTACGTTGTTTATCTGCGTTAAGTTGGCTCAATGTATGTATCATTTTAAGTCTATTTTCGATTTTGCAATAATGGCCAATGGCTTCTTCTGTGCATTACAGGAAAGATATGCTAATACTGAGAAACGTAGATTTGACCTACTAAGAATGAGAATCAAGTAGCCGCTTGATTTATATTATGTCATTAATATGCACGTAGACCCTAAAAGAAAGTAATTACAGAGCCGTGATCATCATTATGGTCACAGAGCTGTACATTATTGGTTTTCAATATCCATTAATATTTTACGTGACAAGTTGCAAAGGTGGAATGCAGAATAAAATCTAGGTATTATAATTGATCTCATCATTTTTTAATTAGTTAATAAGCTATTGCCTTATATCGAAGCAGTAATTTATTGGAATATTTTTAATTTAATTTAACTCCTTGTAATACACGTAAATTCTAAGACCGTCTTTTTACGCAAAAATCTGAACGTATAGTGGCGGTAAAATGTAAGCGAAACATAATCTATAGCTGTAGCTGTAACTGCCTGCAAGATTTTTATGCATGAGGGACTGTGCGATCAGTAGGTATGTGACAAAACTTATAAGCTTTTACTTGTTCCTAACCTTTCCCATCAATTCTTTCATCAACGTATTCCACCCCATCTTGAGCAAAGATGGAACGGATAATTTCAGCTCTACCGGTGGCATTGAAGTAGTTGAGTTTAATGAAAGGCATATTCGATATAAATTAAATGTAATAAAAATATAAGTAGAAGTAAAGTAATGCGATGAAATAATACCTTTATAGCGCATACGTAAGAGCTAGATTACGGGTAAGCTAGAATTTTTATACAAGATGTGATATCTTGTTGGGTGGTAATATTTGGCTATCATTGTGCCCTCTCATTCTGCCTTTTTTGTTCTGTTCATTTTATTGGTTGTTACCTATAGATATAGTATACGACATCAGCAATTCGATCAGGGAATTTGCCTCTTATTTTATTTCAATAAGGCTTAGGTTGCTGCCTTTACGCGGTGAACTGATAACAATTTGGTAATCGATTTTATTTAGTGCATGTATGGACATAGAGAATTAATAAAACTGATGCAATGATGTTGTATTGTACAGTCACGAATATCCTATTTAAATGCAGAATAACGATTAATTGATATTGAGATCATGCATCAGTTAAACAGTTAAAATACCGGATACAATTATGCAGGTAACCCAGCAAATTAAAGTAAAGAGAGCAGTTATCATACTTTATAGTATGCTGTATATGTAATTGCTCCATATATAACAGTAGTGACTAATCCAATTCAAGTTTAATTATTAAAATAATATTGAAGTACCTTACTGCTAGTGCATTCTAAATCGTTCGTTACGAAGTTTAATAGCATCGATGTAGGCTATTCTAGTGAATCTAAGACATTCTGGACTATTATCGCAGAGTATTATGGTGCAGTAAGGATAGTATACAACAAAAAATGCGATTACGGCTGTACAATATACGTATATGCTAGTTAATTAACTAGCTTACCCTCTCTACTCTATATGCCGTCAAAAATACTGTATATTAACAGATATTATAGACTGGCGATGTACAGGCTGTCAGATAAAATAAAAGGAGTGTATGATAATGCTTTGGGAGGATCTTCGCGATAAAAGGCAGTACTACGCCATTAGTCTAGAACATTATAGTAGTATATATAAATGTCATATACGAGTACAATAGATAGTAAAAGAAGACAGTGAGTCAGCAGAAATGTACAATAAACATAAAGTACTGTATACTGTAGGGTGTGTTTATTTTATTTTCAGATTACCAAAATCCTTCTCGAGGTGCTTTAAATAATGTAAAAGACCTCTAAATTTCATACCAGTGTGTAAACCATTACCTACGGGTACATACAATATTTAATATGACTATTACTTAATATAGTCTGTTTAATTTATGAACAAGATTGTGAAAATAAAATAAACACACTGAGTATGTGTATATACAGTATATACATCTAGTACTACATACTGTACACAGTGTACATCTAAGGGTCTCTAGTGTACAGTATACAACGTAGAGCAAACAAAACGCCATATTATTCCTAGTTAATAGTGATAGCTATCCACATACAGTACAGATATTGTACTAAATATACGTATAGCGACAAAAATGTTATTAACTGTCAAAGCTATTCTTATAAAGTTCAGTATGCTGTAATTCTATAAATCGGGAATGATAGATGTTATTATGGCGCAATGCGATGTTTGAGTACTACTATTATATTTTACTCGAGATGTCACGCCCTTGGTTTGAACAGTATTCCTTCCTCAAGCTTTATATTAAAAATGTAAAATTTTATCATAGCATTCGAATTCAAATCTGATACTACGTATGATATCATCGAAGTTAGCCTACAATATAGTAAAAAATTTTGAAATGCCGAATTTTGCAAATCATCCAGATAATGTATACTGTACCTGCACTTTACTGTATGCCGTATTACTCGTATACTGCATAGAACGTTAATTATACAAAAATTCCACGCTATTCGCAATTGAAAAATTTGAAGGAATTCACTGCTATGCAGCACTGATTGTATCATAAATCATATAGTAGGCATATGTTGGCGGATGTTGTGAAATTCGAACAATTGCAAAGGTCCTATGGTCCGAATTTCGCGAGCGTCGGCTAACATTTATTGTGTATGTACATTGTACGGTAATAATTGTCTACATAAATATGATAATAATCGTATTAATTGAGCGTAATATATGTATCGTGGAAGTTCTATTTTATTTATCAATCATATAATTTCTTCATTGCAATGAAAAGTAATATCTATCATAAGATCACTCAATTAGCACAATATTACCTTGTATGAATAATTCTATAGTATTATAACATAATTATAATGTTCGTTATTACTTTTATATTAACTAATAAAACCTAATGATCTTCATGGCTGCATTTCATCTTAACTTCACTTTTTTAATTACAGTTTCTGATTGTTAAAGAATCGCAATCGTCGTCTACTATTTGTCTACACATGTATACAGCATTAGATGATAATCCAATCCTGTTCTCATCGGTAATTTTATTAATACCGCTTGTAATATACTAAAGTTAGAATTATAGTCGGCGTTAAGTAGAAATTTTAGCGCTTTTCATTTGTAACGTGATAGTTTTCAAGTTATAACTTGCTCTTTCGTGAGTACAATATCTTTATGCCTCAAACTTACTGAAGGAAAAGGTTGCACTCGATCAGCATTATCGACTTTTGGCTATGTACGTATATTGGGTAGTACTATAATATCCTTCAAGCCCATTACTAAGGAGATACATTTAGATATTTTTATAATAATACAACATGAACCTTTATCAATCTCAAATATTCAACTAACGTTTTCTTCTACTTGCGTTATAATTTGTTATAATTTACTGTTTACAGATACACGTACAATCGTACGATAGCTACATGAAGCTTACTCCTGAGTAGCCTGACTTTCTACATTGAACATATTTATATGGATATATTATATATATATATTTATACATGTTGGGTAGTTAAATAATACACCACAATAAAGTGACTATCACCCAAAAAATTTTAAATATAAGTTGATTCCAATACCAAATGATTTGAATGATCTAAAAAGGTACATGATTTTTCGGTTTACTTTCTTCCCACTTCCTTATATTTGGAAGGTTGGCAATTCTTTGGTACAAAGCAGTTAATTTGGGGAATTTCTTAGCTGCCTCTTCGAAGTTAAAAAAGTCTTTGACAACATTAGCGAATCGATAGAAGGCTATATCGGCATAGGTTAACTGTTGATATAAAATGAAATAGAATTAGCTGCCGACTGATGATCATATTTTGCCCATAAAGAATTCCTAGTTGTTTCGTTAGGTTATAATGGCCTACTGTATTCATATTTAACCTGCTACCACATGATACCATTTATCCAGCTCACTTACTTTACCCGTAAAATATTCTCCTCCGTTTTCAATTAACATATTTTCAAACTTTTCCAAATGGAATGGAATAGCTTCTTCAAAGCACTCATGCCATTTCTCTGCTTTTTTTAATTCTTCATCTTCCAGCATATACTGAATATACTGATTAAGAAGATCACTTAACAAATATTCTGCAATTTGATCAGCTTTTGCTTGTTCCAAACTAGTTTTTCCCGCTAGTCCTATATGAAGGAAATTGCATGCAAAAGTATTAATTGCTAACTAGAAGAATGACATTATAGAGTGTAAAAGGTCATTATGAATTATGTTGAATTCAAGAATGAGTATACAGTATAAGTATAAGCTGTACTTGTAAATTAATGAATGACAATTACAATACACTGATGATAGTATGCATTTGATATAACTTACCTCCCATACGAGCAATGTATCGAGCTATAGTTGCACTTTGACATATTGTATGGCCATCTACTTCTAACACCGGCAAAACTTCAAATGGAATTTTTCCGCCTGCATGATAACACGGAAAATTATTCATGCTAGATGACCACACCGGTAATACACTTACGGTTTTAATTTATAGCTAAACATATCACTTCCTCTTTTAAGGAGATAAATGTAGCAAGTAAGCTATCTACTCCATTTCTATCGAGTTTTTTTTGTTAGAAATCAATAACAAAAATTTTACTTAAAGATTTTATTGGTATAGGCTGCCGATAAATAAAAGTAATCAATAAACTAAATGCAAATACGTAAATGTAAAAGAATTGGCTTAAATGCCGAATGTTAAATTTTTGACTGGATTATAATGACTTGAAATTCTTTGATTCGTTATGTAATCTATAGGCTAAAGAGATTTTCTAGTTTATTTATGAATCTTTAAAAATTTCTATGATTCATGAAGCTAACCTTCCACTGGGAATGATAATTGCCCTTAAGGCATAACAGTTCAAAGCTATAACCGTCGATCTTAATTGCATAGCATCAAATTACGACTATCAGAAGTATTTTCACTAGCGTATGCTATTACTTAACCCTTATAGTTTAAGAAATGTGAATCGGTAGTCTTTTAAACTATGTATTATTCAGAAATTGAAAGTGGTAGCGTAGTATCTGATAAGAGTGTTGAAATCTATTCTTAACTCCATTCTTTTAACGAAACATTTAACTTAATCGATACGAAAAATTAACTGGCAACTTGAAAATGATTCAGTTCAATCTTTACCATTAAGCACGTATAAAATTTCATTCGATCGCATCATTTCATTTAAAATATTACCGTACTAATATCAGCGAGACTTTATCTTAATCGGGTTAAGTCTTCTAAGGTCAACCATCACAAAAACTGCAGTGATGCTTTATCTTTACAAGTCGCAATGAATAAACTTACTTTTTCTCAGTGTGGGCCAATCTTCTACTTGAATTCTTTCGTCTTTGTATTTAATATCACTCTCTGCAAGGATTAATCTTATAACTTCTGCTCTTCCTTCGCCGTCAAAATAATATAATTTTATATTTGGCATTATGAGCAATTACTAAAATATATGTTTTCGATAAATTTCATCGAATTAGGGATCGAGAAATATTACAATATACTACACGGACTAGCGTTATATCTACCAGACAGCAAAAGGGAAGATTAAAAAAATACCAATACAATCTATGATTTATCGATAGTAGATATTAATACAGGCGTAACAAGCCGAAAAATTATTGGATAGTCTTTCATTAGACTCGATGAGTATTTGATGAAGATACAATACCAAATTATTACTGTAAATTCATCAAATCTTTTAGACTTTTGTACTTCTTTATAATTCTAGGTTAGTTACTATAGTAACCGACATTTTTCGATAGTGATAATCAATAGAGTAGAGCACATAAGAGATACCCAGCTAACACAACAATAGAAAGTACCCATTTGATAACAAAAAATGATATATAACATTTACTATGAACTTTATGGCTCTTTTTTATTAATAATTATGGGCTCTTGAGAAAAGATGTATAATTATAAATCTATTAAAATATTTAAAAGATAACTGATTGCAAGGTATACTGTAAGAAGCAAATATTTAAGATATACTAGTACATTTGGTTATTGTAGTACCTAAATATAAACTTTAGGCATTGAATATCTCTGAAATATCGTGTCTTGCATCTGAATATGTACCTCGTAAACATATGCTGAGTTATAAACATGATCATAGTATAATAAGGTACTGCAGTAATCGTAATACCGGTATATTGTAACATCTTGATTTATCGTCGAATATTGAATCCTATAAAGGTGATCTCGACGGTTGTCAAGATTGTCAAATTATTGTAGTCGATATGCAAATAGCCTCAGTATAAGTACTGTTATTAATTCTCTTAACTCAAGCTATCATTATAGTGCATTATGAGAGATTCCATACTGAACGAGTCACATGGTTATCATAGGTAGTAAACTGATGAATGAGCAAATACGCGAATTAAAATACTTGCTAGTAAAACTGTACTAATGTTGTTATAAATCTAATACTATCTATCTCTTTAACAGGGTAGAATATAAATGTCTTTAAAATAAAATGCTGCATGAATTGCGCCAGCACTATAATACATATGTGTTTCAGTTTGTAGTTAAATAAATACTTATGCCGCGAAGGGCATTAGTTGATGATAATTCTATGATATCAGGTATAGCATTTTCCTGATTTGCGTATACATAAATTTATTTAATTCATCATTCAGTGATATTTCGTGCTATGCAAAATTCCAATTATTAGTTGACGATACACGGTCTATTACGATAATACCCACATAAAAATAAATTAAACTCGCACATTATCACAGTTTATTGATATTTGGTATCACTTTGCCATTAATCTAATGTTTATAAATAACATACAGTAGTTACGAAGCTAGGCAAAACTATTTATTACTGTTGTAAGGATTGATAGGGATCTACCCGCATATTGAAGTGATCATATTACCAGTATAGATTAAAGTTTGGTGGTTTCTCTTATTTGAATGTTAGCATTCAGTAATCTTGTCAGTCAATTGCTGGTGTCGCACTGATGTGTGCTATCTAAGCGAATATTATCATATCATCAGAAAAGCTCTCGTGCATCTTGTAATTAATGGAAATATTCTTGATAATGTTTTAATGTCAGTGTTTAATTCAACACATTTCAGCTCCATTGCCTATCATATACTGTATATTCCGACAATTAAAATACATGTTTGCCGGATGCAAACTGGGCTAAATGATACTGTACACCGTACAGTATTGCACTCATCATTATTTTTAACTTAAAGGGTAAAGCAGTAAATAGCTGAACTAAGAAAATTAAATCCACAGAGTACGGCACTAAGAAAGGCAACTTAGCCTCTCTAAAGATTTCCTACCAGTTTGATTTCATAGCTAAATACTTGTTTTAATGTTCTTTTTTTATTATTAAGATCAAATCTGCTACGAATATAGCAATTTCTAAAATATTTCTTATACAACATAATTTAGTTAGTAGGATTTTATCAGTTTTTTCCGTTTTAGTTTCTGAGATACTACTAATCTACGATATTATAATATCAAGATCTTAAGTAAAAAAGTTACCGGTATACTTTAAAAATGTACCTAATTACGATATTCTTTGTTTACGATTAGTGCTATAGAAGAATGATTGTAATAGTAAAATTAATCAAGTAAATTCTACAAATTACGATCATCTTTAATTTCGTAAAACAAATAATTGAATTGATAACATGCACTGTTGCAATACTTTGCCAGAGCTATGCACGAGATACTATTATTTAACTAAAAAGGAGTATTTGGCTTTCTGCTTTCCCAGTCTTTAATACCTGGTATCTCTTTAACTCGAGAGTATAGTCCTGTCAAAAGGGGATACTTTTCTGGCTGTGGCTTTAGGTCGAGTGATGATATACCAACACTGATAAAGCGATAGAATGCTATATCGGCATAAGTAAGCTAAGAATGAAAACGAAAATTTTATTATTAAGATGATAAATGGGCCTAAGAATTTTAAAATTTTGCCTCCAAAACAGTCAAGGTATGAACTATTTAAGAGCTTACAGAGCCAGCGAAATATTGTCCGCCATTTTCTTGCAGGATTTTCTCTAATTTGCCAAGGTAAAAGGGAATAATTTCAGTTGTATATGTAGTTTTTATTTGTTCTTTTTTAGTTTCATCTTTTTCGAATGTGAATGCAATAAATTTATCCAATAAATCATGCAAGAAGCAATCGGCCACTTGATCGGCAACAGCTTGTTCTATGCTGGTTTTACCAGCTAAACCTAAATAATACCGGAATAAATTACTTTGAGCTTATGATTACCATGTAATGGGTAGATTTGATAGCTATAACAAATGGATTTCTTTAAGTACAGTAATTTATTTATTTTATTTGCTATGTTACAAAGCATTACTAGAAATAATTAGATATGTCCTACTGGAATGCATTAATTCAAGTAATATTATCGATACCTGCTAGGCGTGCGGCAAATCTGGCAATAGTAGCACTCTGACCAATAAGGCGACCATCGACTTCTAAAACCGGCAATTGATCAAATGGGAACTTGCCACCTGTAGTAAAATTTGGGAATTACCTTCCAGTTGATTAAGATATAGAAAATATTTGCAATAACACAATACTTGTACTGCTTGATAATTCTCGTTTTTACAACTATAAATTGAAAGCATTAGGATGCAAGTTCTCATTACAAAACTAGTGACAAATCTCTATTTGCAATCAGTTATTTTTTAAATTTGAGCCATAATCAAAATAATTTCTAAAGTTCTTTTAACTAGTTTAAGTAAATAGGTATGAAGATTCTGGGTATTAGTGATTCTTTAATTAATGGCGATGATTATAAATTACATGAGTTTTTTAAATAACAATAATCATAGCCTAGGATACTTTTCACATTGGCCTTATATTACGCATATTTTCATCAATATCAAGCAAGCTTCAGAAATTGCTTAGTCGATTTTAGCTATCAGTTACTACCTCATCTGGGAGAAGAGAACAAATACATATATAAATATAACTCTACCCTAGGATGAATAATGCTTTCATGCATAGGGGAGGTCTAACACAAGAGACATCTTATTAAAATTCGATATATTGCATAAGGACAATAAAACTTGAAGCTTCCATTAGGCAATTCCAGTGCAAGTATGTAAAACTGTAACTGTAGCGACTAAACCTGTATGTTGTTATGTAGTGGTCGAAACCTTTATGCAATGCTACTTAAGTTAGATGTTACTGTTACTACCTGATTTATTTATATACGTTTAGCAAATTTTCACAATTTGTTACATCAGTAAAAGGAGTGAATTGTTTCTGAAACAGTGTTAGTCTATATTCTGCCAATTTTAATTACTCTAACAGATTACTTGATTAATTATAAGATGAAATGCTATCGTCTACAAATATGGGTAAAATTACGATTTTAGAATGACTTTCAATATTAATTTTATACTGACAAATTATGTACAACTGTACACTTCATAATAATGATAAAATTAGATTATCTAAGTGTATGCTGGATATGTACTGTAGGCCTTTTTTATGATCGATACTGGTGAAAAAGAAGCAAAAGTGAATTCTTGTTCCTATTGTACAGCAAGTTATCTTATTTAGAGGATAGACTACTTTGCAGCTTGTGCAATTTGATAAAATAAGTTGTCATATTAGAATAAAGTATAGATTATGGGACTTACTGGCTTTTAACGTAGGCCAATTTTCTTGTTCATATCTCAAATCTTTATAATCAACTCCTCCAGCGGCAAAAATTAGCCTAATAGTCTCTCCTCTAGCTGCTAAATTGAAATAGTGCAATGTAATGGCAGGCATGTTTATGGTTGTTGTTCTAAAACGTCCTTGATTTTAGCTAATACCAACAAGTCAAAGAGGAAAAGTTTTGATCTTGATTCAGCTTTTATACCGTTCGAATCAGATAGATAGCATCTGTTAGAATTGACTATCTGAAGATTTATCAACCAATCAGGACTGAAATAGAATTAATTGATTGTTTTGATTATTTATTATTATTTTTCATCTAGATGCATTATTGTTTTTTCTACGCCTAGTTTATAGATTGTATCATAACATATTAATACTAATGGTGTCTAATCAACACCTAGCAACTAAAAGAGTCAGTAATTACAATTCTCATCCCATATCCGATCATTGAATAAAGTTACAGCGTCATGGTTTACCTTATGACATGATATTTTGCTGATTGAGAGACAATAATCATCAACATAACCTCAATCGTCATTACTGTAAGGTCATATCTAGTATTTATGTCATATGGAATAATATTAGGGAAAGAAAAGTAGTTCTATATGCTTACTCAGCAAATTATGCTGCAAGTTCTTCTACTACTTTATTTCGCAAAAAAGAAGTTTTAGCCATAGGCTTCGGGGTAGAAATAATGAATGAAAGAAATTTTAAATACAAGACCAGCCGTTAATACTAATAGTATTGGACGTTATTCAACACATTAGATCACGTATGTGATAAAATTCATTCAATTTTTACATTTGCAAACATGTAAGTATTTATCCTTATAAGTCTTTGTCTTCAAATCATTTATTATTAGGTTGGCATATAGTGATGACGTGAACAGTATATGTATTGATGATCAACTGGTTTCAGTCTTGTAATAATAAAAGGTCAAGTTATTGACAGTGAATAATTAGAAAAAATGCATTATCATCCATTATATTATGCATAATAACTGATGGACTTAGGTAGCTAGTGAAACAAGCTATCATTAATTTTGAATACAATTACTGTAGTTTACTTAAATGAATACGAGTATATGTGTTCCTATACGCGTATATATAATATTGTATATATTATACTCTTATACTAGGATATGGATCCATATACAATACTGCTTAGTCATGCTTCCACAGTTGCAACACGTCATTTCGAAGAAGGATGTATTTATCAATTTGATCGATATCCATAGTAAAAGCTCTAACGATAAAGCCTGTAAGAATTTCTGGTCATAGTCCCAAACTGAAATGAATGAATGTAGTATTTTTGTCTATTTTGAGGGAACAAAAAAAGGAAAGCTACCACTTGCAAATAATACATGCGGTGAAAAATACTCGTAAGTCTACAGTATGACATTAGTTCCGTCAACCAGTACTGTACAACGTACAGTATACAGGGTAAATGATGTATAAATCAAGGAAACACCATCAATTTTTCGTAAAGATAAGTGATGACTATTCACAAAACTAGAATATACATACATTGCTGCTTGCGACTCTGCACTTAAAGTAATCGCCTCTAATTGCCTCTATGGCAAGGGTAGGAGTAAAAATTGAATAAGGTTGATCATCTGCATCAGCTGAGGCATGCAGCTCATTATCACATGCAGCAGCATGTACGGCACATTGTACAGCATACAGTATACAGTATTATAATTATACTTCTTATTAGTGTCGTCGAAATTGAAAGAAAAATGGTGGAGGGATAACTTTAATATTGAAGATAAAAAAATTCTCTGAAAAGTTGAAGGACAGTTTGATTGGAAGAGAGTGGTCTTGAACATTTATTCGATAAAAATCGCTCGATAGTAAAACAATTGGGCTCAGGCGGGAATCGAACCCGCGGCCTCTCGCACCCGAAGCGAGAATCATACCACTAGACCACTGAGCCGTTGGTCATCGTCGGAACTGAAACTTTGCTAGTTAAGAATGTGGAATCAAATAAAAAATTTGCGCAGGCGTAGGTATACGTTACATAATATGCTGTGATGCAATGTAAAATGCGTCGAGTTGCAGTGAGCGTTATTAGAAGTGTCGATCTGTTCGATACTTACTACTACTTTAATACTTCAAAGTGCAGTGAGTGTTGCGCAGTACAGTACTGTACTGTTTACAGTGAGAAGTAGTGTACCGTACCGTACTGTACTGTACAGTATGAGAAAACCTACGTACTGTACAGTACTGTACGACTAAAGTGTGTACTGTACTGTACAGGAAAGTAATGGCCACTGAAAGTGCAATAAAGAAAATTTGAACATCCAAAATCCTAGTCTAAAAGCTGTTAAAACCTAAAAATAGAGCACTTTTTATTTCGTTTCCATAGAAAGAAGTGGCAAATTTATAAGCTTTATTATCCTGTTTATATAATATATGAAGATATTTAGCAGGCTACGGAGAGGGTCATTTAGCTATTACAAGTTTTTCAATTAGTAACAGCACGCTCTTAAGTCGACTAATGAATTTTTTTTCGACGTACAGCACGCAATTTTTTCGGTCTAATCCTTATGCTCACTTGAATGTTGTATTTTTAAAATTTTCATTTACGGTTGTTAAAGCTCGATTAGAAATGAAGTGTTTTAATATAGAAAATTTTTAGATTTTTCTCTATTTTTTTTATGTATTTTAAAGAATTTTTAATTTTTAACGCTGCTGAAGCAACTAAAATTAAATTCGACATATTCAAAAATTAAGTTGATTTGACCGCAAATGGCCGTCAAAAAGCCTTGATTGTACTATACTTTTATGAGCCATTAGTGTACCGTGCGGCATGGAGCACCTGTAGTACAGTACAGTACCGTACTATCACTTAGAGGTTTATTCACTTCAAGGTCTGTATCCTCATTATTGGCAGCCAAGTCGACGTTTCCTATACTGTACGACTTTGAAACGTTGGCGTACAGTACACCAGTGTGGAGTTAGCGTACTTTCACTCAAGTGTCTAGTACTGTACACTGTACATCTGCCCATCGATTTACTCCATCGGGACTGGTTATCGTCATGACGGTAACATAGGATCTCTATTATAACTTGACTCAGTTTAAGCACAGCCATAGGCATACCGTCAACACCGATGCACCTCACAAATTCGACGTCGTGCGACTGTTATTGAAACGTTTCTCCATCGTCTCGCAAACGTTCAATAGCATGGGACGCGACAGTGAAAGGTTGGATTGAAAGTGAAATTCTTTGAATCATTTTTTCATTTTCTTCTTATTGCCGCATAGAAGTGTTGAATGATATTCTATTAATGTGGACTGTAATAGATTGATATACGAGTAGAGTGATAGCATTAATTACAGCTAAGATCTATACATTTGCGTATGTTCGTATATATCCAGTAAGATATCCATGGTGATCGTCATCGACGATGCTGGATTTGATGCTGAATTTGTTACTCTTTCAAACTAGCAGGAAGCGACATCGATCTCGGTCGCGTAGTAAAGAGCGTAAGAGACGTTCAAGAAGTAGAGAGAGAAAGAGTAGACGTAGTCGTAGTAGAAGTCATGAACGCAAACGCCATCATCGACATAAACATCGCGAGAAAGACAAGAAAAGAAGATCAAAAAGTCGTGAGAGGAAAACTCGAAAGCGAAGTAGAAGTAGCAGCTCTAGCAGTGGTAGTAGTAGTCACGAATATACATCGAAAAGTAAGGAAAAGAAAAATGTAAACAACACTTCGAAGGAAACTGAAAAAGCAAATAACCAACTGAAAGAGCCAATGTATGTTGAATTGAATTGCATTTCTTTCATTGATACTACATATAGAACAGGTGCACACTCGAATGTATTGACAACAGGCTTTTTAGCGTGTTTTCTAATGGAATCATACTGTTATCTTAATGCTATCAAATACAAGAGATCGAATCTAAGTGAATTTAGCGAATGTCTATTGAAAACACCATTTATGTAATAGAACAGTGACGGTATCGTTGTCCTTCAGCTTGCTGCACGTTCGAATATTGCAAATGTTCTAGCTAAGGGTCATTTATACAGTCACAGTCATTTTTCTACCTGCAGAAAATGAACATATCGTTTTTATTGTGAAACATTAAAATTGGGAGATACTATACAAGTATATATATATATACTGTAAGTAATAATGGGTAGTTTTAGCCATTTCGAAACTCAGAATAGGATGGCACTATCATTATCCTGCACATACACTGTACATCACATACTCGTGTACTAGTGTAAGAAACACTACCTGTATCAGTAAATAGCAACATTTAGGATGTAGCTACATGTTGCGCTAGATTCGAACTTAGTACAATCAATACATAATTGCACACTTTTAAATCTTGTAATTTCTTTTATTGTGTAAATTAACAATACAGTATAAAGTGGCATAAACTAGACGATCACTCTGTACTTATTTCATTTTCTTGACTAATTAGTTCACTCACGCTTACTAATTGTATTATATTATCATTACATGGAATTCGATCGTTACTAAATATTCATATTATGTACCTTATAATCAATAGAGTATAGATTTTAGTCTATTCTAGCAATCATAAACAATGATTAAGCAAGCAATATAAATTTGAATTAATCGTTTCGTTATATTTATGCATACTAACGCAATTAAAAGAATGTATCGCCCTTAGTAATACGTAATATTTTATGCAGCTTTAGTCTGGTGTAGATAAGGTAGCTTAAATCTGTAACAACAAATTAATCTATCTTTCCTTTTTAAAACTAACCTTGGCTATTTATTTTATATTAGTAAAGATACCAAAGAAGAGACGTCAGAAAATGCAAATGATTTGGTATGCTTACCATGCATAATTTTGATAATGTTTGGATATTAGATATACGAGAATCGATAAACTAATTTTCTACACTTATTATCTTTCTTCTATGCGGCCAATAGACCTTAGAACAAGATGCTCTTGAAGAAGAAATGAGAAAACGACGTGAAAGGTATAAAATTTAGTCGTCATTACAACGTATTTCCTAATATACGATATTATGTATGTACGCGTATTACTAGCAAATATGATATCATTTTAGTACTCATCGACATTAATTAAGTATGGCTATCGTCTATATGTCATTTCCACATTGTACAGGGTAGAAGCTTGGCAACGAATACGCAAAGTTCAACTGGATGAACAAAAGAAAGTTACAACAGAAGATGATGAAGAGCAAAAAGGAAAAAAATGGACATTAGAAGATGATGACGATGATGATGAGGCTTATCACGATTCAGAAAATGAAGACGATATAAAAGAAGAGGTTAAATTTGCTTATAAAAATAGCAATCATGCCAATATTAACTGCAATTACCTAATTACAAATTGATGTAATTGTTATAACTCGATATAAATCCTTCTAAACTTATTACGTTTTCAATCGCCTTAATTACAGGAATTAAAAGATCCGCAAATGGAAATAGATAAGGACACAAAAGATGCTGAAATCAATGATGAAGGTAATTTACCCATTCGTTAATATTGATAACTGCTACATTGGAATTTACTTGGCTTGGAATAATTTTGCCTCAATATCAATATTAGTGATTGAATGCACATTTTTCTTTTTTGTTCACGTAGCGAAAGATGATCAAGCGTTAAATTCAAAGGTGACTTTTATAATACTGTATATCATACTAATGGATTACTGTAACAGTGCTGGATTGACACTTTGAAAGTGTGTAACATAGAATAGTTTATATTGACATAATATATATTGTATTTTAAGGATGATGAAGATGATATCGATCCATTGGATGCTTTCATGGAATCAATAAATTCGGAGGTTAGTGTAATAATGATTATAGATATGTTGCTGTTGGTTGTATAATGATATATCGTATTGCAATTCATTTCTTGATAATGGAAACTTGCCTATTTTAGGCTAAAAGTGTCCAAGCGAAAGACCAAGCAAGAATAGCAGACAGTGCTAGTGACAAGCGTAATCAGAAACTGAAGGTCATCTACTGTTAATTTGATTTAATTTAAGATATATTATAAGCCAAATATTTAAACGTTGATAGGATAATATCTGAATAGTATATTGTTATAATTTGTATATCTTCTTTAGGAAATTGCAAGCAGTAAACGTTTCATCACTGTAACCGGAGTTGCAAAGAAAAAAACTGCAAAAGGTGAACTCATGTCGAATGATCAAGATGCTATGGAATATTCATCTGAAGAAGACGATCAAACACTTGAAGATCTAATGGAGAAGAAAAAGAAGGTTACCACATGCCACTTCATAATACCAGTATTATCAGTGTAGTTTATTTTATATTATTAAGGTGCAAATTACAATTATTTATGATATCTTAACCAAAGTGAAATTTTTTAATTACAGGATGTTAACATTGTCGATCATAGTAAGATATATTATGCCCCTTTCAAAAGAAATTTTTATGTAGAAGTTCCAGAACTTGCTAAAATGACTTCGGAAGGTACTCAACAACGTTTGCCCCGTAATCAATTACGTGTACTATCTAATCTTCCTTTTATACAGTCTGTGTTATAATAGTTGATTTAATATCTACATCACAGAAGCCGATGATGTCCGCTTACAGCTTGAGAACATAAAGGTCAGAGGAAAAGGATGCCCTACGCCTGTAAAGAATTGGGCTCAGGTTCGTTTGTTTCATTGATCTCAAGTACACTGCTCTAAATTTTACCTCGTTACTTGTAAAGGATTAATTGTAAAAAATTTTTTCTTAATATGTAGTGCGGACTAAGTGTGAAACTCCTAGATTCACTGAAAAGGTGAATGTGACTATGAGTAATCCATTTCTGTTGTATTTATATAAAGTGAATTAATTTTTAATCGATTGACGCTGATTACGTATGTGCTAAAAACTGTGTTTGTTAGAGTCAAATATGAAAAACCGACGCCTGTCCAAGCTCAAGCTATACCTTCAATTATGTCTGGAAGAGATGTTATAGGTAATATAGAATTGGTTGTGTCTTGAAAATCAACTATTTTAGTATTTGGAAGGGTTAATGATTATTAATATAATTTTTTGGCGACGTGTAATATACTTAGGTATTGCGAAAACCGGAAGTGGAAAAACATTAGCATTTCTATTACCAATGTTTCGTCATATCTTAGATCAAAATGCATTATCTCCCGGCGATGGCCCAATCGGTATGTCTGTTCATAGCGTAGTAAAGAAGTCGTAACAAAATACTAAATTGATCATTTCCATCTTATTGGTAAAGGTCTTATTATGACACCTACTCGGGAACTTGCTATACAAATAACTCGCGAATGTCGTCGATTTACGAAAGCCATTGGCATGCATGTTGTATGTGTTTATGGCGGTACGGGAATTAGTGAACAGGTATCTATCAGCAAATTGAATGATGTACATTCATTTGTATTGTTAATGAGATAATTATCTATTATCATACTATTAGATTGCTGAGCTTAAACGTGGAGCTGAAATCGTTGTATGTACACCCGGGCGTATGATCGATATGCTACTGGCAAATAATGGTAAAGATTGTCAAAGAGTTATCTAAACAGCATTAAATTGAAAATAATAGAACTGTCTATTCTTGATTTCTCCTTTAGGACGCGTGACAAATCTTAGACGTGTCACATACCTCGTATTAGATGAAGCAGATCGCATGTTTGACATGGGTTTTGAACCACAGGTAATGAAAATTGTGGAAAGTATACGTCCTGATAGGCAGACTGTAATGTTTTCAGCAACATTTCCGAGGCAAATGGAAGCTCTTGCTCGAAAGATGCTAACGAAACCTATCGAAGTATGGATATGCTACTTGTAAAAATATTACATTATATCTCAATATACAAGCGATAAATTTCAATACATTAACTCTTTTTATATGTTATTGTAATGTTTTAGATTGAAGTTGGCGGGCGCAGTATAGTGTGTTCTGATATAGAGCAGCATGTTGTAAGTATTAATTAAATTCTTAGAATAAGACTGTCAATTGACAAGTGGTCATGTATGAATTATATGTATGCTTGTACTTTCATAGGTAATTATTAATGAAGAAGATAAATTCTTGAAACTATTAGAATTGCTAGGACTGTATCAACCTTATGGTAGGGATATTTCTAAAGCAATTTTTTGTTTAGAAAAATCTGTATTGGATACTCGTTAAATGAATAAAATAATATAATCTGACAGGTTCAGTATTAGTGTTTGTCGAAAAGCAAGAATCGTCCGATCAGCTATTGAAAGATTTAATGAAAGCATCATATCCTTGTTTATCTCTTCATGGAGGTATATCACTGAAATCGATAATGTATCGTACTTTAATTTACTATAATGCCTATTAAATGATTCTTTGCATAGGTATGGATCAAAGCGATAGAGATAGTACAATTGTTGACTACAAGAATGGTGTAATTAAACTTTTAGTAAGTATTTTAAACGATTATATGTGTTAGGCTATTAAGCATAAAGGTGCTATTACTGATCTGTTGTCAACGTCTTTACAGGTTGCTACATCAGTTGCTGCTAGAGGGTTGGATGTTAAAAATTTAATTTTAGTTGTAAATTACGATTGTCCGAATCATTATGAAGATTACGTCCACCGTGCAGGGTTAGTATTGGCGAAATTAAAAATTTTTCGTACTATTTTTAGGATAGTAATGTGGATAAACATTATCTTACTCAGGCGAACCGGAAGAGCTGGAAATAAAGGATACGCATATACACTAATCACAGAAGATCAAGGTAAATATGCAGGGGATATTATACGCGCTTTGGAGTTGTCAAAGAATTCTATTCCAGAGAGCCTAGAAAAGTTATGGAGCGACTATAAAGAAGAATTGAAAGCACAGGGAAAGCATATTGCGAAAAATCGTGGATTCTCAGGGAAAGGTGTTTTTAGATTAAAAATGACTTTAGCTTAAACTTGTACTAGGATATATGTTTTCGTATCATGTTCCTAAGAATATAAATGATTTAGTTTCGAATATTTTAATATCAGAAGCTTGTTCAAAGTGTTCATAGATTAGATATAGTAGTATACTAGTTTGATTTCATAGAGTTATTAAAACGACTGGATCTACTAATTTTTAGGATAATTATACACTAGTAGTTGTTTAGAAGATATTACGTTCCGACTAGAATGTGACACTTTCAATTAGAGTTAATTAATACTCTTATGAGGATTGATGCATGTTCTAGTGACTCAAGATACGCTAAATGAAATTTTCTAGGATTTAAATTTGATGAAGCGGAGAGGGCACAAATGAATGAATTTAAGAAGCAGCAGAAGAAACTACTTGGACTTGAAGACTCAGATGAAGAAGATGACGACGAAGTGGAGGTACTACTTAACTATTCATGCTTGTATCCTTTTTGCTGTATTGCTTTGAATTTTAAACTCTGTGAATCCGATCAAGTCATTGACTGTATGCTATACTTGTAGGTTGATCAACAAATTGACGAGATTTTTAATTCGACTGGAGGAATTAAAGAAACAGTATCTTCCGGCTTAATTTCGGCACTTTCTTCAAATTCTTCGGAAACAACTGCTTCGCAAGCATCAAAATTGGCTAAAGCTGCTGAAAGTGCTGCTCAAATATTGGCTAAAAAGAATATTGGAAAGGTTCACTATAATCAAGCAATCAAGTGTTGATCTGTTATGTATAACGAGCTATAATCATAATCTAGTTTTTATATAGCGTAAATTTAATAGCAATTGCTTTATCGTAAAAATTTATTAGAATTTGGATGCTACGCAACGAGCAGCTGCCAGGGTGCTGAAAGGTGAAGCAGTTACTGCTATTTCGGTAAGATTGATTCGCTATGGATTTAATAAGAAGTGTTTCACCTTTATTAGCTAGCTCTATCCATTTTACGTAATTACTCATAGACGATAAATGTTGTCGTGTTAAATTACAGGGATTCAGCAAAGCGAATTTGGTTGCCGAGCGTATTAACGCCCGCCTAAACTATATAGCGCCTGAAAAAGAAGAAGAGGAGTCAGCGGACACTCAAGCTACGGGAAGTAATGAAGTAACACGTTATAGCGAGGAATTACCAATCAATGACTTTCCGCAAAATGCAAGATGGAAAATCACTTCCAAGGTTGAAATCGTATTTCTAATTTATTAATTTATTCGTATTAAGTGATATGTTTCGATAAATGCAATATCTTGGTGATTTAATTCGCGATAAGCCTGTTTAGTTGTTCTGCACTGTTAATAATATCATTATAACAACTTGTAGGACACAATTTCTGATATTACAGAATTATCTGAATGTTCAATTACAGTTCGGGGAACATACTTTCCACCAGGTTTGCATTTTACTTATTTACATACGTAAAGTGATTCTTCAAGTAAAATACGCGTGGTAGTAAATAAAGCCTATTTACGACTATTAACCCATGTATGCTAAATAGTTACCTTTTTATCGATACGATCATGTGTTCATCTTTCAACGATTTTAATTATCAATGTTTATTTCATGAATGAAGGTAAAGAACCTGGTGAAGGCCAAAGGAAAATTTATTTGTATCTTGAAGGTCAGTGTTGCATCATGGATATTTATTTATGGATAAATGCTTTTCCAGTGGTTGTATCATTTGAAATTTAACCCTCTTAAATGTTTTTTCTACTACAAAGGTCCTAACGAACGTTCTGTTCAAATTGCAACAGCTGAAATTAAACGGATACTGAAAGAAGAGATTTTGAAAGCGGTAAATATTGCCGATAATCGTATTGTATTTATTTTACCTTGTATAGCCTTAATAATATCCATTTAAAGTCCATTTCATGAACACGCGGTACTGCACCATGTAGTAAATTAGTTTTCCTCTATAATTTCATACGTTTTTCACTAACAGTAATGATAATTAGGCATTTTAACCGTATACCAGCAGTGCTATTACAATTGTACTCACATGTTATTGTATTGTAATGCAGTTATACTACGCATATAACGATTTAAAATGGCATTAGTGGCATGAATGAATGGTACTATAGAGCAATTAATTTCACAACGTGCTATATACAACTTTATTTATTTTGAGAAATTAGATTGGCGTTGCTGTTATATCCTTCAATACTCTTCCTAATTACGATCTGCTAACAATATTTTTTAATCATTTATTTTATTAGAAAACAATGCAAAGCTTACGACCTGGACGTTATAAAGTATTGTAAAGGCAAATTAGTGGCTATTTGCCCTGTTATGCTATAATTATGGAAGGAAATTTTCCGATTGTATCGGATACCTACTAATCATTCCATCATATTGTTTAACATTTTGTAAAGTACTTTAGGCATTGTACACTATTTACAGATAACACTAGAATTGTTAGCAATCAATTTCCCCTATCTGTATTTATGTTATAATAGCGTCCCATTTTATGCGAAATAATCCAAGTAACGAAAGAGGTTTCACTTTTACCTATAGTAAATGCGAAAATAAAGATTGATTTTCATCTTTGATCTAATTTCTTTAGCTAATGTGTAATTGTTATGATGGTGGTATCAATCAACATTATCCTGCTGTTCCTTTAGGTTACAAATATCTACAGTAATTGCATTCAAGTTGATGTACGCGCATTTGAACATTTAACGACATTATTGTAATACTTGTACATGCCTAGGTGGGATGGAATCAAAAATTGAAGAAATAATAGTCGAAAAGTAATCATTGAATAATTTTTGGATAATTTTATTATTAATTTTGAAACGAAGTAGCAAATTAAAAATTGAATAAGTACTGTATAAGGGTTACTGTTGACATTATGTATTATCCATTAAAACTACTACAGCATACCGGTCATTTGGGACGAATTCTAAAATTAAGTGCTATAAGTAATCCAGCTGTTGCACAGTGATGAGTGTCGCAATTCATTGTTACAATGCAATTATAGGAATATGATTGAAATCATATCGTTTTTATGCTTGAAAAATACTGCCGTTATTAATTGTTCAAGAAATAACGGCCAGTAAATCTCCTTAAATTGTTTTATTTGAGAAAGTAGTATAATGTATTGTGTTCAGATTACAGCATGAGTGCAATGTACAGTACGTATAATATAGCAAAAGTCGAAAAACAAGTATGGTACAGTACTACTCCACAATATCCAACGTAATATTTAAGAATTTTACAAATTGATCATAAATACTCGTAAATTGCTTTTAACATTATAAAGGCATTGATTATTTAGTACTGTAGTTCGGTATAACATACAATCGGCAATCGCCTTACCAAAGTGTTTTTGGTACTGATTTTTAACATCGGTAATTATAGGTTATACTTTCTCATCTTATCACAGTACGACAGGGCAGCTGTTATCCTATATTGTTATACATGTATACATGCTTGTTCGTTAGATATCTCTCTATTTCTAAACAGTGAATTAAAGAATTATGCAGCAATTCATGGCATTGCGTTGTTAAGAACATCTTTTGAATAAAGTTATTTTTGATTTTTATCAATGAGAACTTGCATGGCACTGTCTGGTACTAAATCATTTTCGTTAACAAATTCATTGCAACCACCAAATGGGCAACGATTCTTTTTACCAGATTTCTGGTTAAGGTTCATTATTTCTATTATGGCTGCATGTGAATAAGTATGACCACAATGGATATTTTTAACAGGATCTACGATGTCTCGTTTGGTGATGGGGCACGTGGTACTTCTGTGAACTTGTGTAGTAACTAGATCGTCGTTCATATCGTCTTCTATAGTAAATCCAGCATCTTGATATTGTCGAATAAAGGGATGTGCTCGTAGATCGTTTTCAGTAGCTTTATTTGCACTATCCAGGCAGTCTTGAAGTATGGTTTCATGGATATCTTGATGTGGGTTGATTCGTTGTTGATCATTATCAATTCTCATCTGGTAATCGCTTAAAGTTTGACTATATCCTTCGATGACTTTCTCCCATTCTTTGAGTTGACTATCGACTTTAGCATATTCGAAGATAGTATTCTCGAATTGATTGACAAGTAGAGTATCTTCTTTATAGCTGATTGATTGTGCAACTTCAACTGCATGATCAGCAGCCTCATTGATGGTTCTAATAGCTTCAGAAATGGTCGACATGATTTCACTGGCGCCCGCCATGATTGCGTTTGTCGTTTTGCAGACTGTAGCAGCTTTCGATAGATCTGAGTCAGACGGTCTGACCGACCGACTGCTGTACAGTGTACAGTACCTTCAACATTATCGTCCGGACTGTACAGTACTATATAGTACACTATTGGAATCTACAGTACTGCGTACTGTAGTATACGATTATCATCCATTGGCTGCTAGGTTGGTTTTGTACAGTGTAGTGTACGGTTTTAGTGGTAGCGTCTAGTAGAATGACCAGAAAAATGTTTGGCGCGGCATTATTTTGCAGTGAGTGGCGACTTGTCGTCCTTCTTCTCTCTTTCTCTAGTACAAACCTACAAATAATCATGGTAGTATGTTAGGTTAAAGATGTTAATAGTCGATGATGATGCCCAATGAAAACAACTGAATGACAAGCACACTAATAATGATGTTAAGTCGCTTTTATTAGTCGTTATTAGTCATTTGTAAGACAGCGCATTTTAGGCACATGGTACCATTTGAATGTAAACTCCCTACTTAGATACTCATATCATACATAACTTGCTATACTGAGTCTACTATAGTAGCGTATCGAGCAGAAAGTCGTACCAAGTCACAAGCTGCAAATCATCAGATCCAATCAACAGCTGACCAGGTCAAGGCCAAATCGTTCATTAAATTGGCTTAAATTGGCTCGAGTAGTCACTACTGGGAAGTTTAGCGATCTTTCAAGACAACTTGGCTACTATTCCATCTTCAGTGGTAAGTTTAGAAATTGGACTAACGCTGTGCTCGGTAGTTAACGTTGATTGAAAGGGTTATGGGTGTCGATAATGGGATAGAAAAGTGGATGTTGAGCTGTTCAATGGGATGAAAGGTTCATCAGCCCAGCCCATCATCTGCCCTCTTCTTGTACATACATTACGTTAGCATCAGTATGCAAATAAGATTTCCCATTTTACATGGGAAATTTGATTTATTTTATCAGCTTGCTACAACGAAATCATCACTGTAGAATCACTGATAGTCTTCTAAATTACTACGCTACTACTATTTTGAGGAGGCTGTCTATCTTTTAGCTTAATTGACGATATCAATGAGCTAAGGATGATGTCATAAGTCTGCTGGATGATAGCTTAAAAAGTCTCTATTGACTATTCATTCACGCGATGCTTTGCAGTCGGTAAGCTCGCGTAAAATAGACCTCTGATCTATCCTCAAAACGACAGTATCTTGAGTTGACATGCAATATCTCATGGTATAGTAATGTATAAAAGCACAGGATTATTGCCGTATAGCTACTGTATATAGGTCAAGGAATCATGAATAGATGTAGTATGATCAATTAGTTATCGGCTAGATTTGCAGTAGTACAGAGACATTAATAGACATCGTTAAACGATAGGAAGGATGGCGTTTTAAGCTTTACATTAACTTTCATTCATCTCTTTCTTGTAGTTGTAGAATTGATGCTGATTTTGTCAATCGATTGAAACTACAGGTGGTTAACCAAAGAAATAGACGATATGCGTCCAAAGCATCCAAGGCAAGATGGAGACAGCTTAGCTTTCGTATACGTACTGTCTATAGGAGCGGCGACAATGTCAGAATTAGGTAACCATTACTACGGTATCAAGTGATCCCCACATAATGATTACCTCTCCTAAATTGAATGTTAGCCATCTGATTGAATCAATAGTCGTCGTACATTCTTATTCTTTCATCAGTTACTACAATTTAGGATAGTATTATTACTAGTACGACTCTCTTGTATGTTACGTGCGATATTGATGCGATGAAATCATATATATCAAATGATCTTGTTAAAGACTTTTTTACAGTTACAGTGTTTGCATAATCTTGACGTCAGCGAACCTTTTAAATTATCATACCTTATTTCACTAATAAATTGATGATCAAATAGTCCGACTCATTATTTAGATATAGAAGTAGCAATTATAATAATTGAGCACTGTATAGTTTTTCATACAATGTAATAATTCGATGATAATGCGCTTGTAGACTTGTATATTGGAAGATCAATTGACGCGTATGTAATTTCTGCTGACCTAATTCGTTAACAATGTACATAATATCCACATCGGGTAGTGGCTGCTTCCAAATTAAACGATAACAGGCTTACTTCAAAACGTAGATTAAAGCATGTATTACTAGAAACCTACTTAAAGACAGGTAGAGCTCCTAATACTAATTTAAATTTCTAGTCTTTAAATTATGGAAGCATAGATTTTATTATTATCACTTATCGATGAAAGCTAGCAGAAAAAATTAGAAACTCGTCGAATATATTCTTATAATATCAGGATGATATCGTTATCAAAATGATGAATTATTCCAAAAATTGAAACATTATTAAGCTGCCCTATGTTTGTCACTTATTTACTTGTATTATTGATAATTAATTCTCTTTAAAAGAATCGCACTTTCAGCGTAGTAGAGCTTTGCACTACTCTGCACTCTGAAAATATTTTACACCTTGTATGCTCGCTCATTTAGGAAATAATTACCACATAGCAACGGCAATACAAAGCCATAGTGAGACTTTCGTAATGGATTGCGCATCTCGAATAGTTACTGTACAGAATGAAATTAAGTGTACCAAGCAATATTATTCTAGTAATATATTATTACTGTAGTTAAATGCAAGGATAATGATGTAACATACGCAAAAATATAAAATTTATAACGTGCACCTTTTAAACAATTGCTAAAACGAAAAATTAAAAAATAAGCCTCCATAGCTTCTACTCTACGTATGCTTGATAGCGTAAATCTTAATAATACGGATGTAAGAAATGAAGATCAAATTTAATCGACACTAACACTTTCACTATCCAATTCCTTTTATATAGTAACTTTCCCGTTAGATTTAACCAAGACCCGATTAATAATTCAAGGTGAAGGAGTTGATAAAGATTTAGCCAAAAGGCAATACCGTGGTATGGCCAAAACACTAGCTAGTGTGGGTAAGCGTATATTTGAAATTTTTTCACTTACTAACTAAATCTTGATAAATGGCATCACTCGATCTATTGATAATTAATAGTAGTGCTCTGTTGTAGAGATGAAATCATGCGAAATATCAAAAAATAAATATGTTGTGCATTGTAGTTAATGCTATAATAACTGTGATGGAATTACTGTAGATTGGTAATTAGAAATATACGTTGCTCGTTGCTCTTAATGGTTTCTATCAACTATCAAATAAAAATCTATCTCAACTAACATAAATATGCCTAAATTTAGTTAAAGAAGAAGGATTTCTAAGTTTGTACAAAGGTGTAACTCCTGGGATTCTAAGGCATGTTGGTTAGTAAGAATTTATTAGCAATATATTCCTTATAAGTAAGTTTGCTTTTTAATCCTGTGCTATTATTAACTATTCTTTAATTGAACTTATGGCCAGTTTACTCCGGCGTCCGCATGGTCACTTACGAATACATACGTGAAAATATTTTAGGCAAACGAGAAGATGGCATATATCCTCTTTGGTAAGTCAAAATAAATATAGTTTTACTTTTAATTTCAGGTACTAAATTCTAATTTCTTTATTTAAAATCTTTCAATAGGAAAGCTGTTATATCCGGTATGACTGCTGGTGCTATAGGCCAGTTCTTAGCTAATCCAACGGATGTTATTAAAATTCAGATGCAAATGGAAGGAAAGAGAATCCGCGAAGGCAAAACTCCCAGGTTTGTACGAATTGTCATCATCCTTTACACTTGACTTTCCAAAAATTGATAGTTACCTTAATGGTTGACGCATGTCTAGTAATGTATAATTCCTGGCATTTGTTACACAATTTTACTCTTGTTCAGCTGATTTATCTGAAAAAATTTGATAATTTATTCTGGAAAGGTATCGTGGAACGTTCGATGCATTCAGCAAGTTATATCGGAGCGGTGGTATTCGCGGTTTGTGGTTGGGATGGGGCCCGAATGCTACAAGAGCATCATTAGTTACCATGGGAGGTTAGATTGCGAATTTTAAATGAAATTTCTTTAATTTTTGAAATTGTTAACGAGCTAATGCTCCCATTAAAAGATGCCAACTTCATTGAATTTAGATTTAACTACATATGATACGGTTAAACATTGGTTATTACTAAAAACGACATTGATCGATAACTGGGCCCTTCATTTGATATCAAGGTAAAAGATTATTGTCAAATAATCCTGTAACGCCTACTTGTTCTTGTTTAGTAATTAATATATTATTTTTAATGATGTGATTATCATTCTTAAAAAATAGCTTATCTTCCTTACTTTTTTAATTTGTAATCTCTCAGCGGGTGCTCTAGCTTAGTAGCTGCTGTACTAGCAATGCCTGTGGATGTTGTCAAGACCAGGATAATGAATCAAAATATAGTCACTCCAAAGGAAGGGTAATGAAGAGTTTCAATTTATATTATGCGTTAGCTACTATCGATTGCTACCTCTGATATTTTACAGATAATTAAAAAAGAAGCTGTATTGTTTTAGACATTTCTAATCATAAGTTTTCTTTATGCAGTCAAGTAATCTACAGTTCAGTTATCGATTGCTTAACCAAGACGGTAAGTAATTCAATATTTACTGAAAGAAATATTCAAGCTTTGACATGATCTTGATCATAAATCAAACATAGGTTAAAAACGAAGGATTATCGGCTTTATATAAGGGTTTTTTTCCAACATGGTTACGAATGGTTAGTATTAACTATACAGTATATACGCGTATTCTTATACTTAATAGCTGTATCTTATTTTAAACATTATTTATATCTTTAGTGTCCATGGTCGCTAACATTCTGGTTTACTTATGAAGAGATACGAAAACTATGTGGTACTCCATCCTTTTAGAGATTAATTTTTAAAAGATATGGACAGTTATTTTTATATCGGTTTTTAATTGATAATGATGCACGAAATGGCAGCTACCGTTAGTTATGTGGCATAAATTAAGTCAACAAATTTATCAACCATCCTCGTGCGAAGATATTGGATAGTACTTTTTCCTTATATTTCATGCATTATTGGACTGATGCATTATTCTTGCAGCTGAACATCTGTATTCTTGGAATAATATATAGACACGCGAATTTGCAAATTTTAAATCCTGTTATTTGGCTAATCTAAGAATCAATTTTTATACAACTTTAAAAAATCAGGATGTATGTCTATTTTGTGTTACCTTGCAGTATTTTCGTACTGCTACAAGCCCTAATTGACACTAGCATGACATTACTGTATGCTGAGTAACAGTTTCGGCATACATAATGTTACAGTTCATGTAGTATTTATAGCTAAATAGGAAGTTTCAATTTTGCAAGGGCGCTGCCTTATGTTCAATTAATAATTGACTTATAGTTTAGTGTTAACTTTAATACATTTACAAAGTCTTTAATTTCGAAGTACCTCGGTAACTTAACGAAATTTATGCGTAAAGTAATTATTCGAACTACTCAAGTATATTCAGTCTTAATCGGATACTTTCAAAATAGTACTTAATAATATTTATATCGGAATCAAATTTGCTAGTTATTGAGTATTAATTGAACATGCTTTTAATACCGTTTCTATCAGAGTCTATGTTGTACTGATATATGAATGTAAATTAGCTCAGTTTTGATATTGAGGATACCTGCAAATTGTAAGATATTGAAAAAGCTAGATTTCATTCAGGCTAATCTGGAGTCAATGCCTTATTATATTCGAAATGGCGTTAAAAATACGAATACATTGCGCATATGCTTAAATTTATCATCGTAATAAATAATAGATAAACATCTATAAACGTATACTTTAATTCGTAAATTTTTCTGGAAAGAGATCTGATGCTTGTCTAATTACCTGTTGATACATTGCTGTATAGGGCTATAATAATATCAATGATGCCATTTTAAATTGAAATACGCTTTATATTTATACGTGTATACAGTATATGTTTCGATTAATTGTATTTAATCTTTGTATGTATAGAGAATGGTATCACATTTGTAATCGAATATGCAAGATAAAAAGAGTTGGGAATCGATATCATTACTGACCCAACTAATTACTGTACTATACTGCATACTGCAATAAGCACAGTAACCTAATACTTGTATGCCTGCTTGTATAAAGTCGAGCTAGAATTAGGATACTGTATCAGCCTGCATATTTTGTAATTTTTCGAAGATATATTTATTTAAAATATGCTGGTAGTGGCTTAAACAGTGCCTGGTACATAAACATACAAGAATGCTTAATAGATTATTCGTGCTAATTAATGGGCAATTTTCATGCAATAGAAAGTCATTCCACTTTCATTCACACATGCTAGATACTTGATGAATCGTGTTCGGTTACGGTTGCCGTGATATTATGGCCGCAAGTTAGCTGGTTACTGCCATCATTTCTAGCAGATTTGATATATACTGCAGCAATACGATAGCTCAAAATTATAATTGTCGCTGTGAATTAATACTGTACTGTATGCTACTTGCCTATATTTAATTTTCACGCATCATAGAAGATGATTTGCTCAATATGATACTATATGCTATATTATGCCCCAATCATGGCAACTTTAGTATCAAAATAACCTTGATGCGAATTTTGGGCCAAGTGATACCGTCGCTAAAAATTCAAAATTTTCACTTGTCTCGTATAGGTAACAGACTAGTATACGGACTAATGTTTCATAATCCCATGTGCTCGCATCTATACTTTCACGTTATTATTAATTATTGACAAACAGCTCTGCTCAGGCAGCCACTGCATGCAATCTTGACTCATTTCCTTCTAATTAAACTCTTATTCTCGTAAGTGCTTTTACTACCTGACTGTGGTGTCTGAAAGGAAGTCTAAAGTATCTACTAGAGTGGTTTTAAGTTTTGGAGTTTTCTAACAATTTATAATGATAGCATGGACGAATTACCTCAGGTTGACTCCGATAACAAGCCCTTGATCTTTCACGATGATGCGATATCTAATCACCCAAACACCCAATCTCCCATCAAGATGAATGAAGATTGCATAGAAGATAATGATATTACAGTAAGAGATCATGAGATCAATCCATTTCAAGCCAGCAGTGATCAAGCTGGTCCGATGGAAAACGATCATGATAGATCTTTAGTTGGCAACATTGTTTATGCTCCAAACCAGATGGAAATCGATACGAATAGCAATTTAAATCGAGGTAAGTTCTACTACAGTAGATGCTATACTAGTACTCGCCAAGTTATCCATGACTTTATCTTCATAGTGATTAGATCAGAGATGGAAATATTGCTAATATACATTCTGTACTATGGCGTTTCTTTCACATGATGAAATTATTATATTCAGACTTCAGCTTAAACATCCCTTGAGATATTGCTGATCCTTGTGTATGCTGTAACACAGATTGCAGAAATGGCTGAGCTTTCTAAGATTGCAACTCTTCTTCCTATCGTTTAACAGATTGTCGTTATAGTCGTATTTGTACTGTACAGTATAGCTAATTAATTATCAACTTAGTCAAATTGTGCTTTCGATATAACTTCGGCCAGTCACATCACTTAACCTACAAAAACCAGGATACATACAGTATAATGGACATGCTCATGTGCCTTATAGTTAGTGCTCCAGCTATGGTATGTTCCCTGGCCTCTAATTTCTAATTTAGTTAATGTTGCCGATTCAATATCGCTAGGTAGACAAGAACTAGAGGATCATTACAATTATAAATTAGTTGGTCATATTGTAGATCTGTATGTCATGTTTGTTATTTCACTCTCTATAATTCTAAGGAAAGGATTTCAGATTTTAAAATATATCTCAAGCAAAGTTAAAAGATTTAGAATTTCCTTGAAATTGTTAATCAGTTCTTTTATTTGATATTGATCGAACAATTGTAGCGGCAGATGAAGTAAAGATAGTGGAATTGACATTTGATACACAAAAGACGAGCTTAAATGCTAATTTGTATGAATCTAGCTCAATCAAACCGGTAGAGAAAGATGTCAGGTAATGCGATAACGCGTTTAGTAAACAGGTTTTGAAGCTCTATTACTAATATAGACGAAGTGAAGTGTCTAATCATGAGTCTATTTCTAAAGTATGCAGAGGTTTTTGCATTATATCTTATACTACATCTTGAATGTGACAAATGTCGTGAGCCATTCCATTATCTATTTGATTAACGTTAGTAAAAGCAATACAGATGAAACATTTGCTGTCTCTGGACAAACGGATACCTTATTACAAGGTAGATGTGAATGTAGTTTGAATTAGTCCGTTTTAAAATTGTTACAATTGCAAGTAAGAGACAGTTTTAAGGTTGCTATAATAATTTATGGTATTATCGATCTTAACAGTATCGTGTAGTGATACGCAGGAAAATAACGAAATGCAAATATCAGAACCAGCAATGGATTATTTTGGTGATGAAGACGGTGAGATAAGGTCAGTGATAATACGAGTAGATGCACTTATAAGCGTTTGAAGTAGGATTTAGTCACATCTTGGATACATTAGTATAGTGACTGATGGAATTAAAATTTCAGGTCTAACACTTCTATCCATAAAGATGAAAGTGAGAACCGCAAGTCTGATGCCCAATGTCAGCCTTTGTTAGCTGATTCCCAGCCGCAGTTAGAATCGAATATGAAAGTTTGTCAAGAAGATGAAAACGCATTAAAAATGCCTATTCATCCATCTGTGCCAGAAGGTCAGAGTGATGAAGATGAGTTACCATCATCTAGTGACTCTAGCGATAATGAAGGATCTGACAGTTGCCGGTCTTTAGATGGCAACGTCGAAGAGATAGGGTAAAGTCTGTCATAAATAATTGCCACTACTGATTGGATCTTTTAAATATTAATTTTTAATGATTGATCCATGGAACAGACCTGATAAATTTCGTTCAGCTCCAACGGTGGAAGGAGAACTAACATTAGAGGTAATAGTTCTTCTGATCAGTCATTTTATCTGTTATGTTGTAACATAGGTTGAAGATAAATTCCTAGATATGATGTTCAATCTGTCATTCTAACTCTCTGACTCATATTAGAATCTACCTGAAGTGGAAGAAATTGATTTCAAATTAGATGAAAGCATTGCTATGCAAAATATTGGATCAATATCTTCAGTGATAGATACCTTAGGTAAATTCGCTTTCTCGTGACAATCTATATATAGGTTATCACATGCGTTAGTTTTTCATAATGATCATTTATTCATATCTACTTCATCCAGTATCTTTCGATTTGTTGTGAATGAGTTACTGACTTTCAATGCATTGACATTAATTATAGTTATTGTGAAGGCCAACGCACTAGCTCCTGCACTAGATATCGATTCTCTATTATTTCTGGAAAATAGACTCTGCATAGGAAAGGTCGGTACTTACGCTTTCTGTAGCTTTTTATTAAACACCGGATTTCGATAGCTATTTACAAAGTAGTTGTTATATGCTTATTGATATACTCGTACTATTTGCATCAATAACTTTTCTCACTATCTAGGATTTGTGTATCCGATATAAATTCATTCTGAAAGCTTCATTAAAGTGACGAGTGAATATGTTATTGATATTATATTATGCTAATTTCGTATCATACTGTGTAGATCTTTGAAACATTTGGCCCTGTAAATTCTCCTTATTACTCTCTCCGATTTAATTCGAAATCGGCGATAGAAAGAATGGACCTTATTCCATCTATCGTAGTATATTCTGCGCCTGAGGTAAAGGATTTCACAGGCTATGTCTTAATCGAACAATTACGCCGGTTAGTTGCTACCAATTGGATTGTAGATTACCCATATATTATACTTAATAAAGCAGTTATTTAAGAAACAAAACAGTATTCCTAATGTATCGGTGTGATTTTGTTGGATAGGGTTAAAGGCTCCGATGCATCCTGGAAAAATGATATCGAGCCACCACCTGATGTTAGGAGTTATTCTCTACGAATAAAAGCTATCGTAACGTGCACTGAAAGCTTGGTAGTTAAAATTGATCTTTTTTTTACAGCATATTGAGTATTCTGATGATGAAAAAGAAAGGCAAGAAAAAGCACGCTTAAGAAATAATGGCAAGGATAACCTGTAAATGGACTATTTGTCTATATGCTCTCGTTAAGATTTTGCATGCTATTATTTCATAATTTTATAATTTTACGACTAACATTGAACTTCCTTATCAGACCCCAGAGTGATAAAAAACCCAAGAGTAACAAGCGTAGAGGTAATAAAAGGCAATATGATAGACAACATGGCGTTAATCAAACCGGATTTAATAGAGGTATGCAGTATTATTTCAGAGTTCAAATTATGTAATATTTAAAAGGTCCAATAGAACCATTTCCGATGTTAAAATATCTTACAGGTCACACACGCAATAGCTACGGACTTTTTGGGTCTAACAGTAAACTGCAACAGAATTCTTGGAATAACCCTCGTAACCGCTCTGATAAATCTGATTTTACGCCTACATCATTTAATTTTAATGGAAATTACGCCTATCAAATGCCTGTTCAATTTAGTAATAATTCGTACACATATCCACTTAATGCAACGCCTACAAATTCTAATCAACCTTCAAGTTATATGCCTAGTCATTCGATGATTCCTGGGCAATCCCAACTAGGCTATACCTACAATGAACAATCTAGGCCGACAGTGCCACAGTTTTCGAGCCCCTACGAAATGTATCAATCGTATAGCTCGACAGGAACTGTGTCTTATAACCAGCCATGGTTACCGCCAGATCCTAAGGCAGATCATGAGCAGTGATAGCCTACTACTTACATCTACTCAAACAGTTTTAACTTACACAATGGCTAATGTAAGATATTGATCATAGTTTCATAGATGTTAGACATATACACGTATATATATATATTTTATTATAAAAGTTTATGATGCTTTTGTATTTATATGATATATACTATATATAGTCATATCACAGTAAAAGTATAGATACTACATATGTAGCAATAAAATGTCATTATGGTTGAATTTACTTCGTTATTTCGGGATAGAAATCCAAAAAAGGCATACATTTGATGTCAATGGTACGAGTATCGTTCTATCTGCTACATAACATACTGTAGATGTAGCTTACATGACTCGTAGCCATTACTGTAATTAATATAATGCGAGATAAGTAAAAATATATTTATTTTGTAACTGGTATCTATCGTAGTATATAAGTTACGTAACATTTCCACGGATATAAAGTATGAATGCCAAATATCAACTCTTCTAAGTGATATCTATTTTGGCTTATAATGGCCATATAATAATATAGTAACATAGAAGTATATCAACATTTATAAGATATATATTCATCAAACGCGTTTTATGCTGCTGTAGTGATTTTATTTCCTTTTATAGCTAAGAAACACATTTACATTATTTGCAGTTGAATAAAAATACGTCACATTAGAAATCTCGTAACATCATACCAGTCTGATACCACAAGATATCCTTCAGTTATTACTGTAATTATAAATTTAAAATCATAACATCTTTAATTTATTTATCTCCGTAGCTTTCTTAAGAATTCGAGCTCCAATTTTTGCTACTCTTATAAATATTAAGTGATAAATCAGATCTTTATAGTACCGTTTGATATCTATAGTTGATAATACGCTTTAATGATAAGAGTACAGCGTAACATTCAATTATAAATCGTAGTCACTACAGTCAAACGTTATACAAATTTATTACAAAGCAGCAAATACTTATCGCTAGAAAAATATCACGGAAGTATGATACAGCTTATTTTACAACTATACTAACCGGCATACCAATAGATTCTTAATTAAATAAATGAGACAATAGTTTATCTTTATTATTAGCATTAAGTAAAAATTATGTTATGAAGACCAATTCGGTGTTGAGAATGTGGGTTTCTCTTTCTGCCAAATCATTTGACCGAAGTGATAAGTCACAGCTAACGTACCCCCAATTGCTGCAGCTAAAGCAGTCGCTCTAATTCCACCTATAGATCAATTGAAATAGATGCTATGAATTGAAACTGTTCACATTTAATATTATTATCAGGAAATAAAGTACTGTGCTAATGTAATTGGTACAAGAAACGATGTAGTGTTGCATGTCGTATTTAGAACATACCAGTAGATTTGAAAATAGCGCCGGTCAAGACAGCAGCACCGACTGTGTTGTAGGGATTATCTTCATCTTCTTTCTGGGTGACTTTACCTAGAATTGTCTCTGTACACGTATACAATAATGCTACATGTACATAGTGACAAACAAACACATATTAATACAGCAAAGTATCCAATATAGAGAGTAGAATCGATATGTTCAATTTACAAATACTGTACTGTCTAGATGAAGCGATACATATACAAGTATATTGGGTATTCATACAGTGAGGAAACATTGCTAATTAACTATAATCTATCAAGTAAATTGATTTGTCACTTTTATGTGGGTAGGATTAAAATACAACGTTTAAAATTGGCTGTACAGCAAATAATATTGTTACGTAATCAGTATATCACGCACGCTATGGTTAGATGCAATCAGATTCAAGATGATTTACCTATACAGCCCAAGCTGTTGCCAACGAAGGGTCCTCTTCGTGTGCAACTATTTAAAATGCCGTTAATTCTAAGTTTCATTGTATTTCCGTGAGGAGTTCTTAAACCTTCGAACAAACCCCACGCTCCACCACATGTAATACCTATTAATAACCGATTAATATTTGGTAAGGCGAAAAATTATAAAAAATCAAGTGATGTAAGCATTCTCCCTTAGGTTAATATGTAGCACATTATAATATGATCATTCAATCTTAATATGGTTAATGCTTTTTAGGCTACTCTAGTAGTCACGTTAAATGATTATTTAATGAGTACCAATCATATAAGATGATCCAACATTAGAGAACATCCTTTCACCCCAACTTCTCCTTTTGACGGGTTCACCAGCAAATATGAACTCTGAACCATCCTGATGAGATAAGTAAAACGAAACGCTATTAGTGATAAATCATTAATCGACTTTTTTTGCATTTCAAGTGTTCAGAAAGTATAGTCCATTTAAAAGTCTCCTTCCATACAGTAATAGCAGCCTTAACATACCTGATGTAAGGAGCGAGGATCGATATTCATATATGGAGAAAGCAAGGCCTTATTCGTGGATGATACTGTTTTGATGATAGGTAAAAAAAATAACATGAGGTTTGGTGAACGTCTGGCTATCAATCGAGTACATTACGAATGTAATTTTACAAGTTAAGTAGGAGCAACCAATAGTGACTATCCGTGGCAGTAATATTGTCATCTTTTATAGCTCATATTTTACAGTCCGTGATAAATCATATCGCTAACAATGCAATTGGACTACAGCCGTTGATGAAATTGCTTTCCAAATAGCAATGTCATCGATACAGAGATTATTTAATATTCATGATTGAGCGCAATCCTTGGTCAAAATTGAGCAACAGTTGCTCAAAAGCGTTCGCAGGAGTAATAAAAGGGGTCCTACTTTAATATAACTGTATTAACCTGACTGTTGCGATAATTCCTACAATCATTTAAAGATGTGATTTTTAAAATTATTGATGTCCAGATGTACTCTACAATATGATGCAATCGGCCATTCGCATAATCTGTGCATACAGGCGATTGAATAATATAGTCTAGTAGTATAATACTGTATTTTCAAGCTAGCTAGTTCAAAGCGGTCAAATTTTCACTTTAATAGATATGTGAATGGTTGAACGTCATAAAACTGGGATTAGTAACTCAAGTTACGGATCCAATAGAATGGATATAACACGTTGATTAATTACCTTCGAAATTCACCTAGTAAGAATTTTTACTCAACTCATGATCCACATAAGATATGGTGAGTACTGGTGATGGTGGTCTAATGAATCAGTATTACGGCTATAGTCAATCCTCGATTTCAAATTCAATTGGATTAGATTATCATTTTGTTGAATTTTCAAAGTTTACTTATGACTAGAAAGGAAAAATTATTCTACATCATTGTTGATGGAAAAAGTTGAAGGATCGATATCCTATTCAAGTTGAACATCTGTGTCTCAAACATGAATCGTCTACAGAGTACATCCTGCCTGTCTATAGTAGAGTACAGTCATGAAATGGTGTCCACTGATAGCGTGGATTTAATATCGATCTTTGTAGAGAAATGATACTCCTTGTCACACATGTCTTCAAGATAGGCAGCAACTGTTACTAATAACACCTGCCTTTTGGTGACAATAAGCAATGGCTTCAATGATGGATCATTCAACTGGCACGACAGCAAAAGCAAGCGCGATGCCTGCTTGCACTAAGCTGCCATAACACCATGTGCGAGTATAAGGCGTATGATGCAATGAGCTACTTTCATCAATCATGTCATGTCCAAATCGACCATCATTTCATTGCGTAGTATCCAATTGTAAAATAGAATTCTATCTCAATACTTACATGATGCAGACATGGTTGGATCTGTTGACGAATAGTCTCTTGAATAGCCATCTTTTCCGTAGTCGTCAGACATGATGTGGACTTGTCGCTTTGCTTGCACTTGGTAGCCGCCGCTTCGCCCAATTTTTTACAACATGGACACTGGACAGATTGGATATTGACTTGATGGATTGCGATCTGGATACAGTGTACAGTGCCCGGACTGTACTGTACACTGTACACTGTACTGGGTTCGTTATTACAGTGCAGTACGGCATGGACACTGGACAGATTGGATATTGACTTGATGGATTGCGATCTGGATACAGTGTACTGGGTTCGTTACAGTGCAGTACGGCCATGGACACTGGATAGATGGGATATTGACTTGATGGATTGCGATCTGGATACAGTGTACCGGGTTCGTTTTTACAGTGCAGTACGGCCATGGACACTGCCCGGACTGTACTGTACACTGTACACTGTACTAGGTTCGTTAGTAAATCGTTACAGACTTGCAGTACTGTACAGTACGGGTACTGGTACCGGTACAACATGGACACTGGACAGACTGGATATTGACTTGATGGATTGCGATCTGGATACAGTGTACAGTGCCCGGACTGTACTGTACATTGTACACTGTACTGGGTTCGTTATTACAGTGCAGTACGGCATGGACACTGGACAGATTGGATATTGACTTGATGGATTGCGATCTGGATACAGTGTACTGGGTTCGTTTTTACAGTGCAGTACGGCCATGGACACTGGATAGATGGGATATTGACTTGATGGATTGCGATCTGGATACAGTGTACCGGGTTCGTTACAGTGCAGTACGGCCATGGACACTGCCCGGACTGTACTGTACACTGTACACTGTACTAGGTTCGTTAGTAAATCGTTACAGACTTGCAGTACTGTACAGTACGGGTACTGGTACCGGTACAACATGGACACTGGACAGACTGGATATTGACTTGATGGATTGCGATCTGGATACAGTGTACAGTGCCCGGACTGTACTGTACACTGTACACTGTACTGGGTTCGTTATTACAGTGCAGTACGGCATGGACACTGGACAGATTGGATATTGACTTGATGGATTGCGATCTGGATACAGTGTACTGGGTTCGTTTTTACAGTGCAGTACGGCCATGGACACTGGACAGAAGAGATATTGATTTGATGGATTGCGATCTGGATACAGTGTACACTGTACAGTGCCCGGACTGTACTGTACACTGTACACTGTACTAGGTTCGTTAGTAAATCGTTACAGACTTGCAGTACAGTACGGGTACTGGTACCGGTACAACATGGACACTGGACAGACTGGATATTGACTTGATGGATTGCGATCTGGATACAGTGTACAGTGCCCGGACTGTACTGTACACTGTACACTGTACTGGGTTCTGGCAACCAAGGACCTGGTTACAATAACCAGTACGGGTACTAGGTACTGTATTAGATCAGCAAAACGTACAAAAATGGATTATTAACTTAAGTTAAATTAAAGGGCCTTGTCCTCGTGACTCTAGTCCGTCCCCTTTGGCATTTCAGGCATACTAAACAGTCAAAAAAGAATAGAGTACAGTATGGTCATTTTCTGGTACGCAGTCCATGACCAATTGACCATGACGGTACGGTACACTACTGTAGGTGCGCACGTGGTGGGTTGAACCACCGTACCAAAATCAACCTTATACAGTACTTTATACTGCCACTAGTACTGTACTCTAGATAGACCTGTCAGAGGTTCGGTGAGCGTGATCTTTTTCTTATTCCATTCTTGAAGATCAAGTCAAACACTTTAGAATTAACCAATGTAACATAATAGTATACATCTATGAGAGCTTACTATTTCCACATATCAAAAATTTTTCGGATTTTGTCAAAAGTTGCGCTCGTACAGAATATTACAGAATGTGCTAATTGATCGGTTTGGAAAGGATCACAGTGTACAGTACTGTACACTGTGGGGGCTTTCTTCTAGTAGTCCATGGCCTTGACTGCGCGCGCAATGGCGGAATCGACTGATGGTCACATTATTTTCTGTCTGTCAATCGGTCTGTTTGTACTTCAAACTGGTCCTAGCTGCACTGTACTGGAAGAAAACGAAAGAGAAGGACAAGAAGCCGCCATTTACTTCACTATGCTGAAAACAGAGGGCCGACAATTTTACTGATCATTTCAACTCAAACGTCTATCCGAAACGATACCCTATATGTAGACTGTCTATGATTGTCATCCTAATGACCTGCTTGCTTGCTTTTGTAGAATACAGTATTAGAATGATCAGCAACATAATTGAACGAGCTAGGCACCAATAACATTATATTGGCAGAACTATCAATATACAGCTCAGTAGAACATGGCGTGTTCACGGCCTAGGCTTAGCTCAGCTATACATCAGCACACTAAACTAAACCATAAATAGACATATCGATCGACGAGAAAACGATCTGGATAGCTCTACCTTTCAAATTGAAGTCATCAATACGCTAATAGCCTAATACTGCAAATTTCTCATAGCAATGTCACTCAAATTCAATTACTACACTCTCCATCTCTTGTGATGTAGTATACCATGTAGGGTATTAGCCCAACAATGAATAGATTCTCGCAAGTAAGAATCGATTTAATACTTTAATCTTGAAAATCCCCTCTCAACATAATTAGACGTCATGTAAACTACTTTCATTCCCCCCCCCCAAAATATGGGATATTATTTTACAAATTGTGCCTTGTGATAATACTCTACCTTGTCGTTCCGCACCTATTAAGGAAGATTGATATAGAAAGGATCAATGCATGAGCCAGTAGATGCGCATATGTTGCTTTCATCATGTTATCAAATAGGAGGTTAAGAATGATGACTCATGGATGGCCATCATAATTTACCATTTATACAATTTAGAGATTAAATCGTTTTCCGTAGGATAGAATATGATGTCAATCACTTACATACCTGGTCACTGACATAGAGATACATCTGTATGCTAATCAATCAATCCTTATTACATTATAATAAGCTTTATAAAGTAAGTAACTAGTATCATATCATATATTACAGAGCGAGAAAGAGAAAATAATTTTATTATCCAATAAACTTCAATACCATGAAATTTCTCATAAAAACCTGAATATTTCAGTTTTCAGTCACAGCCACACATTAATTTGGCTTAAGAAATAAATCATGCATGTTACAATGTTAAAGGAAAAAATAACATATACTTTTAAATCGACTCATAACAAGGTGCGGGGTTTTATAGCTTGTACAATATGTATCAAAAATAAAATTGTTATAATTTTTACAGCGAGCTGACAGCGTTCTTGATGGACTGTATTTTGAGCGACCTCAGTAATATTCATAGTCCAAAAGTCTTACTAATTGAATCGAATGAACTACTGGAAAATGCAATCTAGTTACGGTTTGAGTAAATTGTACATAGGTCGAGTCTAATTTTTTTCGCTTGATCAGGTATAAAATAGCTAAAGTGTATCACATATATTGCATAAAACAATCTACTAGTCCTATAAGAGGACTTAAAATTGCAATGTAAAACCCAAACAGTCATTTTATAACATTTACGTAATCTTTCATGAATAATAATCACATACACTACATCCAAGCCAGAAATATGCTATTAATTTAGCTTACAAATATATTTAAACATGGCGCTATAATGAGATTTTAAAGCTCTTCGGTTGTATGTTAAATATATTAAGCGATGTTATAATGAAATTATTAAAACAGCGAAGGAATATCAAGCCACATGGGGAGTATAATTCAGTATACAAGTCACTCTGATCATTAATTTGTATTTAATACTTAAATTTTATCAATAAATTAACATAAAATTAAATTGCCGATTAAAAAGCTCTCACCGTTATTTGATCGAGTAAGTGCGAAAATAAGGCTGTCTAACCATTTTAAAGTTAAGCCGTTAACTATCTAAACATGAAGTATAATAGAGTGAGTACTTTATTAATTTTCCCTATGCTATCTTCAATCGTCATTTACTACACTGGAAGCGTGAACAATATGAAGTATTTACTGTGCTGCTTTGCGGTAAAGTAATGAGGCGAAAAGTCGCTTCGTTTATTGTATTCTTGTGTAACATGTTGAAAGCTTTACCGCACAAATAATTTACTCACATTAAAAGAAAAGCTACGAAAAGAAATCATTTTTTTTTACTCAGGCGAGAAGAAGATCATACTCATTTTAAATGCGAAATTAGGTTACGACAAAAAGGCTATCCTCATCATATGTATGTATATCATTAGCCATCTTGCTTTACAACTGCTAGATTGAGAAGCACTCCTGTTTTACCTGCGCTTAATAAAAAGTGAATAAATAGGCCACTGATAAATTGCGCATCCGAACACAAGCAATCTGCATTTGCTTTAATTAAACAGGCACCGTGGGAATATCATGTTAATTTAAATTTCCATTTATGATATTCTTTAGCTCTGGTACTGACTAGTCATATATAATCCGATAAAATGTAAGTCGATGTACATTGTACAGTTCTGGCAAAGGTGAATGATTTAGTATGCGATCATTAGGTAGCAACAATATAGATTATTTTATTTATATTATTATTATAAGGATATATGTTACTGTATTACTATTAATTATTTCTAGACAGCCATACATTTCATTAGATATTGATGACTAAATCATTTTGTATCTATCTCAGTCAATAACTACTATGTGAAATATAGTGATTTCTTTGAAGAAAAATTGATCCCTTTACCCTGATATTACACCATGAAGTTATTCATAATGAAGACTAAGCGAGTCGATACAGTAATACATTTAGCCTTGAAGAATCTTGAGGTATATAAATACCAAAACTCATTCATTGCAATGACGATTACGCTTACTGTTTAATAACGACAGCTGTGAAGTCGATAATGCGAAGTCTTCTACATGATCAATCTGTGATTAGTAAAATTTTGCCTTATAAGTACAATATTTAAACTCGCTGACTATAGTTACGATTTAATGGACTCATTTTCATGATATTAAATAAAGCTGTATTAAATATCACGTAATATAATTTGATCTTCTTAGAG